GCACCGTGCGGTCTGATAAATCCTCCAGTGAAGTGTGATAACATCTTTATCACAGTGCGGTCTGTGGTTACTCTGAGCTGAGGAAGTGACTCATGACAAACAGTTCAAGGAGTCAAACCGATGGATGAATGAATGAATGAATGGATGAATAGATGAATGAAGTTAAAAAAGTAAAATAAATCAGGGGTAATTTGGGTCAATATTGCACCTCAGTAACTTCACCTGCAGAACCATGGATCACCGGGTGGTTGTTTGTATCGCTGTTGTCTTGTCAGAATCAGTGTTACTGACCAGGTGTGGACTCTGGCTCAGAGAGGTTAAACAGTGGCTGATGTACAGGGTAAAACATCTGACAGGAGTCTAGTGAAACCAACTAATCTGATCTCATTAACTCAATTTAAATATGTGACTTTTGTTCTTTCAACTTAAATCAACGGAGAAGGTCTAGTTTTAATTTTCAGACTTTATAAACATGAGCTGTTTCATGAATGAACGGCTGAAGTTCACTCAACTCATTAAATTTATGTTTTAAAAGAAACACAACTCGCATGTTACTTCCCAGCATGCATTGTTTTTAGGAATTAAAACTCTCAGAGACTGAAGGACGTTTCTTTACATACTAATAAAAACAAAGTTAAGCTGAGGTTTAAAATGATTTACAGTCAGCTCTTTGTCCATTGCTTGGATTTATATTTACATCAATTTTTTCATGTTAACTTCACGGGTTCGATTATAAACTGATATTTAAACGTTATCGTGGTGATGAAGTTAAAACGTGCAGGAGGAAGTCCTCAGATCGTTTTGTGAAAACAGCCTCTCGCTTCAGAAATCCTTCTAATTAGTGTTGAGGTTAATCTATTAGAATTTATCATATTTTATACAATGTTTTAATCCAAATGAATCCTCCTAGTTGTTTAAGTAACTTGTTTTAGAAAATAAATAAATAAATAAGAAGTAGAACTTCTCCCTCTGACATGTAGTGAAGTAGAAGTAAAATTAAAATACTTCAGTAAAGTAGATGAAGAATTGTAAATGTGCTGAGTTACTTTGTAGTTTTAAATTTCAGCTTCATTTTTGAACAACTACCAATAAATTAGCGACAGTTTAAGGTCAAACTTGAGTTTGTGTGTTTAAGACTGAGTGAAGATAGACATGTTTTCCTTTGGCTAAATAAACCCTCAGTTATATAAAAGGATAACACAAACACTGGCTCAGATTCGCTGCAGAAATCAGAGAAATGCCTCAGAAATGATGCAACGGTCTGCGACTCGCTGCCTCACTTGAGAACTCTTTGTTGTTTGGATCAGCGAGATGAGACTCCACTTTAACTCATCAGTGCATTTACAGCCGGCTCCATTAGTGCAGTCAGCTGATGCCAAACCGTCTCAGGGTCCTCTCCTGCGGTCTGGCCGAGCGGCTCGTTGACGGCGTCCGGCCTCAGCGTGTGGAGGCAGCTGTCCGTGTTTTCACCTCAGAGTCGGACGTCTTTTTTTGATTTTTGGAAACGTTAAAATCTGCACAAGATTGACTCGGGTAATGAGAAAAATATGAAGCGTGAACTAATACTGGATTGGTTAACAGATGCCCAATGTTAGAAGAAATCTGCCTTATGTAATGTTGGAGTCAAATCATTAAATCCCAGACAGAGAGCACATTGACTCTGTGTCACATCCAGTTTGTGTTTCTATGAAGAGAAAACATAAACTGCTTTGGACAAAAAGTTCTGTAAAGTTAACCAGTGAGCCTCAGCTGTAACAATCAGTACAACTTGTACTTCTTCTCCACTTCATTTATATACTGAACAGTTTTCTCTACGTTTATTTTACAGCAGTCGTTTCTGTTCAGATCAAGATTTTACAAATAAAACGAAAATGAAAAAATGAAATACGTATTAATAGATTAATTGAATCAACCAGCGACAACATTAGAAACCGTTTTACATGTTACTGCATCATTAATAATGATAATTTGATTAAATATGACATATATATTTTAACCCTGCAGAAGGAACCGTTCTGTACGTTTCAGCTGATCGTACTTCTGAACTTGTACTCGTTATAAATGCAGGACAGTGTTTGTGGCGTTAGTATTTAATCCCCTGATGGTGATGGAGGTGGAGGCCTGACCGCTGTCCGTGGTGCTGAACCTGAGACCACCGGGGATGTAGGAGCTGTCCGAGGTCCTGATCGCCATCAGGAAACTGACAGGGAGGGTTTGGGGCGTGAGGTTGTCGTGTATGTTCGTCCTCCGCTCGGCTGCAACACGTTTGCAGATGGTTTAAAATACATCATTGTGTTCGTCTACATTTAAATTGAACCCGTTGAGCTCAGTGTGGGACCAGACCAGTTTACTACATCCTCTGCAGTGCTGGAGAGAGGAAGACAGACTGGTTGGTCGGGGCTTCATCCCACAGTCTCCACACCTGAGCCCCGTGGAGCTGGACTTCACTGTCAGTTTGAATCTTTCAGTGAGGAGCCGAGAGATGATGGTCAGGTGATGTGATTGCATTTAGTGTAAATGATTAAAGGCGTTCCTGGAGAGTCTCCAGACAGGTGTGTTCATCATGAACAGCCTCTGACTTATCCCTGAAGTGCAGCATAAGAAGGAGAAAGAAAAAAAAAAAAAGGGTGCAGAATAATCCTTTACAACCTTGAAACGAACGGTGTGACTTCTACTTCCTGAGGATATCATTATCTCTGACGTCCCTCCAGAATAAAGCTCCAGAAATCCACCAGAGCAAAAAGAGGCTGCAGAACAGAATCCTCCTGTTTTTAAGTTCCTGTGATGGATGTCTCTACATCCATGATTCACTGCAGACAGGAGCTGATCACAGCTGATTCAGCTGCTTATTGATTCCAATATGAGCTTAAATAAGAGGGGGAGGAGATAAATGTGAGACACCTGTGGCAGCGTTGGGGAGAGAGTGGTTAAAGAAGAAGATATTGAAAAGACTTTCTGGAAAAATGCCTGAATCTATATTTGAAAATCAAACGAAGTGGCCGTTGTGACTTCCCTTTGTGACCATGTGCAAGTGTAAATGATTAAAGGCGTCTCTGGAAAGTCTCCAGCGTCAGAACAACCCCCATACATTCACCAAAAACCTCCCTCATGGTCCTCTGACGTGTTTCCCATACAGAAACATGCAGCTGCGGTGTTCTGCAGAGCAGGTTCTGAGGCTTTTCTGTCTGAAACAACGACTCTGTTGTGGAGATATTTGATCCAGCAGCAGCAGCCTGAGGTGGATCTGCCTCATGGCCTTTCTTCATCCTCCCATGTCACGAGTTTGCCCTTCAGGAGTTTCTCCACTGATTTGATTCTTCATACGATGTTTTTTTCAATCTGTCATCTGAGAAAATGACAAGCTCGTCGTGAAAGTGAAGCTTCTTACACTCACACATTTTTCTCTGACGCAAGTACCACAAAATCATAAAGCTCTCACACAGCTGACAGTAACATAAAGGACAAACGCTGTGATTTACAGAGAGGTGTTGGAGGAGGTTGTAAAGCTGTATTGTGTGATCTGCTGCAGAGGGAGAGGTGTGAGGTGAAGAAGCTGCTTCAGGGCTGGAGTTCGAAAAACAACAATAAGACTGTTCCTGCAGTTTCATCAGCGATCTGTCCAACAAGTGTCAAAATCATTGCTTTTCTCTCGGTCATAACTCTCACAGATCACATCTAAACTCCAAAAACATAGTTTTAGATTCACGGTAAATTCCTCTTCCTGATAACGTCCCTCCAGAATAAAGCTCCAGAAATCCACCAGAGTAAAAAGAGGCTGCAGAACTTCATCCAGAAGGTTTTTAAGTTTCCTTCAGTATCACAGTGATCCAGTGATCCAGTGATCCAGTGATCCAGTACACATGTCTGTTCATCCATCAGTTGTTAATGAGACAGTTCGACTCAATGTCAACAAATGAAAAATGGAGTCAAGCAACAACAAACCTGGAATAAACCTTTATTCCATAAACGATTGGCTGTGAATGTTGTTTAAAATGTGATATTTAATTAATAATGACACAGTTAACACCTGATATCCAGAGGTGGAAAAGTACAATATAAAAATCCCTCCGTCTGTTCAGTGCTTTTAAACATTTAGGTTCATTTCCACCTGTTGTTAATCTACAACCTGTGTTTGTAGATCTGAGACAAAACACAGGAGAAAGCATCAGGAGCTGGTTTGACTGATCTGAATGACCTGTGTGTTATTGTTACCTGCATTAATGTGTTTTCCATGAATAGATTAAAACATGTCAAAGCCTGATATGTGTTTGAAAAGTGTTTCTGTTGTTTCTCTTGCAGAGGGTCATCACAGAGATCCACGGCACAAGGATAAGTTCATCAGACACCTGACAGGTATGAGCATCAAGCACCTGTCGTCTATTAAACATACAATACATCGATCTGACTGAATCATTGAGCACTCACACTGTAAAGGTGCTCAGAGTGAATGTGCTGGATTTCTGCAGGTTGTGTTTGTTCATCATTCTCTGAAGTGCAGCAGAAGAAGGAGAGAGTAATCGACCTTAGAGGGGGAGGAGATAAATGTGAGACACCTGTGAGGCAGCGATGGGGAGAGAGAGGTTAAAGAGGGAGATATTGAAAAGTGGCCGTTGTGACTTCCCTTTGTGTGGTTGTTTTTTATGTGTATGTTTTTTTTATTTTAGTCTAGTCTTTTTGGGAAATTCAGATGGATCACGGCGTCTGTGTGTCACTTATCTGCACCATGATTTCCTCGTCTCTCTTAAAAACCTGAACGTAACGAGCAGACACTTGTCCCAGTAACTAACAGCTAAATACCAGCTAATGTTCAGGAAATGATGATGTTTGACCCGACTGTCACGTGTCTGTGAGGTTTAAATTAAAACACCTATGAGAAGGTGTGTCACAGCTGTTGCTAACAAACTCCGTCCAATCAGAGTCCAGTTTTCAGAGTTTTTAAATGACATTAAAGTGTGTTTCACTCTGTCCTCAGGTCCTCTTTACTTCAACCCAAAGTGCAGAAAACATTTCAACAGACTGTACCACAACACCAGGGACTGCACTGTACCTACCTGTGAGTACACACACACACACACACACACACACACACACACACACACACAAGTGAAATCATGTCAGTTATTCCACCGGTTGTCGGTTCGATTCCCCTCACTTTTACTGTGTCATGTTGCTGCAGGAGTTTGTTCTAGATCTAAAACAGGATAAGACTTGTTTTAACACACACACACACACACACACACACACTCTCTCTCTCTCCAAGATAAACACTGAGATATATGCATGATTTAAGATCATGAGAGCTGCTGCTGTTCTGACACGATTACACTGATAACAGTGTAACACTGTGTGTGTGTGTGTGTGTGTGTGTGTGTGTGTGTGTGTGTTTATGTTGTGGCCTGTTCATGCAGGTATTTTTCAGTTATCATTGTGAATGTAGCAGCTGGTTTACCTGTTGAAGAGAAAAGTTAGAGGAGCTGTGGAGGTTCAAACTTCAGTCAGTTTGTGTAACAGCAGAAGGTGAAGGTGGAAATAAATAAGAACATTTGCTGAAGCTCTGTGTTGGTACAATTTCCTGCGTCTTTACTGGAGTGCTCGAACTTCATGAGACTTCCTTCTTCCACTTGACTGCAGCTGGTATTTGCCACTGATTTACATCTATTAGAAAATATAGAACAAAGTCATACAGCACCAGTCCTCAAAAGAAACATAATTAATGCAGGAAAAACCTGAAATTAAAAGTGAGGCATGAGGGTTTGGACAGCAGTTTTTTCACCATGACAGCAGAATGACTTTGTTTTATTGTTTGTGTTGTTTCACATGTTTTCCTGTTGAGTTCTGTGTCATTTAGACTCATCTAGGGACAGGCCTGACAAACTACAATGAGCTTGTTCTGGGGCAGTGGCCAGTGTCACATACCACAGCACATGCCCATGAAAATGATCATTATTTTAAAGACTTGTTAGAAAGAATTAGAATAGCCTGAGTGAAAACCACATGAGTCATCCCAGTTATACTTTTACCAAAACAAAACACACTTTGCAGCGTTCAGTATTTAATCTAATGAAGTTAAACTGAGCTTTTTTCACGTGTTTCACTTGTTAATTGCTGCTTTGCACTGAAATAGTTTCTGGATCGGAGCCATTGTCACTGTCACTGTTTCCACCTGTTCGTTTCCTGCCGTGACAAGTCGGCAGAGACATTTTTGGGCGGTTTCCAGACGATATGACTAAAGTTTGGAAACCACAAATTAATGCGAGAAACAACCTAATTCACATCAATATTTCTTTCACAGCATTTATCAAACAAACCACACGCTGACAGTGCTAAGCTAGGCTAAACACAACCTGAACCTTGTGACACTCCAGCTGTAAATCGTGTCTGTTTTTAGAACATTTCAACATATTTTTAACCACAGATAAACACACTCTGTTGTTCTCGTCCCCCGCAGTTTATAAAAGATGTGCTCGTCTGCTGACTCAACTGGCCAACAGCCCTCGCTGCACGGAGAGATAAACAGACTGAGAGACGGTGAGACTGAGTTTGAACTTGGACATTCATGTATACAAACCAAAATATTCATCTTAAACACAGTTCTGCCTGTAATTTATTCCTCCCGTAGACTCATAGATCTGACCCCCCCCCCCCAACCGCTACAGAGGAGGCAGCAGTGGCCAAAAGCACAGAGGTCAAAGGTCAGAACAGGCAGAACAAATGTGATCATAATGATGAAAACCAGATTTTTATTTTTCAGTGTTCAAAGAAAGAACTTCATTAACTTAAAGCCTAAAAGTCTGAAGATAAAACCGTATTGAGGACAGTTACACGAGGGCTTGTTCCCTCCTTAAAGGAGCTCTTTGATTCAAAAAAAAAAAAAAAAGAAAGTCAAAATGTTTTTGTCTGTTTTCGTCCGTTGTTGCGAGTCACACTGTGGAGAACCGACCCAAAGTTTGTTCCTAAAACAGAGTAAGAACATCATTATCTGACATCATTCAGGGCGCAGGGCAGCGCTGCCGGCAGCCGTTTCAATAGAGATCATAGAAGAAGAGAACAAACAACTACGACAATGTGACGATTGTTGAGTCCAAACTTAACGGCCGGAAAGAAAATGAGTTTATCTGAAGAGAAACGACGAGTCGAGACGGAGAAGAACCAGGAGGAACACTGAGTCCCTAACACCTGTGGTCTGACCTGTAGAACGTAATGAACCAGGAGAACCACAGAGGACCTGAGAACCTGCAGAACATATCGTCTGTAGAACGCCGTAGAACATAGTCTGCAGCCCGTGGCCCCTGAATATAGAGTCAGTAGAACCATAGAACCTGTAGAGCCGTGAGTACGTAGAACACATTGACTTTGCGTCATGTTTAGAGCCTGTGGAACCTGGACATGAAAACCACACAGTCTGCAAAGACTTAAGAATTAGGAGTATCTGTAGAACCTGTAGGGCTGAGTCTATATAACTAGTAGAACCAAGAGAACCTGTACCTGTGGAACTTGTTGATGCTGTAATCTTTAGAGCCTGTAGAACCTGTGATTTCTTTAAAACCATAAAGAGACAATAAAACTACAGAGAGTTTATAAAACCTGTAGAACCTGAAGTCTGTAAAAACCTGCAGAGGAGTCTATAGAACCTGGAGTTTGTAGAACCCGTAGAGCAGAGAGTCTGTCGATCTTGTGGAACATGTGGGACGAGAGTCCAGATTCTGTGGAACCGGTAAATCCTTAATCTGTAGTTTTACTGAGCTTGAACAACCTGATGTTTCTTTAAAACCGGAGTCAACAGAACCCACAGAACCTGTAGCCGCTGGACTTTCACACCTGTAAATACTGGAACCTGTAAAACCTGTAGAGCCCTGTAGAGTTGCATCATGGGAAATGTAGTTCCAGTGTTTCTGGAGCTTGACTCAGACTAGGGGATAAAAGTCGGGATATCGCGACCTGCGCTGCTTCAACTTTTTATTCTTCCTTCGGAGAGTCTCATAACTTTATGAAAGAGTTCGACTAGATCACCTCTGACCTTTGACCTCGTGTCTTCCTTGTTGTTGTTACTATAATTATTATTTCTACAGTTCCTCCCTCCCTGCAGCTGTCCTCCACTAACAGAGATTTGTTCCTGCTCCGCTCACGTTCTGTCACGGCTGCTGATTTAACTTTGCCGTTCTTTAAAAATGTGTCAGGGAAATATTCAGAGCTGCAAACGCTCCTCAGCCTGAAGAACAACACGTGGCACCTTCATGCTGCAGTTTGACCAGCTGACGGTCGACACAGCTTCCTGTTACAGAGACAGTTTGTTGCTTCATGTTGTGTTTTAACCTGAAAACTTCAGTTTAAGCTTCACTTCACCTTCTCTTCTCTCCCTGTGTCCCGTCTACAGCCTCTGACAGACGGGCAGTGTTGCCGTGACAACGAGGAGGGCAGGGCATCCTAACGAGGTTCATTTCCTAACGAGCGGCAGAAGTTTTCACAGCCAATAGAAACTCCTCCTGAGGTCGTGTCCTGCAGCCAATGAGCTGAGCCGACTGATCAGAGTGCACTGTTTTCTGTTCTACTCCATTCTTTCACTTTCCTCCCGTTCCTTCTGGATTCTCCTTCTTCTCCACTCGGCTTCTTCTTTCCACTGTTTGTCTCAGCTCCAGAGCATTTGTACATTGTCTGTCAAGATCAACGAGATCATAAGATTTTACAGCATGTAAGTTAGTAAACAGTGATGTAATCAGTTCATAACACAACATCGTGTAAGAGAAGATGTTTACCTTGAGTTATTGGACGCGTGCTGATCAGTCTGTTTCTACTTTCCTCCGTGCAATAGGTAAACTGACCTCTGACCAGATGTGCTGAGGTTTTAGTGAACAATGGCTCTGTTAATTCACTGAGAGCTTCACAATAAAAGCCTCCAGCTAGTTAGAAAAGTGTATATAAGCTTGATGAGTGAAGCAGCAGCAGCAGGAAACAGTGAAATAAGGCTTTAAAGAAACTAAACCAAACACAGAGACTCAGGTAAAATCCTAAACAGAGTTTTCTCTGTTCAGTTACCAGCACAAACACGTTGAGACGTCAGACTGAGAGAGAGGCTCTGCTCCGATGGAGGAGACTGTCTCAGGTTGTCCTCACTCAGGCCTGATACCAAGCAGCATCACAACAGTGTGACTTGGCACAGCTGCCAGGCCTGCGGGAGAAACAACCTAAACTACACGACTCTTCTTCACCAAACTTAAACCTGCAACAACTGATTGTCAACTTGTTTTCAGCAGAAACAAGTTGAGGACACATCATCAGCTTTTTAAATTGGTATAAGTTCAGTGTTCCCTCTCTCTCTTTTAGCTCAGTGTTTGGTCTCCACCTTCTCCTGAGGGAAACATCTGGCTCTTTAGCTGCTAAATGCTGCACCAGCTGTTCTGCCTGTGTCTGTCTGCTGGACCGTGGCTTTTTTACAGAGAGTGACCTGAAACAGTGAAGTTGTGTCTGGACTTCTTCTTCTATTCTATTCTATTCTATTCTAATGTCCTCTACAACCCATCCACTATGCTGTGCCTCTAAATCCAGTCTACACAACCAGACTCACCTCAGCTGTGTTCTGCTGTATTCTACCGGACTCTACTTGGCTGAACGCGCTGGCAGGAAACTGATCTTCAGCCTCTCACGTTCAGACTGAGCAAAAAGTGGATTTCTATTTTTCCTCTGGATGATGATTCTACTGGTTTCTAATGGAGCTGCAGGAGTTTTGTCTGGAAAACGAGGAGCTGGAACGAGTTGTGTCGCTGCTCTGAAATCAAGAGAAATGTTTTTAAAGCTTTTTGTTTGCCCTCAGAGACTTTGCCACGGGATGGATGTCTTCTTCCTGCTCTTGCAGAACAACAGTGTTTTGGTTTTTGTGTAATTTTGGACGATGGACGCCTAAATTATATTTTACCTTCCGTTTGAAGCCATAGGAGGAACTACAGGGACAAATCCTCCGGTTGGACCACAGCTAACTGTTCTGTCATCCTGTGGGACAGAAACGTCCGAGATGCTGAATGTGTTTTATGTTACATGATGCATAATAATAATAATAATAATAATAATAATAATAATAATAATATAATATTCCAGTGTATTTATATTGTTGAAGCTGCCGCCACGTGTGAGGAACAGAGCTACCTGCAGCTCTGTGTGCAATATGTACATACTGAAAGAGGAATAAAGACGCACGTTTGATATATATGTTTTTCCAAATTAAGACTTTTATTTTGCCGTTTCTTCGCTGAGTTAAATCTCTGTAGCAGTCATATGTTCACGTCACCAGGACGGCCTGTGATTGGATGAAGTCCTGGAATTTTTCTGTTTTAACAAAATGGCAATCAGGTTGTTTATTACACGAACGATCCCAAAGTTGGTTCAGCTCCTTTTAAAGAATAATTAACTCCAGGTTATTTCAGGTGTTTGTCGGCTGCTGCTGGAGGGGCGGCTTGTCTCTGACAGGGTGAACCACATAGCTGCACTGTTGACTTTGGCTGCTGCTGCACAGTTACATGTTGAAAGTGAATATTTCCTCTGTGCTATGAAGAAAAAAAAGCTTGTCTGATTAACTCCTTCGACCTCTTCAAACCAGCAGAACTTCACTTTGAACTTTGTGTGGAGACATGTCGGCCTGGGTTTTGGCAAGGCATGGCATCATCAGTAGCTACTAAAACAAACAGATATGATGATGATGATGATGATGATGATGATGATGATGATGGTGAGGAAAAGACTGAGTGTTTTGCTTATTGTTTGGAAACGATATCTGAAGAAAAATGTGGTGTGAATGTGTTTGCAGCTGTATGATTTTTTTTTTGTCTGATCGTTGCCATGGTAACAGCTGTAGTAATAATAGCCACAACATGATTACCCAGAACTTCTTTAACCAGTTAATGATCTGTCTGCCTGTCTGCGTTTGTCTTCATGTGCCTAAAATATCACTTACAGCCATTTTCATAGTAATTAGGCAAACTGTCAAAGGTGTGTGTGTGTGTGTGTGTGTGTGTGTGTGTGTGTGTGTGTGTGTCTGTGTGTGTGTGTGTGTGTGTGTGTGTGTTTGCAGTCCGACCAGCTCTGCTGCAGTTTTGGCAACAGCTTACATTCATCATATTACACTCACACACATCAGTATTTGTAGCTGTGTTGTCTCTGTTGAGGTGAACAGTTTCAGCTGTGGTTCCTCTTGTGTGTTTGTTTGGTTCAAGAGTCAAACAAACTCTGGAGTGAACCAAAAACCGGAACAAGACCACCTGAACAGGGTCTTAGGATGTTTTCAATATAGTAGCTTTGTTTTGTTCTGAATCAGTTGATCAGTTGATAAAAATGTTCTATTTTCCAGCTGGTTCAGTTTATTTTAACACAAAATTAAAGCGAAGCAAAAGTTGGGTCAGACTGAGTTCAGATCCCACCACAAATTAATTGCTCCAGGATTTGTGACAGGATGGAGACCACGTCCTCTGAGGGGCCTCGGGGTGTCACCTGTTTGGTTGGGTTCAAAAAGTCTCTGGTGCTTTTTGTACAGTTTGTTTGGGCTGGTGTGAAATCTGACTCTGGATGAGCTATGTCAGTCCATTTGACTTCCTGTTCACACGCCTTCAGCAGCCTTGGTCTGACTGACGACTTTCACAGCAACCTAAATAAACCAAACCAAATGTACCAGGATGTATTTAAACTGAGCCACGGTGTAAAATGACATAAAATATTAGTTAATGTCTGAATGAAAGAATAAAACGTGCCACTTAAATTTACCTGCTGAAGTCTGGTGAAGTTTAACTCATAAAGTCTGATGCTGAAAAACTTAATTTTAATAATCAGATACTTAACTTGTGATGTATATGTATATGTATTCTGTGGCCTTTTATGCCTTAAATGTTCTTTTTTTGCTTCATCCCAGAATCTTTAAAAATGAAAATGTCGATACGACTGCGGCACAGTCCATCTGTCCTTGTCTCGTATGTCTGCAGACATAAACAGCTGGTTTTCTCCTGATGAATGTTTTTCTGCGTGACAGAGTTCAGTGGAGGTTTGGGAATCAATCCAGTCTGCGTTCACATGATATCAGAGGAATAAAACATGACTTCCCACAGTCCACATGACTGCACGGAGGGCAGATTTTTTTCCTTTAACCTATTTTCTTTTCAGTTTGTTATGTATTTTTACCTCTTCCCCATCTATCCAACCCTTGTCTTGAACGTCTATTTTTAAACTCAGTTAAATTAGTTTTTAGATGAAATTTGCAGAAATAAACAAAGGACCGTATTAAAGATTTATATGAGTCATTGCTATATTATAAATAAGGTCATATTTTATTTATGTAATAAGCAAAGGAACAAAATAATAATAATAATAAAGGAATTTAACATGTATCTTAAATCTCCAGCAAAATGTGAACAAATTAAAGGAAATTGTGGATCAATCTGTGGATAATAGTCTTAATGATATTAATAATGATGGCATGTTATTCCAGCTTGAGTGTTTATGCATTGTTCCAAAGTAGTTAGCCCAAGTGCTAACCTTTTGTTCAATTAGCTTAAATTAGCTTCTTTTGTTGTGTTGTAAAACGTATTTGTAACCATTCAGACGAAACTTAATTCAGACTTAACTAAATTCATAGTTTGTCATTATAATTCAAACAATGTGAACACAGTATTATGGACCTAGATGTGAGGCTTTAATGCTATATTTAGCATGTTTAGTTTGTTAGCACGTGTCTGGATAATTGCTAACATTAGCAAACAGCAGTACGTTTCCTCTGCCGCTGAACATGGTTTTATCACCGGGAGCGGGTGGCGGTGATTGTGGCTTGACCAAGAGATTCAACACAAAAGCTTATAATACATCTGGGCAGCGCTACCTAGTTTTCAGGCTACATGAGTTGCTATCAGACAGTGATGAGACGGGCCGAGGCTAGCTGGTTAGCATGCTAACCAGTAGAAGAAAAGACGTGATAGAGACAACAGACGTTGACGTTGAAGTTGCTTTCCACCGCTGGAGACAGCTGTTGGTGAAGTTTGATGATGAACTTGCACCATTTCTTCTAGACTTGTGAGTAAACAGCTGCTAATGCTAATGTTGGCTATGTAGCAATAGCAAAACTTACAAATAGCTCCTAATAGCTAAACTTATGAGCCAACACTTTTTTCTGAATGCTAACAATAGCTCATTAACCTAACAATAATTACAATATGGACCTAAAGTCTTAAGTGAGTAAATGCTAACTTTATCAAATGAGCTGTTTGAGTTGTTAGCTAATTTAAGCATTGAGTAAAACAACGTGTCTCGTGTGAGCTAATTTTAGACTAAATTAATGATTTAGTGAATGCTAGCTTTAATGAACATTACCTAGCTTTATTGACTCATGATACTAATGCCGAGAAATAAATTTAACTAGGTTGCTAGTGGTTGCTAATGTTAGCAATTAGCTTAAAACAAACCACTGGTACCATTTAGCAAACAGCTACAGTATAGCTTCATAACCAGACCAACCACAGTGACTTTTTAAAGGCTGAACCTGCTCTGATTTTCTTTATTGAGCGGATTCAGGTGATTTAGAAGTTGCACAATGTTGTCAGTGAAACAGTTGGGTAATTATAATTAACAATAATGGAACATAAAGTACCTGCTGTGGTTTTGAATTAAGCTAAAGTTATATAAAGAGCAGTAGAAACAATAGAAGCAGTGAAGGAGGAGCAGTGCACTGAGGTGACTAACAGCTGTGGCAGGTAATGACTAATCTGTGATGAATGACACCTGAGTCTCTGCCAGGTCTGTACTGCTACTGTCTACATCCCAACACCAGACTGTTTCACACAGTGAAGACGCTCAGTCATCCAGGTCATGGTGTAACTGCTTTACGAAGGCCTCTGCTCAGCACGTAGAAATATCTTCCACAAGCACTTTAAATAAACACATTCTTGTACTTATGCTTTTATACACAGGAGCTCACATACGCCGCGTGTCCCACATACCTGGGCGGGGATGTTTGATTGACAACTCGGGGGCGTGGACGGCATGACCCAGACTGGAGCAATGACAGGTACGGTTGTGGTTTCTGTGCATGTGAGACAGGTTCGTTAACAGTCTTTCACTAATTGTCACAGACACCAGATGTTCACAGTGGTTGTGTCCTGATTTGCCCACTGAGAAATAATATATATGTTTTAAACTGTTTTCTATTGGTCATTTTTTCTTGTAAAGCACTTTGCAGCTGTGTTTTGAAAGGTTCTATATTAACAAAACGTATCATTATTATTATTATTATTATTATTGTTATTATTATTATTTTATTATAAATTAATAATTCAATCACTGACAACCTGTAGGCTAGTAGAGACTTAAAAAATAATCCTAAAGAACTGGAGGATTTAGAAAACTCGTAGAGGACTTGGACTTGGAGGACGACTTATAATGATTCTAATTCTTGTAACGTCGTCATCTGCAAAAATGGACAAAGGACAACAAAAGCTTGACTTCGTCGTCAGTCCATTGGTCATAAAATCTGTTGGGCTGCTCCATCCTGATTATAAGTTGTGGGTCTTTAAAAGTGTTTAGTGTTTAACAATGCTGCGGAAAAAACAAGTGCACTTGACCAATCACCGATATTCAGCACCCTGAACCTTCAGAAAGTATCCCCCCCCCCCCCCCCCGAGCAGGGACCTTTTCGGGGTAAGACCATCACCCCAAAATTTAATTTAGACTCTCTTGTGGAAGTGCAGCTCGGGGTAAAGTGAAGTAAAAAGAAGACGACTTGTAGAAAGCTCATAGAGGACTACAGGATGAAAAAAAGACTTGAACTGGAGGATTTTGAGGAGGACTTGTAGAGGACTGGGAGATCTGAACTGAATTATGGAGACTGGGTGGCCACACACACACACACACACACACACATGCTCAGAGGAAACACATTAAGAAGACAAATGACTGCAGTGAAACTGATGTTTACCCAGCAGGCTATTTAAAGAGAGAGAGAGAGGAGGGATTAATGTGAGGAGCGATTCAAGAAGAAGATAAAGACATGAGAGAAAGAAGAGAACAGCGAGGAACAGAAATAGAGGGATAGATGAAAGGAGAGATAAAGATTGATGAATGGAGAAGAAAAATAGATGTGACCCTGATTCTTAAAATGCAAACACCTGATAAAACAACCTTTTTCCTCTTCCGCCTTCCTTCATAATGTTCCTTCTTCAGCTATTTCAGGTGTTTTTTTAGTTACATCTATAATTATTATGTAAATTCTTATTATATTATTCACAAACAGTTTGATTTACAGATCAAGTGCAACGTGTTCTTTATTTACTCATCCATTTTTCGCTATAAAAACAAAACGAAGAACAATAATCACCATTAAAATGTTCAGTTATATAATAAATATAATAATAATCTTGAGTTTAGTGTTTTTGGCCCTAAGTGGAGCAGACTGGTTGATATTTTGGACTTTTCAGCCGTATGAAACTATGCAGTAAACATGTGAACGTGTTGAATAGAAGCTGTTGCAGGTGCAGATGAGATAAGAGCAGGTTTGGAGGTTAAAGCTTATAAAAGCCAGTCTGCTCCTGGTGGCGCGAGAATTATAAATACCAAACTGACAGCACAAAGACCCTCCTTCAGCCTGGTCAACATCATCCTCAGACATCCACATCACATCAGGCGAATAATTAACCCATTTTATGCACAGTTTGAATTTTAGTTGTAAGAAGCTTAGAAGTTGTGACATGAAAAGAGGATGTGAACGGATTTTTCTCCAGGCGCTGAGTGCCAGACTGGTGCTTTCTGAGACAAATGTAATTTTCATAGCTGTTTCATAGCTGGCGTCATTAGCTGAATGTGGACAGCCAGCAGTGCCGTGACGGATGGACGAACCAGACTCTGGCATCTACAGATGTAATAAACATAATATTGTGTAAATCTGAAAGTGTTAAAGTTGTGTTTTTACCAGTGGTGGAAGAAGAACGCAAAACCTTCACATAAATAAACGTACCAATACAACAATGTAAAAATATTCATATCAGCTAAAGGTACTTGAATGCACCAGCGCAAAGCAGCATTTTACTGCTGTTTGTGCTCCAGGTGGAGCTGTTTTCAACATCTTTATATACAGCTGGTTAGTTCAGTCCAGTGGTTCCCAACCTGGAGGTCGGGCCCCTCTAAAGGGTCACCAGATAAATCTGAGGGGTCATCAGATGATTCATGGGAGAGGAAAGAAGAAGAAACTAAATTCTGGTTCACTGATCTGGATTCAGTTTGTTTTTATTTTCTGTAATTTTTGGCTTTTAGTGAAATAAATGTGTCTTTGGTAGAACTGCTAACAACTCAATAAGGTTTCTGTCAGGAGCTTTGTGTTGTATTTTATAAGATTATCATGTTTTTGTAAAACTATAATATTTCCCTCTGAGCTTTATGCTACAGTAAAGTAAAGATATCTCACAAGCATGTAGAGGTTCAGTGTTTCCACCACTGGTTTTTAACCTGTTAACAAACAGCCCGAGTTTCGTTCACAAGCCTGAAAATAATGTAAAAATAAAAAAGTTACTGTTCTTCAACCCTTCTTACAGCCATGACCCTTTACATCTTACAACCAAACCGTCAGAATGAGTAGAAGAGACACTGGACCAAAGCTACAAAGGGGGAAAAAAGTTTTCTTCCCTCACTTATATATGTGTGGCATAAAAAAGGAATATGAGGTCAGCAGGACCTTCTGTGTGGAAAAGTGAACGGCTGTTGTAGTGATATGAGGATCCTAAAATACTTGATTGAATCAGGAGACTTGGACTTTTCAAACAACGTAGAATTTGTCAATGAGCTGGTTTTCTGTTTGCCCATCGATTTGTTGTGAACTATAAAATGCAGCCTGTTCTCACACAGGGATTTTCTGACTTTGGGGAGATTTGGTTTGTATTTCGAGGTGAAATATTCCAGGTATCTCTTATCTCGTTCTCTGTCTCTCAGGATCATGTTCAGTGTTTTGTATCAGTTAGTTCTCACTCTGATTTAAAACTGCTGCACCTTTCCATCGAATGGAAATGTTCTTATGTGTCCTAAACTTCTAAGTCATCTCTTAATATTTGCTTCAAATCTTGTTTCCCCTGTTTTTTAATGAACCATTTCAGTGTGTTCACTTCGTGTGTTCGACTGTGCTGGGATCAGATCCCACGACTCCATGCTCTCGTGTCAACACCTCACATTACTGACCTGACTCTGAATGTTTTCTCTGCTCTGAAGTTTCTGACTCGCTTCATTATCATTATTACTGTTATTATTTTCTTCAGACATTCAGTGTCGTTGCAGGTTTTATTTTGAAGGAATCGTGAAGAAGGCTGCGTGAAGAAACAAGTAACTGTGTTTGTTTGATATGGCTGCTCTGCAGTTATTAAAGAAACCCATTCCCCGGAGTCTGCCGGCTCCTGACCTCTGACCTCCCCGAGGAGAGCAGCTTATTTCTCCGCAGAGAGATTCATAATAACACGTAACATTATCACGTTAACTGTGAGAAAGTGACGGCGGTCCTGACTCTGGCCAAACATGGGAAGGTTTTCAGCATCTCTCTGCCTGAATAAACAGCAGTCTGGATCTGGGACATTCCCGCACTGATCTGAGACCTGCTGTCTCACATGAAACTTGATGTTTCGGTCCCTGTGGTCAGTCAGCACTCTTGATGTTGGCCGTGGGATTGGCGTGGTGGAAGGAGGGTCGGGTGGGGACCTTCTGTCTTTGACGTTTTGTTGATAAGCCCACAACGTCTCCAGAAGACTCCACGGTGATACCTGGTATTCCAGGTATCACCCCCCTCATTTCCTCACCCTCCAGTCTTCATCTTGCAGTCCAGTTGTTGTCTTTCCTCCACCACATGCCATCTCTTCTGCACTGATGTTTCCTTCTGCCATTGAGGAGCTTTTGGGATGAGCCAAAGAGTGTGAACAGCTTCAGATGGGGTCCACCTCCTCCCTGTTGCCACAGGGGGTGCTGTTGTTCAAACAACAGTGATCTTAAGATCCATTGAGGGTCTGGACCAACCTTGCTTTGGTGGATTGAGTTCAAAACACAAATGCCACAAAAAAATTCAAATGAAAAAATAAAATATATTAAAAAAAATCATATGATATAGTTATACCATTAAAATTTAAAGACATATTGAATGGTTTTGTTCAGTTAACACTTATGAACAGCCTACTGTTAATACTGCCACATTAAATATATCAATATTAAATCTAAAGGTTCAGATAAAAGCTCCTTAATTGGATCCTGAGCACAGACTCACAGGCAACACAACAAGCTCCACCAATCAGACGCTTCAGTCTGAAGAAGGTGGAGTGTGTTTACAGAACAATAATATTACAAGACCAACAACAGGGAAAACAAATACAAATATTACCTAAAATGCACAATTGTAACGGTAAATAAATAAATAAATAAATAAGTTAGGGTTAAGTTTGGAGGAAACTGAAGAAATATTTTATTGAGTTATTAATGTGTTGACTCTACATTAAAAAATAAAACCACACGTTTCTGTATTATGGACTGAACTCCAGAAGTAAATAAGAAATAAATAAAATGAGAAAGGACTTTTTGGAACCTGAAGGAGGAAATGAACAGGAAACACCTGAAAGACTGAACTCAGGGAAAACTATTGCCTAGCACACGAACGCGCCCAGCCCAGCCACAATCACACACGGGAACGCGCCCAGCTGACGAACACCTCTCTCGGGGCTGTCTGCGCGGCGCCTGTCTCCCTGACAACACCTATCGATCCATTCATTGATTTATTATCACCTGTTTGTGTGTGTCAGTTATCATCAATTAACTCCTCCCACCTGCTCCTACCTTTCCAGGTGTCCTCGATTTATTATTTATTTTTTACGTGAAGTGCGTGATATCCGGCAGCGCGGAGAGTTGTCGCGAGATTCAGGTGAATCGGAAGGGAAGTGAAGAGAGGAGAACCTCCCGCAGCGCACCTGTCCGCAGGTAAACAACCGGAGGAAAGGAAGAGAGGAATAAAAAGAAACAAGTAAGTTAATTTGAACTTAAAAAGTTCAAAAGAACTTAAAAAGAACTGAAGAGTTCTGCTGTCTGTCCACCCATGTCTCCATATTCCCGCTCTGTTCTGTCTCACCTGCTTCCTTGTCTCTTCCTCTCAGTGTTCCAGCTTCACAGGATCTACCTGTTCCAGCTGTTCGATCACACTGAGAAAATAACTCACTGAAGATTGTAGTTTGTTTTTGAGGAGGTTGTGGTCTTTCAAGAGATTCTAGTGGTCTTTTGGTTCCCAGGTTCTGGTGTTCTGTTAGAAGTTTATATTGACCTGTCAGGGGGTTCTAGTCATCTATAAGGAGGTTCTAGATAGTAGTTTTTAAAGAGGGGGTTCCACTGGTCTTTGAGGAGTTTTCCATCTGTGAGGTCTCAGCAGTCTTTAGCCGTCTTTTAAGAGGTTCTGGTGTTCTGTAAGAATTTCATATGAATCAATCGGGGTTCGAGACGTCTTAAAGAGGTTCTAGGCGTCCAGGAGGAAATTCAGATGAGTTTATGAATGTTTTTATTCATCTGTGAGCAGGTTCTAGCCAACTAGGTGGAGACAATGGTAGTGGTAGTTTTTATTTTCTAATTATGTTCGAGGAGGTTTTGGTTGTCTGTAGTGGAGTTCTAGTAGTCCATAAAAGGGTTCTAGGCGTCTAGGAGGATGTTCTGATGGTCTTTGAGGCGGTTTCATTGGAATTTTTTCATCTATGAGTGGTCTTTTGGTTCCCAGTTATCTTTGAAGACGTTCTAGATGTCTTCAATTTGGTTCTTGGGGCCTATTGTGGCTTTCCAGTGATCTATATTGATCTAGAGAGAATTTGGTTCTTGTGAGTACGGTGGTACAGGTGATCTACAGGGAGTTTTTATTCACCCATTGGGAGCTTGTAGGGGTCTGTGAGGAGGTCCTGGTTTTATACGAAGAGGTTCTGGTGGTCTTTGAGGAGGTCCATGAGGAGTTTCTAGTTTTCTATGAGGAGGTTCTAGTTGTCTATTAGGCGGTGTAGGGGTCTTTAAGCAGGTTCTAGTGGTCTATAAAGAGGTTCTATGCAGCCAATAGGATGTTGTCATGGCAACGCTCCTGCTGTGGGGAATCTCTGACGACTCGTTAGTGTTAATGAGCTCTCGTTTGAAGTTAATCAGCTCTGCTGTTGTGATTTAAATGAATGAAATGTAATAAAAACGGTTGTAATGGCTTCATGAACCATCAAACTCTTTGTCTGTTCACATTGATTTTCAGATCCCTCTCTCCTTTCAATGAGCTCATCTCGTCACAACACTGCATCACATAACTGTGATGACGTAATCTACATCATCCTCAAAGAACAATAGAAACTCCTTAAAGAACAATGGAAACTCCTCATGGATGAATAGACTCTAAAAGAAATTCATAAATATCAGTATATATGTAGAACGTACATGGCCACGACATCCAAATCACAAATGAATGGAACCTCCTCTTAGATGATTAGAACCCTCTAGAACATGACTGCAACCTCTTTAAAACCCAATTCGTAGTTGATGAACAGATGATCACTAGAACCTTTTGAAGCACCAATAGAACCTCCTTAGACAGTAGAAGCTAATAAAACCTCACTGGAACCTCATAGATGACAAGAAACTGAAAGATCTCTAGAATGCTTTCAAAGACCAATGACACCTACTCGGCCACTAGAACCAAATCAAAAATGAGTGGAACGTTCTCTTAGATGAGCACCACCCAAAAGAACAATAAAACATCCTCAGTCATGACTAGAACCTCAGAGAAGGTGACTACGTTGTCCTCAAAGAACACTGAAGTTCACATTTTATTGAAATATCTCAACCACTGTTGGATGGATTGTGGTGAAATGTGGTTCAGACATTCATGTTCCCCTCAGGATCCTTTGACTTTTCAACAGGTCAACGTTGTAATTAGTCCAGGACTTTGGTTTATGACCAAACTAATCCTCACAGAGTCGTTAGTTTGGCTTTAGACTGAGAGATAAACCAACAAAGAAATAATTATGTGACTGAAAACAGAATCTCTTTTTGGGTTAAAACCCCTTTAGGTTCCTGCCACAGTCCTAAAACAGTGACAGCAGATTCAGGCAGCAGAGACCAGTTTGCCAACATGCCTCCTGCTGCAGCCAGCACATTCCTAACACATGACACAACGACACACACCAGCCTGAACATCCCATCCTCAGCTGAGCTACAACACGCTAACAAAGCTCTCCTTCAGCAGCATGAAAACATCAGTGAAACTCCATCATGCCCTGCAGCTGCAGCGCACAAGCCAGAGTTACACTCATGACGCAAAAGTTCAGAGACCCATCAGATAAAAAAAATGAGTGTGTGTGTGTATATATATATATAGATAGTCTATATAGTATATATATATATATATATATATAGTCTTACAAAAAAATCCAGTCTGGGCGAAGGAGGATGGAGGCTGGGTGGAGCAAGAATCTCAACAGGTGACAGTGTTACAGGCTAAGACACCTGTCTCGAGCTGCATTGATTAGTCATTCAAAAGTTAATTGCAGCAAAGAAAATCAGTTAAATCATTTTCTTTTGAGCAAAAATGCTAAAAACATTTCCTCTTCTAGCTTCTTAAATGTACAAATTTGCTGCTTTGTTTGTCATTTATTATTGTAAATTAAATATCTTTAGGTTTTTAACTGTTGGTTGGACAAAACAAGAAATCATCACTTGGTTTTTAGACAATGTGACGTTTTATAGATGATATGATTAATTGTTTAATAAAGAAACTAATCAGCTGATTAATGAATAATGAAAAGAAGTCTGAAGTTGGAGCTGCACACCTGTCGATTAAGCCAAGGTGTACTAACCAATAATTGATCATTCAGTCAGAAACTACAAAAAATATTCATCAGTTTCTCAGAGTCTGATAGAAAACAGAGAAAGAACATTTCTCTTTGGAGAAGCTGAAAACGACAAAATCTTTAGTATTTTTGCTTCGTAAATTACGTAAATTGTTAATTGATTATCACTTCTCGATTCAGCACTACACATGGCCCGGTCATATTGATTGGAAAAATGTCAGGCACCTGTATCACATTAATGTTTTCACTGTGTTCTGTGGTTACTACAGTGAATGTAGAGAATTATGCATCAACTTCATCACAGTTCAGTTCAGAGATGAAACAAATATTCAATTTCAAGAACTAATCAAACAAATCAATAAGTGTTTGGTTAATCAGTTAATCCTTTTAGCCGCTTGTAGAATATGTTTTCACTGGTTTCAGGTTCTTTAATGTGAATATTTGCCGGTTTCTATTTGTTTTCTGTGATAACAAACTGAATATGAGAACGAGGCATTTGAAGACGTGACCTTTGATTCTTGGAAACTGTGATGGACGTTTTTTTAAAGACTAAATGATGAATTGAGATAAATCTGCTTTTTGAAAACAAGAAGCTCAGAGTTGTTGAAGTTTGCTCAGCCTTTCTTACTTCAGATAGAGATAAGATGAGATCAGATGAGGAAAACAAAGAGCTCATTGATTAGGACTGTGACTGAAAATCAGCAGGAAGGGTCAAACTGAGAAACCCTGAATGAGCCGTTGATGTTTTAACAAACCATATAATTGGTGTGTTTGCAGTGAGTAACCCCATCCCGTCCAATCTGAAGTCAGAGGCCAAGAAAGCCGCCAAGATCCTGCGAGACTTCACCGAAATCTCCAACAGGAACGGACCTGACAAACTCATCCCCCGTAAGAAAAGGCAAACTGTCCCGTCCTCCTTCACACTGTCTGTTAACAAGGCTGAAATCGTCCTCCACAGGGTTTTACCAGAACAACTCATTTGGGTTAGTAATATTAAAGTGTGATACCCAGCCCTTTAAGAAAAGAAGGGGAAGAAAGGAAGGAACAACGAAGAAATGGACAGAATAATAATACATTTTATTTCTACAGCACTTTTCAAAGTCAGGTAAATAAAAGCACAAATAATTAAAATAAAATAAAATATACAACTATAAAGAAAAGAGGGAAATAAGAAACTGAGGCAGGGAACTCGAGACCTAAAGGGGTCCCAGCTGTAACGGTGACTTTTGATCCAGGATTTAGGAACAGCCAGGAAAGCTCTTAGATGACCAAATATTCAGTGATATAACCAGTAGCCAGCAGATGTGTGAGCAATAAAATCTGAGAATAATTCAACATTTTGGGAAGGCTGTTTCCCTCTGTCACTCTCCCTTGTCTTTATGCTAAGCTAAGCTAACTATCTGTTGACTGTAGCCTCACCGAGGGAGGACAAAAGAAAAGAAAGGAAGGAGAAGAAGTAAGGGAAGTGAGAGTGACATGGAGGCAGGAGGTGAAATGAGGATTAAAATGTGCTGAATGTTTATTTAAATGTGTGTGTGTGTGTGTGTTTAGTGAAATGAGTGTTTCTGTGTGTTGTAGCACATGTGATAGCGAAGGCCGAGGGTCTGGCCATCATCTCCGTCATCAAGGCCGGCTTCATGATCACAGCCAGAGGAGGCAGCGGCATCGTCATCGCCAGACTGTCCGACAGACGTAAGAACTTGACCACAGTCCATCTGTCCATCCATCTGTCTGTCTGTCTGTCTGTCCGTCTGTCTGTCTGTCTGGCGGCTAAATCCATCTTTTCTAGTCCTTTCCATCCTCTTCCGAATCCAGCTGAGCCGCTGCGCAGCGAGGTCACAGCTCCATAGGTTCAGTGTCTCCTCTGCAGGTTTGAGTCCCACAGTGACCTTTTTGTTTTTCAGCACATTTTGTGTCATTTTACTTTGCCTTGGTAACAAACAGACACACGCCCTCAGATCTCCCTGCGGCATATTTAGCAGCAGCAGTCATCTGATGTGTTGTGTGTTTAACTGCCGATTTTAATTAGCTCGTCCGGCGGTGGCGGCTGTCACATTTCCACGGTTGGTGTCAGAGATTGTTGTCAGGCTAAAATCCAGTGAGGATCACACGGGCCGAGCTGCAGCTGACGCCTCCGCTGCTCTGCAGGCTTATTGTTGATTTTCTGGGCTTTAAGACCAAAGGAGCAGTTCAGAAAATCTGGTTTTACAGAGCCACAAGGTTTTTGGTTTGTATTTTTTACTGTCAAGCAATAAGGTTTAAAAAGGGCAGCACACTCTCTGAGAGCATCACCTGTTGACTTGTAAAAGTTTAATGATGACAAGGAGGAAGAGGAGAAAAATAAATATGGAGGAAGTGAAATGAAGAAGGAAGTTTTAGATGTTGCTGATAATTTTTCTAGAACCATCACGTGTTTGTCATTGTGCGTGAAAAGTGACAGTCAAATATCACAATACTTGCAGATGAATATTCAGTCGATTAACCAAAGGATTAATTGACTTATTGTTTCAGGTATGATCTCTGAATGATCCCAGATTTAACCACATTATAAATCTTTATTCACAAGATGAGAAATCTCAACAAAAAGCTGATCTTGATTTTCATTCTCACAGATGTGGAAACAAAAACAAGAAAATGCACAAAATACTGATCTGAAACCTCTGAGATACAAGATACATCTGACTGTCTGTTTTCTTCTGTATAACTTCAAAGTAAATGAAACATGCATTTCTGTGTGTTCAGGTTGGTCTGCACCTTCTGCCATCGGCATCGCTGGTCTGGGGGGAGGCTTTGAGATCGGGGTGGAGGTGGGTGAAAAAACACGTGTTTTTAAAAAACTACAAATCAACTTACTGGAATTATATACATACATTTGTGATGTTGGTAGTTAGCAGGAGCTATTTCGGATGAATAGAAACCATCAATTAATAATTTACAGTCAGATAATTAAACGTTTAAGACCTGACTATCAAAACCAGCAATTTTAATAAAAAGACAAAAAGTAAAAAGACAAAGCAAATTGTTTTTTGTTTTAGTTCAAAGATTGTGAATGCACCAGTTTCCATCAGGCAAATGTCAAACTTCAGACGTCAGATTGTCCTTGAATGCACCAGCAACCACCTGTCAAACCCCTGTCAGGTGTCAGACCTGGTGATCATCCTGAACCAGCGTAGGGCCATTGAGGCATTCACGAAGGGCGGGAACCTGACGCTGGGCGGAAACTGCACTGTCGCTGTGGGACCTATGGGCAGGTGAGCACCTGTACTCTCACTCTGTCTGTCTGACTCTTAATTGCTTTTAATATTTAGTTTTGATGTAAATTATAGTTTAGGTTTTAATATTTTACTATGCCTCGAGATTTATAGACGTTTAATGACAGTGATTGTTTGTGTTTCGAGGCCTGGAGCAGAAACACAAACTAATTCAGCATCTGTGGCAGTTACAAAACCAGATGTGATTTACTTTAGAGGTTAGTGTGATTGATGTGTTTGATGTTAATTTTAGAAATAACCAGGACAGTGTTGTTTCAAGGTAGTTCAACAGGTTTTGGCGCGTGTTGGCAGGTGTGTGTGGGCGTGGCCAGGTATTTGACCAAGAGGTAAAGGCTGACATCGGTGCCAGAATGAGAGTCTTTGTGTCTGTTCCAGCTGAATAACTGAGCTGCAGAAACATTTATCTTAGAATAAACAGAAAACAGCAGCGTCATGTTCAGTTTGCTGAATTGATCTACAGGCTTGTTCTGTGTAATTTGGCTGCATACCACACCCATACTTTTAACCTGGGGAGTCGGTGCAGTTGTAATAATGTTTCTTATCTGTAATAGTGATATTTTTGAGGACCTAGGATTCTGCTCTGTGGAACGCCACACAGATAATGACCCTCTCTATCTTTCTGTTTCTCAGGAACGTGGAGGCAGACGTGGCTCTGCGTAGCACTGCAGCAGTTTTCACCTATTGCAGGTCCAGAGGTTTGTTTGCAGGTATTTCATTGGAGGGGTCCTACCTGATCGAACGCAAAGACACAAACCGCAAGTACGAACGACGCCCATCTACCTGCCCGCCTAAACGTCTCAACTTTTGTGTCTGTTTATCGTTGTTTATTTGAACAGTGCTGTAGTGAGTATTTTCCTGTGCATGTTTGCAGGTTTTACTCCCAGGACATCCGAGCGTCTGCCATTTTGAACGGAGATGTTGAGCCGCCATCAGAGTGCCACGACCTTTACCACATCCTGGACGCCTACACTGAGGCCTACACCACAGACTGGACCAACAAGAACATGCGACCAAAGGTAAATGACCACATATATCCCTCTTTTTTTTATTGCCAGTCTTTCTTATTTATTTATTCCAGACTTGCAACGACTTATTTGAGCAGCTTTGAGTCATTAAAATATAAAATATCTATGTACAAGGAGACAGAAACATTTAAAGCTGAATTTGAACCTCCTGCATTTGTTCTCTTTGTTCCCTCTTTGCTCTGCTACTGATCAGCAAGTCTTAGTTTAGTTAAACACTAGTGAAGTGTATTTGCCTCCAGTTTAAAGCCTGTATGTTGAGTACTGTCCACAAAACCAACACAGTAAACCACAGCTTGAAAAATGATTAAACTTCCAAGCATGAATCTTACAAACAGACAAAGTGGAGTTTATGAGCACAAAACTAAATGGACAAATCAGCAAATAAATCTAAAAGAATCCGCCGTGACTCGCCATCAGAGCTTTTGTGAAGTGGTTAATAACTGATGGTTCTGCAGGTTTTTCTAAAACACACTGTTTCATACTTCAGTTCATTTTTGGACTTTCATAATCGCTAATAAATGTTTCAGGCTAATTTTGCTTACAGCTCTGTGTTCAGCCTTTTGATCTCTGGAGCAACACTCCGAAACACATCTCCACCCACACCAGTACATCTTTCAAAGAATGAGGGAATAAATTAGTTCCATAAAATGCTTCTTTTAAAATTAGGGTCAAAAAGATTTTCAGCTCATAAAGTGATGTTCACGAAAAGTTTGTAGTTGTAAATCAACAGTTGTAAACCTGTACAAATAAATCTGAATGAGAAATTCAAGTTTTTGCCTATGTAGAAAAGATTTGTACTTATATATAATAAATATATGTGTATGTGTGTGTGTGTATATATATATGTATATATATATATAGAGAAGACTGTATGAATAAAATCTTTGAACAGATGATATCAGAGGTGAGGTTACACATAGACAACAAAGAAGTGCTTCAGTGAGTACAGATGCAGATGTGAAACTCGGCGCTCAAAGTTCCTGCACTGTGTGTGACCCTGAAGTTACAAGCAGGAATTTTGACCCTGTTTTTACACTTGAATCTGATTGGACAATGACAGTCCAATCACAGAGCAGAGTCCGATCAGAGGGCAGTTGGTTCTGTTGCCTTCATCTCCGCAGGTCCTGAAAGGTGTGGTAGATTTTCAAGATGGACGCCAGCACGACTCTTCCACAACCCATTTATTTATATTTGATGATGCTGCAGAAAATAATGGTAAACATTCAGTGTGCTGTGTATGTATGTGAACCCACCTGTGTCACGGATGGACATGTCGTCCATCTTGAAAATCTATCAACCTCACCACTCAGATTATTTTGTTAATTTCTACAGATGCACAAACTTGAATTTCTCCTGATTTATCCAGATTTATTTTACAGGTTTACAAAGGTCAGTTTACAATTAATAACACAAATCATTCTGACCATAATTTGATCCCATACACTCTCCATTATCACTCTTAATTATTGTGCCTTCTTGGCACTTAACAAGATTAAAATCTGTAGCTCATTCACCAATATTATGGTTCCATTCAGCTTTTTTCTTCCTTTTTAGACATTTTTTAAATATATTGACCATTTTTTCTGGAGGTTTATGTGAGGAAACTACCTCAGTCTATTTTCAATTACAGACTTCATTCATACTTTAAATGGTTCCACCAGGTGTTAAACTGTTAAACTTCCACTCAGCTGTTTGATATCTATTTATGGTTTTTGAAATGTCAGATTACATTTTACGAATGTCTTTCAGATATTCCAGCTGTCGGCTTTCCCACGGATTTACTGCACGAATCTCACTTTGTTGTAGTTATTTCTAAAGTCTATTCCTCTCTCTCTCTCTCTCTCTCTCTCTCTCTCTCTCTCTCAGCAGTCGTCTGCTCCATCCAGACCTCCAGCTCCGCCTCAGCAGAGACCAGCAGCCAGCTACCAGAAACCAGCAACCGACACTGGTGACACTTCCACTAAAACACAACATGTGTTCATAATATTTGTCGACGTCTGATAAAACAGTGTGTAATGATGTGTGTGTGTGTGTGTGTGTTCAGGTGCATGGTCAGGTACAGGAAGTAAAAACGCCCTCTATCCATCTGTCTCCATCTATAAATCTGAGTCCTCAGGTGAGTTTGTGTGTGTGTGTGGGGGGGGCTGGTCTGTTATTAACTTGCGACCTCGATGAAGCAGCCAATATCAACACACACCGACTCATTAATAACCCTGTGTGTGTGTGTGTGTGTGTGTGTGCGAGCTGTATGTTAACAGGACAGACGCATCCTGTTTTCATATTACAGTGTTAAACACACATGCTGCTGTTTGAATTCTGAGGCTGCAGCTCCCTCTAGTGTTCACTGCAGCTTCACTAACTCTGGTTTAACAATGACTGAATGAAATAAAGTCACCTGTAGACGCACCTGTGTTACAGCTGTTGGTCCAACTCTTAATTGATGTTTTCTTTCTGTTTCAGGTCAGTTTGCCTCCAAAAACTCCCAGAGCTACGGTACGATGACGGAACTGACATTCTTAAGGCTCTGCTTGAAGCAGCTATGTTATTTTATATTATAATGGTTTAGCAGATGGTTTGACCAAATCACTGCTACAGCACAAGTTTTGTTTATAGAAATTACAACTCCAGGTTATTAAAGCTGAATATTTGTCATTTTTGTTCTCTAAAATAATAATTTCAAATTAAATATTACAAAATATTACATATATTATGTATTTATAAAATACTTAATAATCATTTGTAATATTCAGTAGATTCAAAAAAATTAAAATGATTAAATAACACATTTTTAAAAACTATTTGACTTGTTGCAATAATAATAATAATAATAATAATGATAATAAAGTTTATTTACATAGCTCTTATCATTATTAGAAAAACCGAAGATAGAAAATTGAAGTTAGCAGTGAAAAATTTAAGTAACGATAATAAAACTGGATAAAAATAAAATTGCTGAAATATTAATTATTTTCATAAAATGCCTCCAAATTTTTTACAAAGACATATTCTAATTGGTTTCATTAAAAATACTGTTCTTTTTTTTCCTCTAGGTGGAGGACCATCAATGGGCGGAGCCAGTGGGCAGCTGGTTGTCACAGCAACCCACCCATTCACAGGGCAGCAGCCTGGCGACCTGAGCTTTGCCCCCGGCGACCGAATCACCGTCATCACTAAGAGTGAGTCCCAGTACGACTGGTGGGAGGGAAAACTGGACGATGGGCGGATCGGGATCTTCCCCGCCAACTTTGTTACATACTGATGCTGCCCCCTGGTGGTCGGTGGAGGGACTGCAGCTGAACGACAGTCTCTACGGGAAGCAGCAGGGGTCAATATCAATAATGAAATATTTTGGGGTTTTGTACTGTGTTTCAAAACATGACATTTAAGATGTAATCTCCCTTTGCTCTGGGATACTTTAACATTTGTTTTCTGATGTTTTTTAGACAAAACCATCAATCGATTTATTGAGAAAATAATCAGCAGATTAGTTAATAATGAAAACAATCAGTTGCAGCAGTAATTACGGCTTTGTAATTTCTAAATAATTTCCTAGAAAGTTTTCTACATGATTTACTACAAATTTTATACAAAAAAATAGGTATTTTCTTGTTACAACAGCTTTAATTAAAACCCTAACCCTAAACTGCTCAGTGTTGACTTCAGGCAACTTTGGAGTGTTGGAAATCTCCACTAACTGATGTCTCAGCACTTGTTCAGCTGTTGTAGATGCTCGTTTGTTTGTTTGTTTGTTTATGTGTTTATTTAGAGGTGGGGTAACTACAAAATTGTACTAAAAATATCTTAAGCACCATTTTGCTGTCCTTCCCCTTCAGAATAAAACTGAGAAAAACAAAAAGACAAAAAGTTCTTTTACATTTAGTACCAAAATAAAATTGCACTTTTCATTCTCACAAAGATACTTCAAAATAAAAGCACTTTTCAAACCAGATGAACGTTAACTTGAATTTTAGCATTAAACTTTCAGATATAGACTTTCTTATTCACTGTGTGTTCAGTATGTAAAGCTTCATTTCTGGGATCTGTTACTGTCTCCACTTTTAAAATGTCTCCACAGCAGTAAATAGGATGTGGGTGGGATTAAATATTTTTTGACACTTATCTCTGTTTATAGTTTTTATATAATAATGGATTTGTTTTAAAGACAACTGTAGGATTATTCTGTCAGTTTAGTATGATTCACATAATCGTGGTGTTTTTGGGATTGTTTTTACATATCAGATTCTGTATGAAGATCATAAATAAATCTATATAAAACTATTGCTGGCATTTATGCATATTTTGTTCATTTTTGTCAAAGAAATACATCGTAAAAATTTACCTTAAAGATATTAATAGATGTAAGGAAAAAAATCTCGGATACAGTCGTACCAGTCTAAATAATAATGTTGTTTAATCTGTTTTAAAATGATTCACAAATTGCATTATTCAAAAAATAAAGGGGCTGTTTGTGTGTTTTCTTTCCGCCAAAGGTGGTGTCAGCCATCTTTTTGAATTTATAATATAAGAGATTATATTACGTCATCTGAACGGCGCTACGTCTTCGGTGTATACTGGAAGCTACAGTGAGCCGCTAGCTCGTTAGCATGCTAACTTCAGTCGAAGAAAAGCCGCGATAGAGACAAGAGTGAACATTGACATTACTTTCCACCTCTGGAGACAGCTGTTGGCGGGTAAAGGAATGATGTTTGACGCTGAATTCGCAACGTTTCTTCTAGACTGGTGAGAAAACGGCTGCTAATGCTAACATTAGCTATGCAGAAATTAGCAAAACGTACAAATAGATCGTTTAAACATAATAAAACTGTCTTCAGGTACGTTGTAAAGATAAATATATCTGTTAAATGTCCATTAACCACATAAAACGGCGTAAAACGTCCTGCATCAGTGGTTTAACATCTTTTAATCAGATTTATCTTCAGACTGATGAGAAAATCATTTTCTAATCTCGTTTCAACTCTTTACAGGTGTGTTAGCCACTTAAATGTGTTAGCCTACTATTACTAGATTCAACCATTTCCTTGTTTATCCTACAGGAAAATAATTGAATTAAATCAAAAAAGATATTCACGGCTTTTGTGTGTTTGTGTTTCTGGTGATTTAATGCCTGTAATTTGTAAATAATTAAAATAATGTTTATCGTCTTGAACAAACCAGTTCAAATGTAGAACAAAGATGAAAGAACACTTTTAGTCATCCCCTGTCCCATGTCCTTCTGCATCTCTTTGTGGTCGTTTGGTGTCTCTTCAGGCTCGTTCAGTGGTCCATCCATGAGTTTACAGACATTTTCTTTTACCCCAATGCCACTACTTTTGTAGTTACTGCTCTCTGCCAGTAGATGGCAGAGTAATGCATTGTTAAAAGTGGTGCAGTCAGGTGCCACTGAAGGGGTCCATTCCCCTGCATAATGAATACCTTTACTTTTGATGTATCAAGTACAGTTTGATGATACTTTTACTTCAGTAGCGCCCACAGTACTTAAAGACTGGAAACAGAGGGAACCAGCTAGTCTGGCTCCGTCCAAATCGAACTAAATCCACCCACCAACCCCTCTAAAGCTCATTATTAACATCCCCTTTAACCCTGTAACTACTAGGACAGTATTATACATACTGTTTTCACCGCTGACTCTTAACCTCTGCTCTGATAAATGATGAAGAGGACGAAAACTGCATTTCAGCTCAGTTTATTTCCACAGTGATGAAAACAGAACAAAGTGATAACAAAAATACAACATAAGAATAAAACATGTGACTTCTTTCAAGTCTTAAAAATCCTCCAGCATCATCTGAAGGGGAAAATAAATCTGACATCTCATCCTGCAACATGTTTATGCTGTGTGAAGTATAAACGTGGCTTCACCTTCTTCTCTCCAACAAAAACATACACACAAACACTTTGATGCTCCCTCAGTATTTTTGGTCTTTAATTTAAACCAGAGCTAAATACAAACAAAAATTTTATTTGATCATTACAGTCAAAACAAACTAAGACTCAGACTGTGTGTGTGCATATCAGTCCTGTGTGTGTGTTCGGTGTGTGTGTGTCGTCTTTCTCAGCAGGGAGGATCTCTGTTTTCCTGGTTTGGCTGCTCACCAGCTTCCTGGAAACACACACATAAATCAATGTAATGATTCACTTTGCAGCTGTTAATGTGTGTATGTGATGTAATAATTTTCTTTCTGGCAAAGATTTAAATGTAGTTGATCTTTAGGTGGTCTATAAATATGTGACCTTCTGGTTTAAGGTGTTAAATAATGAATTTTAATTGTGAGGCTGCAACGTGACTGAAAATCTCTGGCAACAATAGCTGCAGCAGCTTGATCAGTCACTCCACGTGCTGTGATTCTTGTATAATTATCTCAATATGTTAGCAGATTTTCAAAGCCCAAACTCAGAGAAAAGACTATTGATCTCTGGGAGACACTGAAGAAAGAGAAGAGCGTTGTGGCTCAAATCTATCAATAACAAAAGTAACATTTTGAGTTATGAAACTCCCAAAGAAAACACTGTCTTTTCTGAAAGTATTTTTTCCCAAAACTATCAAAGTTATGGCTGAAAAGGTTGGAAGTTTTAAGAATAGTTCACATACATCTGAATTGAAAAATAGAATAGAAAGAATATCAAAAAAATACTTTTTCAGTGGAGCAAAAATCATAAAAACATCTTTAAGAAAAAGAAAATAGTTTTGTTCTTAAATCTAAGTTTTAGTGAATTCTGAACGCTCACACTCAGACTAAATCGAGCCATGGTCTCGATGTTTCAACCCAGAAGTCCAGGCTTGGTTTGACTAATTTTTTTCTATGCATTACTTTTTGTCTTTAACACAAATTCAGCAGAAAATGTAAGAAACAAAACCATAATGCATTGTATTTACATGTGATGTGATGATATAAACATTTCTTAGAACATTTCTTATAGTCTACAGACATTAATGAGATACTGGGTGAAAGTATGAGCACTTTGAACGGTTTCCTCAGCTTGTCTCTACATGTTACACAAATATAGTTGGGTACTATTAATAAAACCTGTTGAATCACCTCCTACCCATTCACCCCCCTTGTCAAAAACTAAATAAATTTCTGTTACAGAGTCACAGACAGAGATTACAGAGAAAGAATAAAAACAATGTGAGAGTAAATGCTGTGAGTTTGACTCAGCTGGAGGAACTTTGCAGCTGTTGGTTCATGGTCTGACTCTTTCTAAATGATTTCTTGTGATCATCATTCACTCAGATATTAACAAAGACCGATCCGATGCTTCAACACGATGCGTAGTTTCAATATGGCTGACATTCAGACATAATTTGGATAAAAATGTGAGATTTTTTCTGCTGAAATGTTTATACTTATTGACTATATGTGTGTTTCTCACCGTGTCCTCCAGAAGCCGTCCATGCTGGGTGGGCGGGGCCGAGGCTGCCTGTCACAGTCCTCCACCGAATCGGGAAGCGGCACGCCGCTGGTCTCCGGCAGCAACAGGCATAGGCCACAGCCTACGATTGGTCCACTGCTGTACACGACCATGGCAGCAAATGAGATCGCTCCGTTTGGATTGGGGGGAACGAGAGTGTTGACCAGACAGCCGAGACGGAAACACAGGTTGACCAGGGACACACACCGCTGTCTGGATCATAACGACTACTTTACACAGAACATGGTAAACCCGTTGAAATGTGTGTGTGGGGGCGTGTGTGTTGTTGTTTACCTGACCACCGTGGGGAACAGCTCGATGCTGTACAGTGTAGAGATGAAGATGGCAGCCAGGATGCAGAGTTTTCCCAGTAGAGCCAGACTCATCACCAGCACTGGCTCACCTGCACATACAGTCAGTATTACCTATCAATGCCCGATCAGTAATCAATAACATGTTATTTAGGAGCCTTCTTTTACTCCTTAGAGACTGTTCAGTCCAGTCCTAATTCACTTTTAAGAACTAATTAAAAAAACACACCATGTTAGACATGAATAACCATTGATTATTTTCATTGCCAATTAACTACTGATCATTTTTTAATTAATAGATTAATAATAAAGTATTCAGCTTATATTGGCATTGATATTGAAAAGCACAGACACTTTAAGTCACTGACATAATAAAAACCAAATGATTAATCGATCGATAAAATAACTGGCAGCAACTGAAGCCAACTAGCATCAGGTGTGAGTCAGATGGCAGACAAACAGTAAAGTCGACTTCCAGACATTTGGACACATTCCCTGAGAAATCGGGAGGTTAGTTAGTTTGGTTAGCTAGTTAGTTAGGTTTGGTTATTGGATTGGTTCGTCTCGTAACCATTTCTCCTCACCGTGGTATCTGGACAGCAGTAACGACAAGAAGCAGGCAGCTCCGCTCAGGAACAGAGCGAGCATGCTGATTGGTCGTCGCCCCAGACGAACCAGTGGGACGAGCAGGCAGGGAGCTTCTGATAGGCCGGAGAAGAACTGTGCGGAGTAGACGCCGACGCCGAACGAGCCGATGTTCATACAGATGCCAAAGTATGTTAACGCTGATGCTGTGCTGCAGGACAAACACAGGTGAATACAGCTCATCACGTATATCTACTCTTCTACCATCGGGTGTAATCTTGTCCTCTCCTGCACCTTTTTTATCTTCACCACAACTTTATTTTATAGATCTCATAGTTTCTTATAAGTTTCCTAGAAATGAGGAAAATTTAGCTGTAAATTCTTATGAAGGTTCCTGGAGATGACTGTAAAATGTACAGGGCTGCACGATATGCACCTACTAATTTATAATATGTCAAAGATAATATGTCTAGAGAGGATGATCAATAAATTGTGAGCAGTGTGCTAAAACATGCAAGAGCACCAGACTGACAGAACATACTGTAGCTGTAAGAGGTTTAGTGTTTGTTAATAATGTGTAACTTCACACGTACACATTCACCACCACCTGTAACTCTGAAGAAACCACCACAGTTTCTCTTTGCTGTACTTTTTATCAATGTGCTGTGACAATGTCTTCGACCTGTGAGGGCTGAGGGAGAGTCCAACTAATCAATATGTGATATGAGGGAGAATCATTCATCCACTACATCAGTCTGCACTCATCCACCTATCAGTCCATCTTCTTCTTGTTGCTTTCATCAGTTAAGTTACAACACAACTTAAAGGAGGATCAAAGGTCCCCTGATGATGTGATATAAGACTCTAATGTATATGTGTATGTTTGCTGTGTAAGACTGTCACCTTTGACCTCTGACCGTTGTAAGTAAGTGTCCAAACACAAACTTTTCTCTTTGGTTCAACAGGTTTTATATAATCATGCTCTGGTTTTAATTTATATTCAGTAACTATTATATTCTCCAATTATTACAACTTTAAGATAGTTAAAAATAGTTAATAATAAAATAGTTTTTGATGATGTTTTTTGCTCTAATACTGTTATAAAATGTAAAGAAACATTTGTGTTATTACTTATATTCAATTTATTTTGTTTCTTCACACACAAACCTGTGTGTTACCTCAGGTAGCTCATGATAAACAGTCGCAGCAGGACGGTCGGATGTCTCAAGTGAATGATGTCACTGGGGGCGTGGCCTCCAGGCGGTTCTTCCTTCTGAACATCGGTGGATTTCTGCAGGTCAGACCAGGTGGAGTCCAACAGCTGCACACACACAAACACAGCGAACTTACTGACACACACATCAGTAGTCAGATAATTCCACAGATCACTGAGCAGATACCTTTACATTTACTCATTTACAGACACTTTATCCAAAGAGACAGAGAGGGACATCACCAAAGCTTCAGTGCTGTAGGAGACCTTGGTGTAAATCCTAAGTACTACATCTATTTAATAAGATATTAATATATTTTTGCCATTTTATGTTTTCTCTGCTTGTGTCTTGCTCAGACACAAGTTCTTTAATTCTTGAATTTTTCGAGGCTGGTTTTATGAACATCTGGAGGATGTGGACAGTGAGATGTAGGTCCACGGACAAGAATGGAGATCAATGGAGTCAGATCTATCAGACTTTGAACCACACACAATACCTGTTAGCAGGAGACATTCACTGTTGGTTTGTGTCTTTTCATGGGATTTGATGACAGTAGGACAAATATAATGTGTTACATTTTAACTGAAATTGAGTGTTTGTGTGTATACCAGGTCCAGACACTGTTTATCTGCAGGGCTGTTGCTACGGTAACGGTCCAAAACATCCATCCTCCTCCTTAACAACAACCAGCGAGGAGACTCTGGGATCGAACTTGACAAACAGACAGAAATACTCCTGTAAACCAGTTCTAACGCTTTCCAAATGCTACATAAGCCAGAAAGGTGGACAGACGTGTGCACCTACAGGAACAGCGGCAGACAGACCAGCTGTGGCAGAGCCAGCGACAGGTGCAGGTGTCTCCAGGTGGGGCTGAGCCAGGCCAGAGGAGCTCCAGCCATCGTCCCCAGACTGAAACAGAACGGCAGGAAGGCCGGCGGCCAGAGCCGAGCGGACGGCTGAGTCCACTCCACTGCTGCAACGCAAACACAAACAGGTTCGTTTTAATTGTTGAAGCCACTGCTGAAGCCTTAAAGAGTCAATGCACCCAAACTCTCCACTCATGGAAACCAACACCATCTGCATGGACAGAAACCATGAGCGGTAAAACAGGCAAATAATGATATCAATATGTGAGAGTTAGAGTATATCTTTATCAGATTTGTTTATCAGCATATCCATTCAATATTTTTGATACGGATTCTTTAAATTTGATAATTAAGACATTTTTACAACTGAATATCTTTGGTTAACACACTGCTGGTCAGATAAATGACCTATGAATTCATCCCCGTTAGAAGAAAGAAGATTTTTCACTATTTTCTGACATTTTACAGACAAAGCAATTAATGGAGAAAATAATCAGCAGATTAATCGATAGTGAAAGTAATCATTAGTTGCTGCCCTACAATTCTTTGACATGTCTTGTTGTTTATCCTCCAACACTCCAATGACAAATTATCTGTGTCTACACCAAACTGTAACATCAGCAGTGTTGGGAAATATGTTTTTGCAGTGAGTGGGAAATCATCATTAAAGCTTTCAATACCTCTAATGAGGAAAACTCTGACCTGCTTTATCCTGTGAAGTGTATACAGACTTTTCTGAAGAAATACAAAGTCAACACATTTTTCCCACTAGGTGGAGTAAAATATCTCAACAACTACAACTCGTATTGCCACGATCTGAATAAATCAGCCGATGGAAAGAGACTGAACTTGGATCCACGATGATATTGGAAAACTGCAATACAGAGTCAGACAAGTAGAATAAAGGGATTTCACTCGTCTTTTGACATTCCTGCTCCTAAGAGGAAGAAGCCTTCAGATTTTAATGTCTCCTCTCCTCTTGCTCCACTCTCAAGGCAAACTTTAAATTTTAGCTCCTCTGCTGGTAAGACTCTAAAAATAGATAAATGTTCGGGATGTTGTCCTTTCCTTTAATGTTGTAAGGTCTAATGAACCTGCTGCCTCTGAGAGCCTTTCAGTCCTCTCACAAATCTCAAACCAGATCTCAGCGGTGGCCAGACGTCAGAGAGCTGCAGGAAGCCATCTTGCTTCATTACCACTCAGCCTGGTCAGCATGACCTTATCTGGGACACGTGCTCTTTATCAGCCATGTGTGTGAATGTATCCCACCGTGGTCCAATAAAACTCATCAGACAACCGGTCAACCACAACTCACTGAGGCCAGTTTGGGTCTTTCATAAAAAACAGCCTTTAATCAAAGAAGTTACAGTAAATACCACACTTCCTTCTGAAGGAATGAAGGAAAAACAAGTGGAAAGTTCAGAAATGAGGGAATAAAAATGGAATGGAAGTAGAATTTCCTTCAAGTGCATCTTTCATTTTAAATTTAGTTTTCAGTCTTTTGTGTTGTGTATGTGTTGTTGTTACCTAGGCTGAAGGAGCAGATGTTGATGCAGCAGCAGCAAACGCCTGTCAGGCAACGAACAGCGAGGAAGAGGAGCGGCTGAGGAAGCACGGCGGGCACGAGGCCACACAAAGCGTGCACGCACACACACACCAGCAGCACCGGACGCTTCCCATACCTGCGCACACAATACAGAAGCTTATTGACAAGGTATTTGTTTATTATTGTCACAATAAATGACAACTGTCTGATGTTGGTTATCATGTTGGGTATTACAGTATGTGTTATATACCGGTCAGAGATTGCTCCTCCAATCAGAGATCCCAGCAGCAGACCAACCATGAAGAGAGTCTGACCATAGGACAACCAGTCTGTCCAACCACACACTGACTGACACACACACACACACACACACACACACACACACACACACACACACACACACACACACAAAAATTAATTATTGAAGACAGACTGTTTACCACCCCCACCCCCCCACCCTCCCCCCAAAAAAATGGTTCGGTCCACTGTGCCCTGGGGCAAAAACATGTTCTAGGGTCCCTACAGACCACACCACCCACCCTCTGTGCAGTGTGTACTCCCAGTGACCTCCAAGTGTCTGCAGAGTGCAGATAAACAGTTTAATTTTGTCCTGTCCCAGTTTTCTGTGTGTAATTTAATTTGTGTTAATTTGAAAAATATCTTCACTTGGGATACATGCACCATACGCATGTGAGCACAATCTCAAGTAAAGCAATTAAAATCTTAAAACAGGATTTTGACACATGGCCCACTTTAATTGAAATTGTACCTTTATAGTGCAAATCAGTAAAATACATAACAAATACAATTAAATTAATTCACTAAACCAATCGACAGACAAAGCTTTTGAGACTTCTCTGGGCTGAAGAAAGTTTCCCACTTTGGCCAATTTGTAATTCAGCCCAAGTAAACAAATAAAAATAATACACATATTTACATGTTGTATCTTATAGAAACGGAAAAATTAGACTAGCAACACAGCATTTCAAACATCCTGTCCTCATAGTGGCGTTGCTGGGTTTACTTTACCAGGGTTGCATCTGGTTATTATTTTCCATATAGAACAATCTGATGATTATTTCCTCAGTTAATCAAGTCAGTGTTATGAAATGTCAAAAAAGTGAAAAATGTCATTTGTAAGGTCCAAGGTGGTTTGAATGTGTATTTTTTTCTCTTTTAATTTTAGCTAGGCGAGCGGTTTCCACTGCTCCCAGTCCTTCTGCTAAGCTAGGCTAGCCCGAGCTAGGTATTTGGATGCACAAACATGAAACTCATATCTTCTTTGACTCTGGGTAAGATGGCTAACAAAGATTTCATAAAAATATTTATCTTTTCCTTTAATCTTTGACAGAAGCCTTTCATTAACAGCTCCAGGTTGCACATTAACACTGTTCATCTGTGGAGTTATGTTGTTTTTGACTCTAAATATATGTATAGATTCGACTGTTTAAGAATATGTTTAAGATATTCATAGTGTGCGAAACGTTAAATGGCACTTTAATATTACGTACAGGGACATCATAAAAGCCCTTGGAAGTAATCACCACTCACGTCTCGGTTCCCGCTCTCGGTGCTCCAATCGGCTTCGCCCTCCGAGCCTTCCCCGGGCTGTGATTGGTTGCTCTCCGCGGCCGACGGCAACATTCCACGCGAAGTGTCCGAGTCGGTGCCGTTGTCATGGCGACAGGTGGCGGTGATGGCGGCCGTGAATATGTCGAGGAAGAAGAGAAAAGAGGTGAAGACGAAGACGAGAGAGAGACGCCAGTAGACGGAGAACTGCAGCGGAGACATCACCCCTCTCAGCTCTAGGACAAGTTTGAAGTTTGTCGTCCTCAGGTTTTGTGTTTTAAGACGACGAAAAACGAACTTTTCAGGAGCTCCCCATCCCGTTTCTGTGTTTCTCTGAGCTGTGGACACTTACTCTGGTTGAACAGCTGCTGCTGTCACCGGGATACTTGTTGACCTGCCAGATAGAGACAGACAGACAACCGCAGAGGGTTCAAATTTACTGTGAACTTTCATCTACAAGTTGTCTCCCCGCCCTTTTCTCCTCATAAGGAGAGGAAGGAGTGGAGTATTTTAAGTACAGCGACACAGCGACACCACGTGGCCATGTAATGCGTTACATCGTTATCAATAAAGTTAAAAATAACCGTTTTTAAAAAGAGGGGGTGGGGCAAGTCGAAGAGAAAGTAGAAAAGGGGAGGAGGAGAGGAAGGAAAGGAACAAAAATAATGGAGGGAGTATGGAAATGTAGGAAAGGAGGGAGGGATCGTATAAAAGGAGGCAGGGAAGGAAATTGTGAAATAAAGAGAAGGAAAGAAAAAAATTAGGACAGTAGGAAGGATAAAATAGGAAAGAAGGAGGTATAAAGGGAGAGCAGGTATGGAAGAATAAGAGCAAGGGGTCTGTAATGAAAGAGAAGAAAGAAGGAGGTAGGTTAAAAGGATGTAGTAAATGAGAGAAAGTAAAGGCTAGAAGAAGTAGGGAAGCAAAGAAGGAAATAAGCAAACAAGGAGGTAAGTCAGGAAATTAAGGGTCAAGTAGAAGAAGAGGATAGAAGAGAAAGACAAGAAGGAGGTAGTGAAGGAAAGGAGGAGAAACAAGGGGATGGAGGAAAAGGAGAACAGTAACGAATGAGGTGGTGAAGGAAAGTGGGATTAGGGAAGGAAAGGAGGAAGTAAGAAAGGCAAAGGAGGAGATAGAGAGGGAAAATAGGAAGTATGATTAGATTACCTTTTGGATTCACCTTTTAGATTTCCCTTTGATTAGAGAACAACAACATTTGAATCACCACAAATGTATAGTTTACAGTTTATAGTTTGATATATTTATTTGCTAAAATCCAGTAAGTGTTTTAATATTGTCGTTTCCACATTTTCAGAATAAGAGTTTTCAGCATTTCTCTGAAGCAGTTAGGTAAAAAATAATTAAGAAGACAGGATTTTAAGTAGTACACAATATGTGTTGTTGTATTTGTTTATTAAAAACATATAATATAAATGGCATTTCAGACACAAAATGATAGTATACATCACAAAAAGTCAGATTATGAATACATAATACAAACTCAAGGTAAACACATCTGTTTTAGAAATACTCAGTAAACAGTATAAAGTCTAAAAAGACATTTTCTAATGGATAAATGAAGGACTTTTTGGGTCATATGTGTTTGTGGTCAAATTTGAATAGTAAAGAATTAAAAGTTACATTTTAAAATTTATATTAATTGCAAAATTCTACATATTCTTTCATCACTGATTAAAAAAACAAATTCCTTCATCCTTATAAACAACAGTTAAGACTTTTTAAATTTCTATGAAAAGTGTCAATTTAACCAGTGAAATAATAAAACCCAATTCATGTTTTCTTCTCATCACAAGCACGGACCAGGCACAGGACCATCATGCTTTGCTATTAGCTGTTCGGTTAACCTCCGTCACCACTGTGGCCATCGCTGAGAGAGGCGTGGAGTACGTGGACGCCATGCTCTGTAACCCCGCCATCATACACCGCCAGCTGAATCGCACCGCCTTCCCGATGTTCTGCAAAGCAAAGAGAAGGAAAATCACAGTAAGAGGTTTTTTTCTTTTTTTCATTTTATAGGAGCTATAGTCCAAATACGTAAGACAGCCATAGAAGCTAATTTAGGCTAACTGTTGCTGTGACTACAAGGTTAGCACTGAAGCTAACCACCTCGGCATACTGCAGGTTAAAGGGTTATTTAATGGTCCATTAATGTTCTGTGCAGCTCAAACATGTTTAAAAAATCTGCTGCAGTACAACTCATCTTGTACTATGCAGAACTGTTCTCTCTTTATCATCGGTATGATCACGCTGAAGTGATCTCTGCTCCAGTGTGTTGGGTCAAAGGTCAAACTCACACTGTTGAGTCAATGTTTAATGTTAGAGTAATTGAACCGACTCAAACGTGACTTTAACTGAAACCTCCGGATGAATACTGTTGTAATATCGGGAAACAGGGTGAACATTAACACTTAGCGCAACTTTATTTCTTTGCACTTTATATTTTTGCTGCTGCCTACTTTGTACACATGAGTCCACGTATGTTTATATCTATTTATGTGTCTTCTTTTATCCTATTATTTACATACTGTATAGAAATGTGCATGGTGCACTTGATTTAACCAAACTCAGGTGTTGATGCAGGTTTTGACATTTGTTTATTTTATTATTAATGTTATTAGTAGTTCTGGTCATAACAAGGTGATTAATTAGCATTACTTATCTCTTATGTACTAATTAAAATATACTCAAATTACAAGTAAATATAGCATAGTATAATATTTTATTACTGTACTATATTGTACTGTAGTGTACTATATTTTTATTATAATATCTAGATAAACTGTTTTGATATGTTTTTTACATTTAGTTTTATTAATTTGTTAATAAGTGAAATCTAATCATCAGGTAACGTTGTCACAGTGTTTAACTTTGCATGAAGCACCAAACAAAGAAAATGAACAAAATGATGACACTGCCGAGGACTTTACCCACACCTGTTCTTACCTTCCTGTACTTCTTATACTTCTTCTTCTTCTTCCTCTTCTTCTCCTCCTTCCTGTTCCTCCTCTCCTCCGGCATCTCCTCTCTCTCCTCCTCCACCTCCTCGATCAGAGGTTCGTATTTATCCGGTAGGACGGAGAAATAAACTTCTTTGGAGGTTTTCTGTTTCTTCCCCGCCGGAGGAGCAGCTTCCTCCTCTTTCTCCTGAGCTCCCATCCCTCGTTACTCCTCGTCTGTCACTGTGGGTTTCTTTTTCCTCTCTGACTCTCTCCTTGTTTACGGGCAGGAGGACCTTTGGAGCGAGGAGGAGTCAAACTTTATTAGTTGCCTGAAGCTGATTTCAGACACAGGAAACTCTGTGAGCTTTGACATAAAACACACTACAGGCAGGATTAGAGGAGGAATGTGGAGATTTGTTTGGGTTCTGTTGCCTGGTTGAAGTTTTTAAAGATTTTACCCCAAAGTTTTACTCAACTTAACTTCTGCCAAACAGCAGAAGTTCATGCAGCAGCTGGTGTTTTTTGATCCTCTGCTGTTTGTTTTACAGAATAAACACTGAAACTTCACATTGAGATACTGAGTCAACATCAAAAACTAGAAAAACATGTCATGTAGAAAAAGTGTAGGATTGCTGGGAGCTATTTTTCAAAACTGTCAATAACTGAAAACAACCACAAATACAGAAAAACAGGGGAAAATTAATGTGTATTTGAGTGTTTTAAAGGAAAAGCTCAACATTTATTCACATTTCTTTCTGAAAGTCAGAATTTAAGGTCATGTCATTTTCAGTTGCCTACACAGCTGGGGCCAGGACATGGTTAGCTTAGCATAAAGGCTAGAAGCAGAGGGAAACTGTTAGCCTGGGTCTGTCCACAGAAGTTCAAACATACACCAACCAACTCCTTTAAAGCTTGAGATGCATTTTATCTTGTTTCTTGAATCTGTGAACAAACAACATTTCACCTTAATCCATCCAGCAGTTGTTGACATGTCTTAGTCTGGACCGACTACCACTGCAGTCCATAGAGCCAGGCTGCTGGTGTCTAACCTACAATCCACAGTTTGAGGTTTTAGCAGTTGCTTCATGCTGGAACTTTTTCTTCCTGACGTCCTTTCATCACTGCGAGGTTCGTCAGGTTTGGTGTTTTCAAGGTTTTGTTTGTACAGAGACCAAAACTGAAACCTGTAGCCGGGGACACACTGGATGGATACACTGGTGTTTGTCAATAAATAGTCCCATTTCTCGTTTCAGTTACATTTTTGTTTGTGTGCAGATTAAACAAACGAGATAAAGCATGTTAATCTGTGAGCTCTAGAGGTGTTGGTGGCTAACAGTTTCCCTCTGCGCTGTACTCCGGGGCTGTTTTTCCTGTTTAAGTTTTGGCCTCTTAGTTCGAGAAATGAAACGCTAATGTTACAACACATATAATGATAATTTACATAACAGTGTTTGTCCACCATTGCGTTAACATGACAAAGCCCCCAGACGCTCTCCAAAGCTGCACAGTACTCACAATCAATTATATTAATTATAGAAAACATTTAGAATTTAAATCTACATTTGAATTATCTTCAAAATACACTTATTGATTTGATGCATGTTGCAGATTATTTTAATTCAAGTAACAGCTGTAGTTCATGGGGGAATTTGCACCAAACTGTAACTTGTAGTTAAATCTGTCAACGTGTTTTTACACTATCCTGCTAAAATAACAAACAGGATTCAGTTTGTAAAAACAGATGAAGGCATATGATCACATTTGCTCTATGGTCGAGAGAACAAGGACATTTCTGTCCACATACGGTTCAGTACTTTTACTCTAGGGTTTGTTTTTCCTGGCTTCTTTCCAACAAAGAGAAATCTTAATGCTGCATCGTACAATGATGCTGTAGACAACAGCGCTCTAACACATATAGGTTGCACGTTCGGGTGTCTACATACTTTTGGCCATGTAGTGAAAGTCATATAGAAAAGATAAAATAAGCAATCCCCCTGAAGTCGACATGAAAAATGACTGATATAAATGTAAAGAGCTGCAGTCAGACAGAAAGCCGGAGGCGTCTCACGGTGGCTTGTCTTTGTCTTTTTTTATCCAGGCAGTAATAAGTCAAGATCAGCTCTGAGACCCAGAGGCAGAAGACAAAGAAAAAAAGACAGGAAGGATTAAGGAAGAAAAACAATATCCCAACATACCTGAAGCTGAAAACTGAACAAACTAAACTCAGAGCTGCTGTCTCACAGTCTGAGAGAAAACACATCGACGTGAACTGTTCCCTGCATTAATGCCATTCACCGATTTTTATTTCTGTATTTTGTGTTTATCATGTAATAACAAAAGAAAATACAACAAATATTACACTGGACATTTAACCAGAGATAGAGGAGGGAAGTTCAAGATGAAAAAAAGGAGCCAGAAATGATTTTTGGAGTTTTCTTTTAATATTCAGTTCTTCCAAATACGTTTCTTTGACAATGCAACAACATGGCAACAAAATGGCTTCTGATATAAAGAAAGCAAACTGTGAATAAATAGATAATGTGTGATTTTATTAAACACTTTTTTTATTACTTTTTTATGACAGAACTGGTGGGAGGATTTAAACTCTAAACCTGGAAGTGAACCCACCACAACAAAACCTGTGTGTGTGTGTGTGTGTGTGTGTGTGTGTGTGTGTTTGTGTGTGTGTGTGTGTGTGTGTGTGTGTGTGTGTTTGTTTGTTTGTGTGAGCCAGCAAGTAGTGTGTAGCTTCAGTCCAGTCGGGGGTTCATGTTGCATCATGAGATCTTGATGACCTCTGACGATGGAGACACAGAGAGGTGAAAAATGTAAAGGAAAGAAGATAAGTGAGTCTTTATCACCACAATGACAGAAACACAACATCATAAATGTGATCAGATTGTTGCTCAACAACCAGTGACTCAGCAATGGAACAAAAACTCCCCTTGACCTGAAAATGTTGACAGAACCTCCTGATGTTTATCAGTATACTGTATATTTATATGTATTTACCAATACTGTGGTATTAATCTGCTGCTCTATCTCCACTGCTGTGACTTGAGACTTTGTCTTTTGCTTGTGGCTTGACTTTTGAGTTAGAAGTTGTTAGTCTTAACTTGGGACTTGGTGGACTCGGTTTGGGACTTGAACTCTGCTTGTTGGTCTTGGACTTGATTCAGCCCTTGTGGTTTTGGTTTAGCTCTTAACTTGGGACCTGATTTGGGATTTGACATGGGACTTGTTCTGCCTGACTTAAATAGTCATGACTTGGGACATGTTAGTGTTTAATTTGGACCTGACATGAGACTTCATGGTCTTGGCCTGGGACCTGACTTGGAACTTATCTTGAGCCTTGATGGTCTTGACTTGGGTCTAGACTTGTAACTTGTTACAATGAGACCTGAGACTTAATTTCCAAGAGTTACCTGTAACTCTCAAAACACAAGGTTGTACGTTCAGTTGTAGATATAAAGGGGCTGATGCATTCGACCACCTGAGAGTAAATGTGGCTGAAAAACAGAAGACCAATGTACTGAGCAACACGGACTCTGAGAGCTCCTAATGAGCTTTATTTAGTTTTACTAATCTGACAGAATCAAAACTAAACTGAAACCAAGTGACAGGAAGTCAAAGTGGATCAGACTGATGGAAATCTAAATGACGCACATAATGAAGCCGATAAAGCACCACGAAGTCGACCAAATAAGTCTGAACTACACTGATGGAAAATTTAAGTTAACTCATTGAGGTCTGACCACACACACACACACACACACACACACACATACACACACACATACATCAGCTATCTGCTGAAATGTCAAGTCACAGTTTGTTCAGAAACGTGACGCCTCTGACAGGAAGTGTGTGTTCTGTGTCTGTTTCGGTGTGTGTATTTTGTGTATCAGTGTGTGTGCGTGTGTGTGTGTATGTGTGTGAAGAGATAACAGGAATTTGGTTTCAGTGGTTTTTATTCATTCAGCCTTTAGTTTCATTTGTGTTCACACTGACTCAAGTTACTGACCTGAAACAGTGAACCAACGACTCTATTGGAAAACAGACCGACACTTTACTGACTCTTTACTATGTTTGACTCTGACTAACACGTTACACTTTACAATATACAAACATTATAATGAAGTTATGAGCAGCTCTAAGTGTTGATTAATCTACAGTATTTGTGTTATTATTTTTGTTTTACTATATTGTTATTAATGATGTTTAAATGAGTATTAATTTTTTTCCTATAGAGATCAAAAACTTCTTCCGTCTTTCACATTATCATTTAGTTTTTAATTGTTGAAGAAAACTGTGATACATTTCGTCATCGTTCTCATTTTCAGATTTAACTTTTTATTTAGTTTTAGTCTTGTTCTCGGCGGGGGCGTCAGTGAATACATGTTGTAGTTTTCCTTTACGAAATCAACTCAGGTTTGAACTCAGGAGTCGTAACTCTTTAGACCAAGAGGAAACAGTGCTCTGAATTTTGGCGGGCATTGTTTTGGTAAACTGACCACATAATGGTTATTTTCTCTCCTAAACAAACTCTCAAAACATAATTGAATGAGTCAATAGCAGATATAGAATGAAGATTTGAACAGCTCTGAGTCTGGCTCAGATCTGGACTGATGGTGGACAGGAGTCGTGTAAAGAGTCTGAAAGTACTTCTTACATTTGTGTTGGGCAGAGTGACGGTCAGCCCGGCCGGGGTCCTCACACTCAGACTCAGCTTCTTCTTCCACAGATAATAAAACTCCACACACTGAGAGAGGGACTTAGTCTGAACCTGAACACACACACACATCGTAACAGATCACACATCAGGCTCAATGTACCAGAGCTGATGTTTTAACAGAAAATAAAACTCACGGCTCTCTGGACGCTGCTGAAGTCTTTGTGATGGAGCTGCAGGGATTTAACCAACAACTTCATCTCTGCTGCACTCCAACACACTCCTACAACAGACGTGTAACACAATGGACATTTGTAAAGAACTTCAATCTGTGTATCATGAAACACTCATTCTAATCGAACGTATACGTGGATGTCGACCTGTGTGGTTGTTGTTGGAGGCTTCAGGAGAGGAGAGTAGCTTCTCCAACGTCAGCTGAGAAAACAAAAACTGACGTCAGTGTCGTGTTTGATTTGGAAAACTAAAGTCTGAGATTATGTTCTAAATGATCAGAAATCTGTCCACAGGTCACAGTTCAGAGCAAAGAACCAATCAGCCAATGAGATTTTACCAGGAAGTCTCCTCTGCACTCTGATAGGACGTGGAGGGCGTGCTCTGGGCTGGCCCCGCCCCCTGGCACCACACTGGATCGAACCATCATCAACAGAGCCTCGACTGGAAAAACAATGTGTCAATCAAATAATAACTGAGCGGTAATCATGATTATTGTAACGATAACGAACAGGACTTCTGTGTGTGCGTCTACCTCTCTGTTGATTCACAGGTTTCTCCAGCTCGTCCCATGGCGTCCACACCAGCAGTGCATCCTGGGAGTCGGAGTGGGCATGTTTATGGTTGTGTAGGGACGGGATTTCAGCCTGAAAGTCCCGCCCTACATTGATCCGCCTGTGATTGACAGCTCAAGGTTATCAGGTGATCACATTGTGACGTAACTGCAAAAATTTGTAGGATTTGTTAAGAGGTATATTTCACGTACGGCTTATTGACTCCTGTTGTTAGTGTATCCATGGCAACAAGGTCACTGAGTCCATCTGCCAATCACAGATATAAAACTTTAACGTGGCATCAGAGCTGTTATCCAATCAGCAGAAGTAACTAAAGTCTCGTATTACTCTGTTTTCTCTCCGTGTGTTTTTGTTTTTACAGTAAATGTAAAACATTAAGTATGAAGGCTAAAATGTTTAATTGGAATAATTATTGATAATTTTAGATGTAAATTACTGAATTAAAGAAATCGATTTATCAGATGACAATTATGTTTTTAATTTAAATACGTAACCTAAACAAACATTTCTGATCTCTTAGCTGTGGTTATGTAATAGCTGTATTGTATAATGTAAAAATAAACTTGTCAGCGCTCTCTAGTGGACAAACGGTGTAACTGAGACACTGGGCCTTAATCACTAAAGTTATTTCTCACAAACTTGTTTATAAAAACTGAAAGAAAAAGAAATGTTCTCTCGTACAAAGACTTTGAAAACAAGAAAACATTGATATATCTGATCAGTTATTAATTGGTTCTTACACACAAGTTAACACCAAATCTGTGCAAATAAGATTTTCTCTGTCTCCAAATGTCCTCAGTGACATTTGTCGTGTGTGTACTGATCATTTTTGTTAACGACTGACTGACGTATACGATCTTATCTAGCGCCACCTTCTGGATGAAGTGAATAAATTTAGCTCCATCACTGGTCAGGCTGAGAATCATCAGACATTTGTGTTTGTAATGAACCGTGCAGCCTCTAGGTGTCGCTGACTGAACCTCTGAATGTGTAAATGATGTTTCCACTCACTGTGTGTGTCGTGAAGCTGTACAGTTTGCACTCTCTGCTGCCTCCTGGTGGTGAGGGAGCAGTACAGCCCCGCCCCCGCCCTGAGGGGACACAGCATGGGCGGAGGGGTGTAGTGACCTCTGCCACCATCAACCACTCCATCACCACCGATAACTGCTTCTCTGCCACCAGCAGCCGCTGCGTCCAGGTGCATCAGGCTGCGGTAGAGCACAGCGCCTCCGGTGGCCGGAGAGAGGGGATTGCATTTCCTCTGTGCACTCCTACACGCCTTAGACGCGCCTCTGGACTGGATGGGCACGGACACCGGCATCACCATGGAGACTGAGGGTTGGGCAGGTGGAGAGGAGTCCTCGCCCTGGAGAAAGGGAATAGAAGTAATATGCCGTCAGTCTGGGGACTCATCTTTCACCTGTGGACTAGCTGGTCCCGTCAAGGTAAACCATAAGATTTGAGGGTTGAGACTTAGTTTGTTGACATGTTGTTTCTCTGTTTAGTCTCCGGGAATAAATGTAAGTCAGTGCTAAATCCACGAATACATGTTTTCTGTTCCATTGCAAACCTTTTTCCCCCATGTAGCTGATCTGAAGCCGCTGTGGGAGCGCATGTGACCGTTCAACGCTGGCAGACTCCTAAAGTCTCGCTTGCACACTGTACACAGCAGCCTGCAACACACACACACACACACACACACACACACACACACACACACACACACACACACACACAGAGGACAGGCCAAAGTAAAGCTAAAACTGGTAAGAATATAAAATGCTGAGAGGTGAATGTCCAAAACCACCACACATCATCATCATCATCATCATCATCATCACTTCATCCAGGTTACCTGCAGTCTACAACCTTCATGTTTTCAGGTTGTGGCCTTTTCATCTGGAAATGAACAGAGAAGATTTAAATAAATTTGAGGCCAATACTGGTGGAAGAATATAATCACTTCCATACTTTTACATTTTATTATTATTATTTTATTTTATTTACATACTTATTTACTTGCTGATTTATTTACTTACTTATCCACACACTTATTTCCTCACTTATTTTCAAATGAACATGATTATAATTAGGATTAAAACTGCTAACATATTAGTTGAATATTTTTTGTATATCAAACACACCCAGGTCCAGTCTGGTTGACCATCTCCTCTTCCTCCTCCTCCACACTCCTCTCTCCAGATCGGCCCAGCAGGGAGGCTCGGGGACTGGGCAGCGCTGCTGACGTTCTGGCCTCCTCCCTGTGGAGGGAAACCGGTCTCTAGGTCACCGGTGGTGTTGAAGACACCCGTCTGGTCCTGGATCGGCTCAGTTTGGCTCGGTAGGAGGCGTCGGCTTGACTGATGTGGGTGGTGCTGACTGGGTTCAGAGCTCAGAGGGAAGCTGTCCGACTCTTGGAGACAGCAGCTGTTCAGCTGTGCGGATGTTTGTGTGTGAAAACCCAACATCTTGTTCCTGGGATGCATTTGAGGACCAGGGCTGGAGATGGTTGGGGTGTGTGGGTAATGAGGACTTGGACCAGGGGTAGTGGGACTACAAAAGGACTGTGGGGCAATACTGTCATGGTAACTATCAGGGAAAAACTGGGTGTTGGAGAAGTCTTCAGTAGATGATGAGCTGAAATCCATGGAGCTCCACCTTCCCAGGGCCGTTCCTCCAGACAAAGACCCCAGTGGAGAGCACTGCATCTGGGACAGAGTGGGCTCCAGAGGCCCCCAGGTGTCCTGACCTGGACCAGGTGTGTCACCCTGTCCATACACGCCACTGGCAAGGTGTGGGTGAGTATTATAAGGCAGTCTGTGTGTGTGTCCCAATTCATGCCCGTGGTGAGTCACACCAGTGCAGAACTGGTTCTGGTTCTGGAGATCTAGGTGTGCTGTGGCCTGGTTCTGTTTCAGATCAGAGATAGAAGGATTATAATGCCGTGATCAGAATCAGTGGCAGTTCTGGTTTTTGATGGAGCAGGATATAAGACATCTTACCTGGCAGGAGTAACTGAAGCTGTTGAGAACTTCGGAGGCGTGCTCAGATTTGTTCCAGTTTGGATTTTCTAAACCTGGGTCGAGGTTTTGGCAGGAGAGGTGGTGCTGCGGTGGGGGGTGGATGTGAGGGGAGGTTATCTGGGGCTGGGATACAAAGTGAGGGGAGGTTACCTGGGAATAAGGGATGTGGTGAGACGTGGTTACATGGGCCTGATGAAGGGGGTAAGAGGGGGTTGCCTGGGACTGGGGTACAAAGTGAGGGGAGGTAACTTGGGAATGGGGGAGGTGGTGAGGTGAGGTTACCTGGGGATAACTGAGGTGAGGGGAGGTTACATGATGCTGGGGTACAAGGTGAGGGGAGGTTACCTGGGGCTGAGGGAGGTGATGAGGGGAGGTTACCTGAGGATGGGGCAGGTGATGAGGGGAGGTTACCTGGGGCTGAGGGAGGTGATGAGGGGAGGTTACCTGAGGATGGGGCAGGTGATGAGGGGAGGTTACCTGGGGCTGAGGGAGGTGATGAGGGGAGGTTACCTGAGGATGGGGCAGGTGATGAGGGGAGGTTACCTGAGGATGAGGAAGTGTAAAAAAAGTAAACAAGTAAATAAGCGTCTCTTTAGAAAGATCAGGTCTGTGTATGACTAAGTAAATAAGTAAGTAAGTAAGAACCTTTGCATGAGGAGGGTTTCCATGGTTCCTGAACGATGAGGGGGAGGAGAGGGGAGGAGGTGAGGAGATGAAAGGAGGTGACTGGGACAGAATGGAGTGATGGATGACGGAAGGAGGAGAGGACGAGGAAAATGCCCACAAGTCAGACATGTTGTCACGCACAAACACACCTGTAAACACCGAGTGTGAGTGTGATCATGTGCATGATTGTGTGTGTGTGTGTGTGCGTGTGTGTGTGTGCAGCAGGTTGTTTGTTATCTGGATGGTGTCTTCATGTGAATCTGATGATCTGCAGGACAGCACACAGAGACACCACAAACTTTTAGACATTTTAAAACAAGTTTTGATTTTGAGAAAGTTTAACTTAAAATATTATATATTTTTTTTACTTTTATTTGAGTCATTCCTAACATTTGACTTTTACAAATTTTTTCTTTCTTGGCCAGAATGGACGTCCTTATAAATCAAGCGTAAAGATGTAGGTGGTGATATAAGTGTGTAAATAAATGTGTGACTAAATTAATTACACACATTGTTCTGTAGCTTCAGTATTACAGTACAGAGCTGAATGTGACTTCTCCAACAGGACTTCAGTCAGTCCAGTCTGTAAATGGTCCAAATTCTCTTAGTCTAACGGACAGGAGATTTTCAACCTAGAAAATCTTTCCTCAGTTTCCAGGGTCTGTTTGAGTTTTACTCTCTTTTTTCTTTGAAATGAACATACTAAAGTTTACCAGCTGGTGGATGTTATTTTCACCTTGTGTAGCGGCAACTACCACAGAGGTGGTTTTGAGCACTTTGGCAGGTGTTTATATGTCTCTTGTCACCGTGATAGCGTCACAACCGGCAAGATACATTCACAAACATCTTCAGGTGTGTAGTTTAGATCAAAATGAAGGTAAAGTTCACAGATGGATGTGGTCTGACCCGTGACTACTGAGTACTCATGTAATGACATAGTCGTGGGTATGAGCGTCAGCATGTTGATGGCGGTGGCGGCTGCTGTGAGTCCATCACAAGATGGTCTCCAGCTTATGACTTACTACATGTAGACCACACAGCAGCTGTATGTGTCTGTATGACTAAGTGTGAATGTGTGATAACGGGACACTTCTTAGAATTCACGCCCAGAGACAATTAAAGCTGTACTTCTCTTAAAGTGACACCTTCAAGTTTTAGAATTGGATTTCACATGAAAATTAACATAAATTGATTAAATGTTCTCTGTATTTGTTTGTGCTCTATTCTGTCGTTAAGAAATACTTAACTAGCAGGTGAAAACTGCCCCGGCTTTTGCAGATTTTTAAAGGCGAAAAAATTCCTGTTTTAAATCTCATATAAAACAGTGGTCACATTTATTTCCTCTTTAACATGTCTGTAACATCATCATCGTTTAAATAAGGATAATAAATAATAAATTAAATAAAGATTATGACTCCATAGTATTGTATATGATAAATAAAAGTTAAAAGACAGTAAATAATAAAAGCAACCAGAGTAACAACAGTGATCTAACATCAACATTTAGTTTGAAATTCAATCTAAATAAAATAACTTCTCACCTGAATCATCACCGACTGCGACTGACGCTGACACTGACACTGACACTGACTCTGACTGTATGTGTGTGTGTATGTGTGTGTGTGTGTGTGTGTGTGTGTGTGTGTGTGGGTGGGTGTTGATGTGTGTCTGCGTGTGTTTTGTCAGGATGTGGTCACATGTTCTTCCTCTCTCTGGTCGTCTCTACTTCTTCCTCATGATGACGAGTTAAGAGGCCGAAGAGAGAGAAGAGCTCAAACCACGGCTCAAACAGACAAGTTGAAGGTGTAACACAATTAAAATCTAAAAATTAGTAAATAAATAAAACAAACAACAAAGTAAATAAATGAAGTTTTATTGTAGTATTCCATTATAATGTTGATCATACCAGTGTGGTCAGTGTTTTTAGTCAGAGTTATAACAGTTTTGTCAAAATCAGTGTTTTTATAGTCACATAATCAAATAAAAATTCCATAAAACTATTTTTAAAAAACGTTCATAGACTGAAAATTTATAAATTCAGAAATTACAATTAGGAATCAATATTGAGATCTGTAAAATTAGAGATTAATGAAGCTTGACTAAAGTGCTCCTTTAATGTTCATTAAAGACCAGTCACATTTATTTAGAGTTTTGATACACATGTTTTTATAATTTTATGATAGTAAAAAACAAACTGAAAGTTTTCTACCCAAACAAATTCAGTTAATAATTAACTTATTGCTGCTCAATCGTAAATTAATTTTAGATGTTTTGGTTGCGTGGTGTCGGAACCCTTGTCTGGTAGGTCAGAACGGCACGACGCCTTAACGGTATAGGACCGAGGTTGAAGCCAATAGTCAAGTTACACACGAACAAACCGGAAAAACATAAATCATCTGTATTTTACATTGTACATTTTATTTCTAATATATTATATTTAATCCGCTTTTTGTAATATTTGTTTCTCCTAAAAATACAACATTGCCCAATGTGCAGGTGAAGCATCAGATGTAGAACCGTCGTTCGCCCCACCGTGGTTTGTAACGACGTCGTTGCTTTTATTTTGAAGGCGAGGAGCGGAAGATGTTTGTCGTTCGTCTCTTCGTCGCCGGTCCGTTCACTCGACGGTTCAGGTCAGAACAAGACCGACAGTCCGCGGATTTTATTTCAGCGTTATCTGTCAAACGGTTTGTTAACGGCTGTGCGTTTGAATGAGATGAATTAAAGTTTGAGTTTGTTTTTTCAGTGAGTGAACAGCGGAATCACGGCGAAGCTAAGGCTAAGGCTAAAGCTAAAGCTAGGAAACAGTCGGTAAAGTCAACTAACTGTAGGACTTTTAAAGAAGGACGTCACGCGCTGTAAATTCCGTAGTTTATGGTAAAAATAAAATAATCCTCTCAGTGACAGCATTTGCTTTGTCATATTTCATTGTTAACTAAATATTTGAGTATTATGGCTTTAAAAAAAAATAATATCGATGTTTGATGAAAAAAATGAAAAATTCAAAAATAATAATAATTAAAATATTAATGGAGAAAGGGGTTGTCGCGATAAACTGGTATTGATAGTAACCATGATATTTAAAAAAAAAAATGAAATATTGATATGGTGTTAATAATACACATACGATAATACGGTGATGGCAGATGTTTGGTCTAGTGGATCTTTTGTTTATCAGTTCATCTGTTGCCTTTTCACGGTCCATTAAGTGTAATTGTTCTTTTTCTTTGTTTTTCTACAGTTCCTAACCTTTTTCTACAGTTCTAACCTCCCTAAATTTGTATTTGAGTGTAATGAATTTGCCAAAAAAGAGAAAACACACAATAAACAAAATCAAAGACAACATTATTATAATTTATTTTCAAATTTTCTATAGATATCACAATAATATCATTAATATCATTATGATACATATAATATCATAAATATGTAAGGTATTTTTAATCAACTGTTAAAGGTTATAGAGTCATGTTTATGGTGTTTTTAATATCCAGTCTTCATGTTATTGTTATTAGATGTGAATGATATGGAGGATCAGGGCTGACACGGGACTGAATTTTCTATTTTCTCCTTCTAGATACTTCCAACATGAGGAAGTGAAGAAATTTTTGAAGATGGTTTACCTGAAGCTGTTTCATCTTTGAACATCATGATGCACACCAGAAGGACGTTGTCTCTTTTAAGAGGCTGGTCGGGTGTTTGCAGGTGTCAAACTGGAAACCAGTCATCCAGGACCATTTCCAGCTTGTTCATGGACTCTGACAGCAGCAGTGCAGGGCTGATCCTACAATCCCAGTCCACTGATGTGTACCAGAACCTGGCTCTGGAGGACTGGATTGACGCCAATGTGGACCTGCAGCAGCACAGCATCATGCTGCTGTGGAGGAACCGGCCGGCTGTGGTCATTGGACGCCACCAGAACCCCTGGACTGAGTGCAACCTGTCGGCCATGAGGAAGGCGGGGATCTCTCTGGCTCGCAGGCGAAGCGGCGGCGGGACGGTCTTCCACGACCTTGGAAACCTCAACCTGACCTTCTTCACCTCCAAGAAGGCGTACGACCGGCAGAGGAACCTGAAGGTCGTCACTGACGCTCTGAGGCGGGTTCGACCAGGACTGGACGTTCAGGCCACAGACAGATTTGACATTTTACTCAATGGACACTACAAGATCTCAGGTAGGGGAGGGGTGGTACCGTCCAATGAGACGAGGCTGCTGTAGTCAAATACAAGCCCCCGAGAGATATGCATTATAAACATGAAGTAACAAAATAAAGAGATGAGATGAGAGGGCAAGAAAAGATTTAACTGAGAAAAATTATGTGCATACAAATAATTAAAATAATTGGTAGTGTGAGCTCTAATTGGTCAAAATCTTCCCATTGTTTTAATAGAAATGTCCAGGGTAAAATCCTGATAGTAACATCCTGTCTTACTTTATTACTTTTAACAAAATATCTAGGAGTGTTATGATATTGTTTGAAGTGAATACAGTTAGTAGTTTAGACAAACTTATGTGCAAGAAAAAAGAAAGGACCTAATTGAAGCTGTGAAGTAAAATTAAATAAATAAATAAACAAATAAACAAAATCTGACATATTTTAAATCAGTCCAGAGTCAGTCAGAGACACAGAAGGTGAGATTTATACCAACAACTCTGCTGTTGTTCATGTTGTTGTTGTTGTTGTTGTTGTTTACAGGCACTGCGTCCAGACTGAGCAGGAAGTCGTCCTACCATCACTGTACCCTGCTTCACTCTGCTGACCGCTCCGCCCTCTCAGCCGTCCTCAGCCCTTCCTGCCCTGGTATCCATAGCAATGCCACACCCAGCGTCCCCTCACCTGTCGCCAACCTGCTGGACCACGCCCCCACGCTGCGGTGGGAGGAGCTTTTCGACGGACTGGTGCACCAGTACAATGCAGGTACTCAGTTTTACTACTGTTCTACTGTTCTGTGTCCTGGCCTCAACTGTCTGTTTATACTCTATTCTACTTTTCTTTCCACTCTGACCCTCAGAGTTCGGCTTCAGCTCTGCGTTGACGCTCGTTAACCCCACTGACGAGTGTACGTTTCCTGGCCTCAGCAGGATGGCAACAGAGCTGCACAGCTGGGACTGGACATTCGGTAAGACGCCTAAATTCAGTGTCCAGACCCTCCTGGACCTGACGGACGGGCGATCGTCTGCTCGCAGCTCAGCTCAGCTGCATATGGAGGTAAAGAACGGGCTGATCGAGAGCTGTGAGCTGGACGTTCCTGCAGACTGGCTTCCTCTGCGGCTGAGCGGTGAGCTGGTGAACACGCTGGTCGGTGAAAGGTTCTGTCCGTATGCAGCAGCTGTGGCTGTTGCTGCGCTGCTGCGATCTGAGAGCAGCGAGCTGCAGAGCAGACTGCACAACCTGTGTGACACTGTGCTGTCTGTGATGGGCTGAAATAAAATGGATGGACGGAAACAACACGAGCTGTCGGGTGTTTGTGTGGAGTCGACCGTTTGTTGATCAACAGAAATCTGATCCATTTGCAGTGCTGCTAGCGCCCTCGAGAGGCTGCTGTGTTCATTACAGCTACAGTATGAAAGTCAATGTCATTCAAAAAGTCTGATGGTGAATCTAAAGGGTCCAGATGTAAACAGACGCCACAGCACTGATGTTCGAAGTAAAATCAGAAGCTGCTCTCACTCCCAAACTGATTGACCCTCTGACAACTCTAAATAACATGAAAATCTAATTTATCATTGTTTCTGTTTACATCAATAATGCTTGTAAAAATCCATTGTTTCTGGATTTTATTTTCCACAAGTAATCTACAAGTTTATTTTGATACAAAACAAAAAAGCTGAATAATAAAAGCTGATAATAAAAACATGAATACATTTGCAGCATATATACTTTGGATTTAAAGTGTTTATGCTGGTTTTATTTTTTTTCATGCAGATGTAGGACAGTATGAACCTGCTGCGTCTTGATCAGCCTGTTTGATGCATAATCTACAGTATATGTGCATTTCATCTCTCTTCACTTGCAAAGTTAAGAACATAAAATCCAAGCAAATGTACAGTAATAAAACAAGAAAGGGGTTTATTATTAAAGACTTTTTGCATTAATTAATAGGACGTTTGGTCAAAATCACAAAAAACTGATTCCTTTTTCTTTCAATTGCTGCCAGATATTTTCTTATTTAAGTGGAAAAACGTGGAAAATTCTGAAAGTTTCCAAATCTGTCCGTAAACCTCTGCCCTTTCAAAATAAAAGTACAACGACATTACTGAAGCTGTTGAGTAAAATTAAATAAATGAATAAAATAAAATGAATAAATACATTTGCCGGTTAAAAGCGAGACTCAACCTCAGACAGCTCAAGTCGCAGGGCGCATGCGCCATGAAGACGAGAGAAAATTGAAGAGGTATCACTCTGCTGTTATGTCCTGGAACCAAAGGCTGATCTAACTCACCGTCATCATTTCCATGGTCATACAATCAATATGGCCAATAAAACATATATTTATTATTAACATTTTTATTACATTTTGTCAGTACTTCCTAACTGTGTATGACAATGAGATCTTTATAAATAAAACTTAAAGACTTTATGCAATCTGTTTAATTGTGTATTTTTATTTTTGAATGTATTTTCTATAATTGTTGTTTAATTTTATTATGGCATATTATTGTCTTTGTTTATTCTATATTTTCCGCACCTATGTTCACAGAAGGGACTATGAAGGAAAATCAGCGGAGTGAGTCCTCGGCTATGCGTGTCAGTCAGTTGACGATCTTTGTCTAATGTGAGCCGTCGTGTCGGTCAGCGGAGCAAACCCGGAGAACCGCAGCGGCAGGATGGGGAAGAAACAGAAGAAATCCGGGGAGGACAGGTAGAGAAAACACCACCTGCTGTCACACACCACCTGTCCACACTGATACCTGGCGGTGGCGAACTCCCCTGCCCCGTCAAAAACCCCAAAACCGGACTGGATTCCCGCTGGTTACTCGGTTAGCTTAGCGGCTATGTGGGCTAGCAGAAGCTAACCACGCGTCAGTGCAAGTGTGTGTCCAGGTGATGGTTTAAACAACCTGAAAACGGTTCAGCACGAAACTTGGGGTTTATCCTCAGCCCTGACAGCCGGGGGAAAACTCCCTAAACTCATCTTAACTGTAACCTGTGAAAGCTAGGGGCTAAATGCTAAGAAGAGCCACCACCAGAGGAGTGGAGGCGAGCTAAGCTATCAGTTAGCCCAGTTATCTGTGCCTCCTGGCCGCAGCTCATGTTGGCTTTCTGTGAGAAAAGGCTGATGTAATGCCAACTACCTTCGCACCTGTCTAAATCCTCTACCTTTATTTAGTCTGTCAGCCTTGGTCTGACACACCTGAGGGTGTCAGGTAATGACACAGCCATGTTGGTGTTCCTGTGTTGAGCTGTAAAGCAAAGAAGCATTAATACAACAGATTCAATTAAAACTACAACAACATTTAACATCCATTAATATGTGAAGACACAGCAACAAAAAATTCATGTCAAATGATCCATTCAGACACGTAGCTCTGATCCAGGACTTGGTCCAGCATAGGTATCTCGTTGAATTTGAACATTTCAGTCACTGATCTGTTCAACATTGAAAAATAAACCAGTTACAGTTTCCCAGAACCCAAGGTGAGGTCTTCAGATATCCTGTTTTATCTAAACCAACAGTCCAAAAACCAGAGAGATCCAGTTTACATCAGATCCTCACATATCAGAGGCAAGAAGCAGCAGATGTTTCACGTTTTTACTTTGAAAAATGACTTAATGATACATCAAACATCAAAAATTTTGATTGATTTCATATAAAATGAATGTGATTTATATGTAAATGCTATTAATGAATTGTTTTTGTCCTCAAAGCGCAAGAAAATAATAAAAATACCTGTTATAGTTCACGACACCCTGAGGTGCTGTCTTCAAATTGCTTGTTTTATTCAACCAACTGTCCAAAACTGACAGACATTCATTTTACTGTCGATAGTGTAAGACCAAAAGAAAAGCATCAGATCCTCATCATAATGAATCTGGAAACAGCAAATATTTGATGCTTGGTTTAAAGAAAATAACTAAAATGATTATCAAGATAGTTGTCAATTGATTTTCTGTTGAACAATTAATTGTTGCAGTTCTAGAAAGAAGTATGTCAAAAATACAATCTCTCTGGATCTACTAAATGAGAAAGCGTGTGATACGTAGTAAAACAGTCCTGGATCAAAGTTTCATGCACACACACCAAACTGATTATCAGGCTGTAAAACCAGGAAGTTTTCGTTTGGCCTTTGAATGTGAATGTTGTGACGGATCTCAGCTGACAGTTTGTTCTTCTCGTCAGAAAATGTCCCGGCTGCTGCCAGCTGCTAATTATTTAACCTGTGTTCGTTAGAGAACTCATGTCGACTCCACAGTTCATTGATGACCAAATTCAGAGTGATTCTTAATGCACTCCTGTCAGTTTTATTGCAAATGTATTGTGCAGATTATTTTTTAAATTTCAAACCTTAAAATAAATCTAAAAGAAGATCTGACTAAAACTATCAAACAATAAATGAATGATTTTCAGAAACACCAGCAGCCAGAGGAGAAAGCGCTTCATTTCTTTTACTCTTTACTTTTGAACATCTGAGATAAAAGAGCAATCTAATGGAAAATAATGTATTTACTGCACTTTACTGGAGAATTTATGCTGCTTTTTCGCTGCACTACAGTAACAAACTAAGATTGGTGAAAGTGACTAAGTGTTGTCTTCTCTGTATAAAATAGGTTTACAGCTGTAACAGTACAATTCTGCTGAAGCATTGATGCATCAGTCACAATAATACAATAATAATTTTATGTACTTTAACCACATTTTCACTGCAGGTGGAAAATGTTTTTATGTTTTTCACAGGTGGTTAGTGAGTTTTACTGTTTGTGATAAACATGATAAACGAGGACAGTACAGAAGAAGCTAAAATTAAATTAGATTTCATCTTTTCACAAGCTGCTGAATACGAAGTATACTCATTAGATTTTTTGGCCCAATTAATTAAAGTAAACCCTGTCTGCTTTACATTAAAGTAGTGCTCTCCTGCGGGTCAGAGGGATGATGGGAAATGAAAGGGTTGTGAGGAAAGTGGAGAGTCAGCAGCTTTTCATCTGTTCATATTGTCCTGACACAGAGAGAGAGAGAGAGAGTCCTGCCTATTCTGCTAATGTCTCTCCACCTCTGTGTCCTGTCACATTTCAAAGCTGATCTTTGTCTCGTCTAAGCTGAGCTCCTGACCTGGTTTTAATCAAGTATCGATCGATCGATTGATATTGTTATTGATCTGTCTTCAGTGCCAAAGATGACGGCATTGACATCGACGCTCTGGCGGCGGAGATCGAAGGAGCCGGCGCCTCCAAAGAACCAAAAGGGAAGAAGAAGAAGAAAGGAGCCAAGAAGGACGACTTCGAGTACGACACTGCTCCTCCTCCTTCTCACCTTCATCATGTCTTGTTTTCTCCTCCTCATCCTCAGCTCCTCCTCTGACCTCCTTTCCCTTTTTGTCTCCTCCCCTCCTCTGTGAGTCGTGTCTTTGAGTCGTCTCTTTTTCAGCCTCTTAACTCTGAGTTTCTCCTCCTGCAGCGAGGACGACATCCTGAAGGAGCTGGAGGAGTTGTCTCTGGAGACTCAGGGAGGAAAGGCAAAGGTAACGACACCTGACGAGTCCAGTGGAATGAAGTGGTAATTTCCTCAGTATTTATTTAAAGCGCTCGGTTAACTCCACTGACTCTCCCCGTGCAGAAAGCAGACACCACAGAGGAAGTGGAGAGCGTCGAGCCTCCCAAACCAGAGAAGAAGAAGACCAGAAAGGGGAGGAAGGGTGGAGCCAGCCCTGAGGAAGAGGAGGGCGAGGAAGCTGAAGGTCAGGCTGATGGAGAGAGGAACGGAGAGCAGAAAGACAAGAAGGTGATTGTGTTTCATAAATAAAGTTCAATCATTTAAACAGGTTTCAAAACGGACTCTTTGATTTTCATTATTCAATTTCAGAATAATTGTTGGAATAAATTAATATTTTACTGCGTCTCTGCTTTTCTCCTTTTTTTGTTGGTTTATTTTATTTTTATTTAATCAATTATTTAAATATAAATATATTTTCTGGATTTCATTGAACTTGTCCTCTCTGCTCCTCCAGGCGGCTCCTGCTGCTCCTCCCTCCGACTCAGATGACGACAGCAGCTCACGTTCTCGCCTCAAGAACAAAGGAGGTAAGAAGGGAGGCAAAAAACCTTCAGTGTCCGACGAAGAGGAGGACAAAGAGGAGGACGAAGGCGTGAGCAAAGGAGGAGGTAAAGGAGCGAAGGAGGACGAGTCAGAGGACGATGAAGAGTTCACCTCCAGGAGAGAGCAGAAGAAGAAGAACAAAGGCAAGGCGGCGAAGGCGGAGAGCGAGGACGAGGAGGAGCAGGAGGAGGAGGGAGGGGGCTTCAAGATGAAGACGGCGGCGCAGAAGAAGGCAGAGAAGAAGGAGAGGGACAAGAAGAAGAAGGAGGAGGAGAGGATGAAGCAGAAGAAGCTCAAGGAGAAAGAGAAGGAGGGCAGCGTGGAGGCTAAAAAAGAGCCAGAGAAGAAGACGACAGAGGCCGCACCTCCTCAGGTAGCACCACCTGCAGCAGCAACGGCTGAGGAACCGGAAGGGGCGGAGCCAACAGCTGAGGGTATAATGACTTTCAAAATAAAATCAACAAGTGTAGTTTGACATATTAGAGGTTTTTGTTTTAACCACACGCCACCTGTTGCTGTTTTTCACTCGAGTTTCTTCTTCTTCTGTTGTGTCTTCCTGCAGATGAGGCCGAGGGCGACAAGAAGAAGAAAGACAAGAAGAAGAAGAAGGGAGAGAAGGAAGAGAAGGAGAAGGAGAAGAAGAAAGGACCCAGCAAAGCCACAGTGAAGGCCATGCAGGAGGCTCTGGCCAAGATGAAGGAGGTGGGGCATTCTGGGAAATGTAGTCATGGGATTATGACGGAAGTTTGGAGTCTTTTTTGACTTGTTATTATTTGTTGTCGTTGTAGGAGGAAGAGCGAGCCAAAAGAGAGGAGGAGGAGCGGCTGAAGAGGCTGGAGGAGATGGAGAAGCAGAGGCTGGAGCAGGTAAAACACAAACACCTCCTCCTGTCGTTTCTCTGTTTCTCTGTCAGTCCTCTCTCTGACCTTTTGACCCCCCCTCACCTGACCCAATTAGGAGCGCCTGGAGCAGGAGCGTAAGGAGAAGAAGAAGCAGAAGGAGAAGGAGAGGAAGGAGCGTCTGAAGAAGGAGGGGAAGCTCCTGACGAAAGCCCAGAGAGAAGCTCGAGCTCGGGCCGAGGCCACGCTCAAGCTGCTGCAGGCTCAGGGTGAGAGTCCGTCCGCCACTCACTTACAGATTATTGATACAGTGATCGGCAATTTAAAACCAGTCATTTGGATTTAACTTGAAATTAAACTGAGCTGAATCACTTGGAAACACAATGTTGCATGAAACACAATGTTATTTAATCTTGAATCCGTGTGTGTGCAGGTGTTGAAGTGCCATCCAAAGACTCTGTGCCAAAGAAGAAACCAGTTTATGGAGACAAGAGGAAGAAGAAGCCCAACGCCCAAACTCCTGAAGGTACCGTCATAAACTAACATGGAAACAACATATTGATCATGTTAAAGAAAAAATATCCAAGTCGAGAGCAATTCTGTCTGAATCCAGGGATGTATTAAACTACAAGGCCTTGTATTTAATTTACTGCTCACTTCTTCTTCAGGTCGACCTTTAAAACGAGCCGTATTATTGATAAGGCCGATCACTGATCACACTGATCCACTGTTTCTAAATTCTCATACTATGAAATACAATATAATACAATCTGAGAGGAGTTTATAAGTTTACTGTACAAAAAGATTAAAAAGACGAGATGTGTTTTTATTGTTGGGGGTTAAATTATGGAACAATGCTAATTTAAATTCAAAAATGTGTAATTTCCTTTTGGTTTTCAAAATAATGGTTTACTGAGCTGTTTCTGAAGGTGAGCAATTTTCTTTTCTGTTGGAGCTTAATTGATCAGATGTAGAGAGGCGTATGTCACATTATGCTTCGTCCTGAGCTTGTTCAGTCACTAGTGAATACACAGACTACTGACTGACTCTGTATTGTTTATATTTTATATATGACTAATGAGATGCTCGTTAACTTGGCTCGTTAACTCGGCTCATTACTGCTGCTGCTGAATGAAAAGCGTTTTCTTTGCTGAACAAACGGCTCCTCTCCTTCTTAGAAACGTCCGAGGTAACTTCACCGACGTCGGAGACTCCAGAGCCCGTTCCCATGGAGACGGAGGCTGAGACGCCGGCTGCGGAGCCAGGTGAGACACACATGTTTTAAAGGGAGGAGGAGTCGGGAGGGCAGAGTAAATGATGGAGGAGGAGGATGTTGTTGACGTGATGAAGATGACTTTCTCTGTGTACAGAGGTGAAACCGGACGCTGCTGTTGACGACTGGGAGGCCATCGCCAGCGACGAGGAGAAAGGTCAGGAAGAAAAACAAACTACACTTCTATTATTTCTTGTTATTAATTTCAAGAGCAGAAGTGATTTGTCTTTATTTTACCAGAAATCTTAAAAAAAAATAAAGAAACTCAGAACTAGAGTCAGTATTAAAGCATGTTCAACTTTATCTGCCAGAGCTGAAGAAAGTCCACATCGAGGTGAAGGAGGACACCGCCGCTCCTCCTCAGCCCACAGGCAGCGAGGAGGACGAGGAGGAGGAAGACGAGGAAGAGGACGAGGACGATGAGGAGGAAGACGATGACGAGGAGGATGAGAGCGAGGAGGAGAAGGAGCCGGCGGCGTCGGGTCATGCCAAGAGGAAGGAGAGCGAGGACGAGAGCAGCGAGAGCGACGACGACGACGGGAGGACGAAGGAGGAGCGGCTGTACGACCGGGCCAAGAGGAGAATAGAGGTGAGGAACACGAGAGGAATGAGAGCTCGTCTCTTTTCACCCCGTCTCTGGCTGACCGCCTGTGTCTGTGTTTCCATAGAAACGGAGAGCAGAGAACCTGAAGAACGTCGACGTGGACACGCTGAGATCTCCAGTGGTGTGTGTGCTCGGACACGTCGACACCGGAAAGACCAAGATCCTCGACAAGGTAACGTTTACTGACTGGTTCATATTTACTGACTGTTAGCTGACTGATCACTGACTGATTAATGTATTGTGTGTGTGTGTGTGTGTGTGTGTGTGTGTGTGTGTGTGTGTGTGTGTGTGTGTAGCTGCGACACACTCATGTTCAGGACGGTGAAGCCGGAGGAATCACTCAGCAGATCGGAGCCACAAACGTCCCGAAGGAGACGATCGAGGAGCAAACCAGGATGGTTAAAAATGTACGACGACCACACACACACACACACACACACACACACACACACATGATTAAATGAACTCAGTGTTAATGTGTATTAAACTGACTTTTGTTTGTGCAGTTTGACAAAGAAACCATCAAGATCCCCGGCATGTTGATCATCGACACACCAGGACACGAGTCCTTCAGGTAACCACCTGGACAGTCATACCTGGAACTGTGCTGCTGGGTTTACAGGTGCACCGGTCACACACGAGGAACAGCAGGCGACCTGAGAAGACCAAACATTAAATAAACAGTAACTTACTGTTATCTAAGCTCTGACAAATCCAGAGGAGGAGATGAGTTTTAAAAGAAAAAGGTAGCAGTGTGGACGTAGCCTTAGTCTCTGTTGTCTGACGCCACAGGCATCAGGTTAATGAAGCAGAGATCAAACGTGGACCCTTCAGCTCAGGGGGACGTCCAGGGTTTAGGTTTGATGGTTAATCACTGTGGTTGCCATTAGTAACTCGTGTCTCCGCCTCTTTGCTTGGCCAGTAACCTGAGGAACAGAGGCAGCTCTCTGTGCGACATCGCCATCCTGGTGGTGGACATCATGCACGGCCTGGAGCCTCAGACGATCGAGTCCATCAACCTGCTGAAGGAGAAGAAGTGTCCCTTCATCGTCGCCCTCAACAAGGTCTGACACCTGTTTACCATCAGACGTGTCTCACCTGTTCCCTCCTTCACGCTCTCTGACCGTGTTGTTGTTGTTGTTGTTGTTGTCGTCAGATCGACCGTCTCTACGACTGGAAGAAGAGTCCGGAGACCGACGTCGTGGCCACGCTGAAGAAGCAGAAGAAGAACACAAAGGACGAGTTCGACGAGAGAGCCAAGGCCGTCATCGTGGAGTTCGCTCAGCAGGTGTCAATCGTTACATCATCACTCATTAACCAATCATAACACAGCTGTTGTATTCTGTACTGTGTAATATGTAATGAAGCTTGATTAAAGAAATCCTTAATTTTTCACAATATTAGAATTTACTGTGACACTTTTCTTTAATTCTTTTATTATTATCTATGATCAATGACCTTTGATCGTTTCTATTTTCCGTCACACTGAACTTTGTCGTCTGCCTGTTGTTGTTCCTCAGGGTCTTAACGCCGCCTTGTTCTACGAGAATAAAGATCCCCGGACGTTTGTGTCGTTGGTTCCCACCTCGGCCCACAGCGGCGACGGGATGGGAAACCTCATCGCCCTGTTGATCGAGCTCACGCAGACCATGTTAGCCCGCCGGCTAGCACACTGTGACGAGCTGCGAGCTCAGGTCATGGAGGTAAGACAGCGTGTTTTTGTTAAGACACTCTGGATTTATTTGGACTCCACGGTGAACAGACCTGATGATGTCCGTGTGTTCAGGTCAAAGCTCTGCCTGGTATGGGAACTACGATAGACGTCATCCTCATTAACGGTTGTCTGCGGGAGGGAGAGACCATCATCGTCCCGGGGGTGGAGGGGCCAATCGTAACACAGATCAGAGGGTTACTACTTCCTCCGCCTCTGAAGGAGCTCAGAGTCAAGGTAAACATCACGTGCCTCTGACTCCGTGTTGATGAATGTATTGCTCCAACATTACTGATATCCGCTGCATGTTGTCCGCTCCTCCATCCTGACAAATGCATTGATGAGGTACCTGTTGCATTGATTGACCGTCTGATCTATCGATTGATTGATTGATGTGTGCAGAACCAATACGAGAAGCACAAGGAGGTGTCGACGGCTCAGGGGGTGAAGATTCTGGGTAAAGACCTGGAGAAGACGTTGGCGGGGCTCCCCCTGCTGGTGGCTAACAGGGACGACGAGATCCCCGTCCTGAGGGTAACACACACACACACACACACACACACACACACACACACAGGAGAAACCAGTGTTGGAGCAGACTGTACTGGCTGTGTGAGGCTCCCAGTTTGACTGACTGGTGCTGGTTTTCAGGACGAACTGGTGCGAGAGCTGAAACAGACTCTGAACTCCATCAAACTGGAGGAGAAAGGAGTTTACGTCCAGGCGTCCACGCTGGGGTCACTGGAGGCTCTGCTGGAGTTCCTCCGCACGTCTAAAGTCCCGGTGAGTACCTGTCTGTCTGTTCACCTGTCTGTCTGTTCACCTGTCTGTCTTCAGTAAATAGACAGAAATCTAGTTCCTTCGACTCAGTTGTAACTTCACAGTTTTACCCTGAAAAGCAACGAGAGGCAGAAACTACAGCGGTGACCTTTGACCTCTGTTTGTGTGTCTGCAGTACGCTGGTATCAACATCGGTCCGGTTCATAAGAAGGATGTGATGAAGGCGTCGACCATGTTGGAACACGACCCGCAGTATGTCCTCAGTCTCTGCTCTGTTTCTAAAGACGACGTCACTTCACATTAAAACATAATAATTAGATAATAATCAATAATTAGATAAACACAGAAACATGTAGATTAACTGATAGTTATGAAAGGAAATGTCGTGCGTGCTCAGGTACGCGGTGATCCTGGCGTTCGACGTGAAGGTGGAGAGGGAGAGTCAGGACATGGCCGACAGTCTGGGAGTTCGGATCTTCTCTGCTGAAATCATCTACCACCTGTTCGACGCCTTCACCAAGTACAGAGAGGACTACAAGAAGGCCAAACAGGACGAGTTCAAGTAGGAAAACACACACTCGGACACAATCGATCGCCTTCTGATCGGAGGTTTTAACTTGTCGTCGTTATTGTTTGAGTCTGTAACAGTGCGGAAGAAATGCAGCATCTTTTTTTGACGTGTTTTCAGGCATATAGCCGTGTTTCCGGTGAAGCTGAAAGTTCTTCCTCAGTTCATCTTCAACTCCAGAGATCCCATCGTGATGGGGGTGACGATAGAGGCCGGAGTGCTGAGGCAGGGGACGCCGCTCTGTGTCCCCAGCAAAGGGGTGAGACAGTCCGTGTGTTTCAGTTCAGTTTATTTAACATTATCAGGAGGAGCCACTGAAAACTGAGCAGCAGCCTCTTATTTATTGGTTATGAAGCTTTTATAGACAGATACAATAAATGGTGTGGTGTGATTGAAAGCTCCAGAAAAGCTACTAAACTGACCTCTTTAAATTTCTCAGTCTTATCCAGAACAATTAATAACAATTTAACACAAGCAGCAGATGTTAAGTTATTGACTTATAATGAAAAATCAAGGGACCCAGAACAATCCGGATCAGATCAACCAGAACCTCAGCCCGTCGTTGTGTGTTTACATGTGACGTCTGTGTTTCAGTTCGTGGACATCGGTGTGGTGACGAGCATCGAGATGAACCACAAGTCCGTCGACAGCGCCAAGAAAGGCCAGGAGATCTGTGTGAAGATCGAGCCCATTCCCGGGGAGTCCCCCAAGATGTACGGCCGCCATTTTGAAGCCACCGACGTCATTGTCAGCAAGGTGAGGACCGGCCCACCGAGGAGCGGCAAAACGCCTTTTAACGGACGTTTGCTTCATTTAAAAATCACATTTTCAACAAACAACGTGAAGTTGTAAACGCGCCGCTTGTTTTTGTTGATGATGATTTTAGTCGATTTCAGAGTCAGCTGGATCAATCAGCTGATATTTGCCGATCACAGATTTGTCGGTATGTGCCGAAACTTTTATCACGCAACAGAATGCAGAAAAAGATGTCGGTGTCGTAACATAGTTTGTCCAGCAGAGCGCGCTCCGACTCCATTAACTATACTGTCAGCACATGTCAAGGTAGAGCCACAGGAGGAAGGTGCTTTTTAGGAAGACAAGACAGAAATGAAAGAAAGGAAGGAAGGATGCAAGGGAGAAATGGAGAAAGAAACACAAAAGAGGTAAGAAGGAAAGAATAGAAAGAAAAGAGGGTAAAATGTTGTGATGTGTTGAAATAATGTCCAAGCTTATAAAAATACGACAGACTCGGTTTTAGAGGCGTAGCTGTAGTTTTAGCTCAGCTTAGAAAAATAATGTGTCACCCAAGATTTCTGAATTCTGGGTTCAAGTGTAGATAGTAATAGATAGTGATAGTAACATATCAGATCTATTGATTACTTAAACCTTTAGCTTGGTGCTAACGGTGAGAAATGGTTTTAGTTTAGTTTTTATTTAAATTGTATAAAGTAAATTCTCAGATAAATCTCTGGTCAATACAAACTTCATAATGTTCATTTCCACGGCAGTAATTCATCACAATGACAGAATCATGTGACTTTAAAACAAGAAATATTGTCACTTTATAAATATAAAATAAATCAATATATCCTCGTCCCCCTGGACCTGTGCTCTGTAGGCCTCTTCAGTAATCCATATATGGGTCCAGATCACAATAATTGATTAATTATATTACAAGGAGTAATTGTTGTATACAGCTGTGAAGTCCTGACAAAATAAGTTCATGTATCTCATATCTGCAGGTCTTACTTTTTGTTTTTCTGTCACTTTCTCCGACATGTATGATCATAAAAAGGGTGTTAAATTAGATTTCACTGTAATCCTATAAAGTGTTAAGTTTAATGTGAACACTGCAGAAGACGTATAACTTAATAAGGGAATAAAAACAGTAACGAGGATTAAAACAGCAGATGAGTGAGTGTGACATGACTGTTGGAAATGGACATTAAACTGAATTTACCATGTGATTCGTCACAGTACAAATAATTCTCCGGTTTCTGTGTTTTACCAGGATTTTGTCTGAGAAGTTGCAGTTTCTTTCTGTAGCTTTAGGTTCAGTCCGGTTCGCTGTGACGCTGTGTTTTTGTGTTTCAGATCACGCGGGCGTCCATCGACGCTCTGAAGAACTGGTTCAGAGACGAGATGCAGAAATCTGATTGGCAGCTGATCATGGAGCTGAAGAAGACCTTTGAGATCATCTGAGGGAGCTGAAACACAAACCAACCAACCAACCAACCAACACACACAGATAAACACACATACACTTCCTCCCTCAGATGCTGAGACGTTGACGGAAGGAAAAAAAAAACGAAAAAAAAAAAAAACCCCAACAAAACAACCTAAAAAAGACGTGAAAGTGTTTTTCTGTGAGAAACGAACTGTTTTTTCCACTGTTGTAAACAGTGATAGTTTAGACCACATTTCACACACAAACACACACACACTCAGTATTCCAACGTGCCTGTTCTTCAGCATCAACGTTGTGTTATTATTATTTTTTTTTCTTCTTCTCTGCTCTGAATAGTTGCTGCTCTTTCATGTCCCAGACTCCGCCCCCCTCCTCCCTTGACTGAGGCTAACGAGCTTAATGAGGCCGATGAGTCAGTAGAGCCAGTGTTCAGCCAGGTGTATTATGGGATTGTACTGGGCAGCACCAGGGCTGGAGGAGGGAAAAATTCATTTTTTTTTTTTCTTTTTAAATCATCGAAGCAGCAGCAGCGATGGTGTCAACGTTAAAGACATTAAGGAGCTGATTTTCAGCATTGACGGCTTTGCTGCATGGTTTGTTGGCCACGTTGGGGGGACGGGGGGACGGGGTTTGAATGACAGAGAAGATTTTAAACTGTTTTTGCTGCAACTGCTGATGTAATAAATTCCCATGATTCTGATGAAACCTACAGATTGAGAGTTTTCATTTCGGACCTGTTCACATCTGCAGCAGAAGAACCTTTAACATCAACACAAGTGTTAAGATTTGAATCAGTGTTTTATGGAAGACTTAAAATAATTTCATTGAGAACCCAGCCACAATAATGAAACTTAAATGTGAAATGGACTTTCCATTTTCACACTGGCAGACAACATGCAACGGAGTTCCGTTGCAAGTTCCAATTTAAGGTATGTTATGGTCGGTTTATGGTTTCTAACCCAAACTTGGGAGAATCCTGCCTTTGTGACATGTTTACATTGAGCACATAATTCTGGTTCAAATGCAGAAGTCCAGTTCGCTACTTCATTTTCAAGTCCTAACTGGAAAAGTCCATTTCACAACAAGGAAAAAAAGAAAATAAAACTCGAATGGAAATCCAAGTAAATTATTGAACTTTAATATATTAAATATTCCTTGAAGCTGTTTTTAAAATGCATAAAAAAAATACAAAAAATGTCCTATGATCTTCAAAAATTTTACATATTTCCCAAACATTTACACGGAAGCAAAATATTACACAATTTACATATAAGCATAAATAATTAATCTAGCTGGAGTGTTGGTTAACGGCAGTGGGGATAAAATGTCCGTGAAGGTCCATGTGGACGCTGGCGGGGATGGAGGCTCGGGCGATTTCCTCAAAGTTTTTAGCGTTCAGGACGAGCATGAACGGAGAAATATTTGGATCCGGAGAGATAACGGACGACAAGATCACTCCTGAAGACAGAAAAATAGAAACAGTCAGAAATTAGAGAAGAAAATATACTTTCCACTCTGATGGTTTAATAGTATTTAGTTGGTGTAGTTTCTAAGAGAAAGTGAATCCCTCACCGTCGTCTTCCTCCACGGCTCCCGGAGACCCGACAAACACCGGCTCTGAAGGGAAGCAATTCTCTTGCCGCCACTCGATGTGTTTCCTGGTGACGATGTCGATCTTGGCGATCTGTTGGGTGAAAGAGTGAGAGGGGAATTTGAATGCGAGGTCATGCTATTTTAAGTCATGCTAACAGTGTTTCTCTAGGGATGTCAATGTTGGTTGGTGCTTCACTCCAAGACCTTTGTTCAGACTGGAATATTTCAACAATAACTGACAGTCATTGCTTGCTGGTTTTCAGCCAGAAATGTTATTAGGTATTTATAAACCAAAGAGTTAGACAAATGGAAATATTGACACATGATGATGGTGCCTGAAAATCAGCTTCAGAGGTCTGGCACAAGACTAACACTAGATAAACAGTCCTTCATCCTCAGGGTACCTCGTTTGTCTGCACCAAAAGTCAATATTCCTTCAATATTTGGTGAGATTTGACTTTAAACCTAAATTGTCATCCATCTGCTGGCACTAGAGGAAAAGTACAGAGTCAGAGGATCACTAAAGTCAGTAGGATTCATCCTTTGGGAACCATTTGTGTTGGTACCAAATATTTCTGCCTGAACTGAAGTGGGGGACCGACATTGCCATGACTAGAGTCGTGCTGCTAACATGGACGTCTGAAATGTTTCACCTTGTTGGGATGAGGAGACCACTCCACCCTGGAGCCGTAGAAGTATCTGTACTTTTTAGCATTGAAGTTGTAGTTGATCCCTGGCAGCTCCAGACCTGAGGAGTAATCATACTTGTTACGTTTGGAAAATTAAGCTGCGTTAAAATCAAACAGACTAACAATGTGGATGACGAACCTTCGAACAGAGTGTCAGGCTGGCAGTAGACGGATCCGTCCTCCTGCACCACCGCCTGGGCTGTCGTGTCCGTCAGCGTCACCAGGTTGGTTCCTCTGGGAGATTCCTGGAGAACAAATCAACAGAAACATGTAATTCATAAGATGGTGAAGTGGAAAGTAAAACACGCCCATATATCTGAGGTGTTTTCTCTGGTCAAACTGTACCTTGTGGACACTGAGCGGCAGGACGAATCTCTTGCAGACTGGTGGGGAGAAGCTCTTGTTGGACTGGATGAAGCTGCTGGTTTCTTGTTTCATGTTCTTGATGTAGAACATGTCGTACAGGTTGCTGTTGTCGTAGCTGATCAGGTCGAACACCACATGGCCGTTGTCCTCATAGGCGTTGATGTGGTGGAAAACCACCAGGGCATCGCCATAGAAACGCATGGACACCTCCTTTCCTGTTTTTCTGTTGATGATGTGAAACAATGTCTGGCAAAGATGTAGAAAAAGAGAGGTCATCTTACCAGTCTGTTTTTTCTCACAAAGTCAACCGTTTGCCTATTTTTCGTTACTATGGACAACTTGGTTCAGAATAGTCCCCTGGGAAACCCCACAATGGATCATTGTTGGTGCTGTTCCTGTTTATTAACCGTGAGTAACAAAAGTGAGTAAGATTGTGAGAACTTACGATGTCATTTTCGTCGAATTTGAGGCAGCTCCCCCAGTTGACCCCTCTGAAATAGGCGGTGGCCAGTTTGACGATGTCCAGCTTGAAGGGCTGCTCCACGAACACGATGTAGTTGTCGGTCATGCCGAAGCTGTGGAAGTAGCTCGGGAACAGAGTGGACCGAAATGGAATCGAACAGACTTCCTGCACTTTCCTCAACGCCGGCTTCTGATGCTCTTTATCTAAAACAGACAACTCAGTATTGTAAGTATTATTTTTATTATTACTTTTATTATTATCATTGTTATTATCTGCACCTTTCTCTCAGTTTTACCTGGCTCCAGAGAGCAGTCTATAACGGATGGACAGGTCAGTACTTGGTTTTCACCAGCAGATGTCAGGGATTTTTTTACTATTCTGTTCTTCATTGTGCTCTATAAATTCTCCCGGATGAAGGTATGAGAACCAAAAGTGATGCAGGATTCTTTTGGTTTCTTTTCAAGTTGAGACTTTGTGATCCTACGTACCTGTCACTAACACTTTATGGTAAGCAAGAAGTTTTTTGATGCTCCGAGTTGGACATGATTCTAGAAATACCGACTTTTTCTCTAAATGAAATGTGTCTCAAAATATTACTACTTTGTTCTCCAAACGGGTTTTTCCTGCACAGTAAGCCTAATCCCCCAGTGTATTTTCTTAATCCTTTAAAAGGGAAATCAGACAATGACTTCTGAAGAGACCGATCTACAGCGAGCTATGATGCAGATTACAGTAATTGTCTGTCATGCTGCCAGAGTGTGAGATTACTGATATCAAGACTGTGTAGGACAGTTGACAATGACATAAGTCTGATTGCTGCATCATAAATCAATTAGACTTTATGCTGTAATTAGATACAGATGTGACTTCTGAAGCTCAGGGTTCATTAAGTAACAAGGTCTTGTTTCCTTACTGTGGTCTATAGATGGACCTGTATAAATTAGCTTGTGACAGATGTCCAGGTGTGCATCAACCATACCTGAGGCCTCAGCTGGGACCTTGAAGATGACGTATTTTGGCCGTCCGAAGCCCATGATGGCGGTACCCATGTTGTAGGTGTTGCCCTCGTCGTCATAGTGAGGATGAGCTGTCGCCAAGTTCAGAGCAATATGGTTCCTGTAGTTTATCTGGAATTTGAAGGACAGGTTTTAGTTTGTATAAACACATCATGAGATATGTTTGAGGAAGTATTTGAACCTGATCACTGACCGTTTAGAGCTCTGAGGACGCAGGTGGGACAAACTTACCTTGCCTACAGTTTCCAGAGTAGCAGGGTCGATCTGGTTCATGTAGTTGACCTCGGAGGAGGCGTAGTAGTCCTGACCATAACGAATGATGTTGATCAAGTTGTTGTCGGTGAAGTCAGGGATGACGTTGCTGAGGTGCGTGAATGCCCTAGCAAGAAAAGTAATATTTTTTAGTATTTGTTATCAATTATTGTTGATCTATGATAGACTAGAATTGATTTCAAGGGGTCTTGGATGGACAGTAATAGTTGTATAGACATTGAATGGTCTGACGTGGACCTCTACATGTTTTCAGTGGACTGAAACAGATCTCTACGGGTCTTGGATGGATGAGAACGTATATCTTTATCACTTGAGTGGACTCTAACAGATCTACATGTATTCTGGATGGATCAAAACTGGTATCCATGTGTCCTGGATAGACCGTACCTGGAGAAGATGTTTTTGCAGGGATCTGGGTAGATCATGGTTCCGAACTCGGAGACGATGATCCTGTCAGCCTTGATGTTTCTCTTGTAGGTGTCGCTCTTCAGAAACTTACTTCTGTAACTCACCTCACCTAAAACGACGACAACAAAACTGTAAATACACACAGTAATTTATTTCAAGGCAGGTGAGTTCATCTTTTCTTCCATGACATTTTGAATATTACATCACATACTGAGATAATGGTTTTATAGTTGTAAAACTTGATTTTAACGTCCATCTCACCGTTGCTGAAGGTGAAGCTGTGGATGAGCGACATGCCGTCAAACCAGTGGTTGTACTTGGAGTTTCCCACAGAGAAAAGCCCGGGCCCGTTCCTCAGCAAAGTTCCCTGCAGCCATGACGGGAGGGAGCCTGCAGGTCGACACACAGGTGCTTTTCTATAGATTTATCTTGTTTATTGTCATTGGTGAAAACCTCTAGTTTTAAAGGTCTGACTGCAAACCACATTTCCTTTGTGATTCTAAAAAGATGAAGATGAAAGTCACTCAGAGTTGAAATAAAAGTGTAAAAATTTAAGTTTAATACGTTTCATAAATATCAGTAAACATCTAAAAAACCATAAAAACCATCAATGAAAATAAATCACATGCAGTTCATCTGCAGAAAAATAGATTCAACTGGTTTCTACTGTCACTTAGATCCAGTCAGTGATTCTCCTCACTCCTATAAAACAAACTTTATGATATTCTGCTTTATGCAAATAAAATATTCAGTTTATTTTTTAGTTTTTTGGGATTTTAAATTTCATAATAACAAAAAAACATCAGTTATAGTTAATTATTCATTTAAGACTGTTGAGCCCCTTTCTGATTGGTGGTACTATTGTAATTTTTGATTCATTCATACTTAAAAAATGATTTATAAGCCATTAACAGCAACAACCTTTTGATTTGTGAGGTTGAAAAAAATCCAATGCTGAACTTCCACATAAACTTACTTTGTCTTTTTCACTCTCTAATTAATCAGGAAAACCCCTCCAGTGAATATCTGGACCGCTCAGTGCAGAATTAATTTGTTAAGATCTTATCAACACCAGCAGACGTTATGGTTCATAAACCCCGTCTGAAACTCACCTTTCATTTGAGCTTTCACCGGCTCCGGAGTCTCTGATCCATTTTTTGCAAATATCGACTGCATGTTTTTCTCCGGACCTACAAGCCTCGTATATTTCCCAGAATACACTGCTCTCCGCTGCAGTCCCACCACAGACTGAACCCGCAGGCAGATGGAAACTAACTTTATATAACTTCTGTCTGTGTACGTGATTATCTTCAGGCTTCAGAAAATGAAGCACATGAAACTTTGTGGATTGTGCAACCTTGCTGCTGTGGACTTCACTCGGATTTTCACAATAAAAGACTCTGTGTTGGGGTCATCCGGCTACCTCTAACCTGATTACCTGCACGTTTCATGATCCCTGACTGAAGAAAGTGTGATCCACAAATAACTAGAAATAAATAATATTCGAGTAAACTGACAAAATTCATTAAATTAAAACAAAACGTATTTTAAAATGTTAGTATATCATTTTATTTTTCTTTAATTGAAGAATCATTCCCTCATCACTGTGTAGTTTCAGGTACGACACAATTGACTACTGTGTTTCACTTATAACTTAAATAGCTTCATTCACTCTTTGTGCTTTTAATTTGAAGGGGAATTTGCTAGCAAATAAAAGTGCTGCTGGATGAATCCTTGAACCCAAATCTATCGTGAAGATGGCTGATTATCTGTGTGCTGACGATAAGATGCAGCAAGTTATAACATCCTATAATCACCTGTTTATAAACAGGTGATACTCCCTGCTGTTCAACTATATAATTCCTTAATTGATGAGACTACAATGTTAATGTTAATATTATTAATAGTATTCTCACTGGGGCTGCAGCTAACAATTAATTTTATTATTGACTCATTGGCTGATTATTTTCTAAATAATTTTCTCCATAAAATGTGAGAAAATTGGGAAAAATTCATATGATAATTTCCCAAGTTGATGTCTTTGAATGTCTCATTTGGCTGACCAGCTGTTCAAGACTTAAAAATATTCAGCTTAATAATTTATAAGAAAAAATTGTGGCAGTTATTTGAGGATCAAAATGGTTTAAAATCAAAATCGACTAATTGTTGCAGCTGTATTTCTCACACTGATTAATCTGTATTCATTCATAACGTGATTAAAACAAGTAGAGTAATGTTTTACCAAATAACAGAATCAATCTGCAGTAAAATGTATATTTTTTTAATTTTAGGTTTAATTAATTTTAGGTTTTGGGTTAAAGTCTGGATACATGTATTTTGTTGAAGGTTATATTGTTTCCTATTTTGAAATACAAAAAAAAGACTAATATCAAAAGTATTTAATTTATTATTTTCTACCTTTTGTTTCTGATGACTGCATTAAGTGTGTTAAAGATCAGAGAAGATATGAGAATTTGAACTTCAGACTCGTCAGCTATCTCTCCGGCTGTAATTGGTTAAATCAGTTTATTGCTTTACAGCCTTTCTTATCCGGATTACTCTGTAGGTCACAGTCGCACAAAGAGCCACGCCAACACTGCGTCCTACAAATTACTTAACCTGAAAATACAAATAATTTGGATTGTGTAATACATTTTAGAAGTTAAGTATTGCAGCTCGGATGACGTTTACAGCTCTGGTTTGTTCCAGTGTAAAAATATTGTGACTTTCTCTTATTTTTATTTTATGAGGCCCAAGACTTTGACACCAGAGCGCAGAGTTCATGTCCCCAATTCAAGCTTTGAGTCAGCATTACAGTATATTATGTAATGACACATGATAATACCACAAGTACATAAAGGCAAGTAAATTTAGTACAGTAAGTTTTAGTAGTTTTACTCCATTAGATTTATTTTGGTAAGATATTTAAGTAAGATTTTTAATGCATTTTAATTGACACTGTGGTCGTGGAGTAAAGTAAAGGAGTATTTCTTCCAGCAGTGGTTGATGTTCATACTGTAAAGAAAAACAAATCATCTTCGGCCCAGTCTGAGGTCCTGAGCTCTGCACCAGGTTTTCATTAAGCATTTGTCTGTACTTTGCTGCATTTGGCTTTTTCCTTTAGTCCTTTAGCTGCTTTTTTGCAAACGTTCACTGAGGAGAAGCTTCGTCTTGCCACTCTGCCATAAAGCCCCGACTCTTCAGGATCTCTGGAGCTCAGCCAGCGTCACCATCAGGTTCTTGCTCACCTCTCTCACCACAGTCCTTCACCCTGATTGCTCAGTTACTCTTCCATTTAAGAATGATGGAGAGAATGTGATATTTTAGTTTTTCCTTTCCAATAAATTTGCAAAAATTTGTAAAATTCTGTTTTTATTTCAGTGTCCGTCATCCCCACGCAGAATAATAGATAATAAAACCCACATACAGAGAGAGATTTGGATGAAAAATGAAGTTTATTACAAACAACAACAGAGAGCTGTTAGCAGTCAGTTAGCAGCTGTTAGTTCTGTACAAATAACACTGTTTGATTGGTTAGTTGAGTTTGCCAATCGGCAACAAGGCTAGGTCTCAAACAGCACCCTACGCCCTCTGTAGTGTACTATTTTCCACCCTTAACCTGCCATAGTACACTACACCTTTAAACTTTCGTAGTGCACTGCTTTCTATGCTACATCTTCTGTATAGTGCACTACTCCCCATCTTAAACCCTTGATAGTGTGCTATTTTCCACTTTAAACCCTCCTTAGTGCACTACCTTCCATTCTTAATTCTTAATAGTGCACTATGCTTGAGTTGAAACCCTTAGTAGTGCACTACTTTCCATCTTAAACTCTTAATAGTGTGCCACTTTTAACCTAAAACCTTCCTGAGTGCACCGTCTATCCTCTATCTTAAACCCTCCATAGTGCACCACATTCCACCTTAAACTCTTCATAATGCACTACGTTCCACCTTAAGACTTTCAAAGTGCACGGTCACCATCTTGTGCCCTTTGTAGTGCACTGCAATCCATCCTAAACCACCTGTGGTGCACTCCGAGTTCACAAGTTGCAAAGTTGCGTTTTGAACACCATAAACTTTTTTTTTTTTTTTTTGCATTCCCAGTCGTGGTGTTGACATGTTGAAAACACAAAGTCGTTCTCCTTTCCTGAAAACAGTTCCTGAACGAAGTGGCGTTCATTTCTAGTGTTATTCACCTGACTAATGCTGTGTTCATGTTCTGTGGGATTCCAAAGATTCGCATGTTCACGACTTCTGATTGTGAACGTCATCAGACAACTGAAGAGTTGAATGATTGCAGAGTTAAAAAGTACAGTGCGTGGTTAAAACAGTACCGTATCCATTAAATGTGTATTAATGTACCTTGAACATGAGCTTGAGGCGTCCATGTTTGTTTGCTGTTTCATGCACTTCCATATTATTTAGCGCCAAGTTTGTTAAATCAGAGCTTTTAAAATTACAACTCGACGTGAACTCACTTTACATGACCGGAAATGGTAATCACAGAAATTCCCACATGACATGAATGCAGCACTAAACTTTATATAAGTGCAACACACACTAACATTGTGTCATTTGTTGCCATGTTTCCTAGCGACTTATAATATACTGCCAGCTTGCAACTGCAAATATGGAAATGTGTTTAATGAAAGCACAGTTTAGGATGGTGGCGTATGAAATTGCAATGACACAACAGCTGGATCAGTATGTGTAGTTTCTCATGTGTGTTATCGTGCAAGATGTTTTTGTCCGTACATGCCAAGACGCTGCATCTCAAAATGTGAAAATCTTCCATTTTCATCAGCTGAATTCATTGAGTTTTTCGGAGGGCGCTGCTGGACCCACCCTCTCTGAAGATGTGTGGAACTTTCAGTCAAATCACACAGTCTTCATCAGCAGATGGAGTTGTGATGGAACTGCACCTGCTAAAATATGAATTTCTCTGCCAACCTTGAGGACATCTCAGGTTGCATTCTTGACCCTGGAGACACTCAATTTGACTAAACCCTCTTACTCCGCGGTCCATTTAGTAGCTGTTCTGGAGCTTTCTATCAGCTGCTGAGTGGCCTCCAACCAAACGACGCGTACGATCTTGCGTGATAACACACACGAGAGACTTGTGATGCTAGTGTGTGTTGCCCTTAAAACGAAGCATATCGTCTTGTTGGCTTCAAAGGTACAACCTCATGAGCTCCATTTGAAGGCAGCATTCCACCTTAAACCCTTTATAGTTTGCTTTGTCTCTCCCTACACCCTTCACAGTGCACTACTTCCCACCCTAACCCCCCGTAGTGCACTTGACAGGACGCGTAGCTCCTTAAGGACCGGGGTGTTGTCTGAGAATGGCACCAGAGAAACAGAGAGAGAGACAGAGAGGTAGAGAGAGAGACAGGTAGAGAGACAGGTAGAGAGCGTGTTGAAGGTTACAGTTTTTAGTTTTAGTAGAAACAGACAGTCACAGTAGGTTGAGCTGCTGCTGTCTGTCTGTTAGACAGCCAGACAGACAGACAGGTGGACAGAGAGACAGACAGGTTCAGTGTCCAGAGTTAGTGGAGTAGCAGTTCAGGTCTGGTCTATATACAGAAACAAGAAATGCATAATCAGAATATCCAAACTAACCAGAGCTGCACACACCACCATGTTGGCTTCACTGCCGGTTGCTATGGTAACGTTGGGGGAAGGGGGGGTAGATAAAGGGGGGGGGGGGAGCTCTGGTTCCCTAAAAAGACGAAAAAAGGGTGTCACCGCAAACACAACGATTCGTCATGGCAACGCTACACCGCGACACCACCTAACTGTCCGCGGAAAACACACACACACACACACACACCCACACCCACACAGGACAGTGTCACTAACACACACACACCCACGCTCTCACGCACACACACACACACACACACACGCAAACAAACATTTATATGACAAACAGTTTATCTCATTTTTTTTCTCTATTGAGGTGAAAAACAGACTCTATTATTCTTAATTATCATAATCATCATAGTAATCTTCATCTTCATCTTCATCATCTGTATGTAGCAGTGGTGTGTGTATGGAGTGTGTGTGTGTGTGTGTCCTCAGTCTGTTTATACACACTATTCACAGGATGACACGCAGAGAGAGCTCAGTTCTGATTGGCTGACGGGTCTTTTCACCTCTTACAGGAGACTTTTTTTTTCTTTTTTTTTAATTGTCTCTTGTTGCTAGGCAACGGCAGCTTCCTGTCTGTTGATGTCGGTGATGATGATGTGGTGATGCGATCTCCCTCCCGCTGACCAAGAGGAAACAGTTTGTGATGTCATCAGGGGACGATCGGATGCTCGGGGCAGTAAACTGGAGGCCGACCTGACGGCAGCGTCTGATTGGACGAGGTGAGGGCGGAGGAGGAAGGAGGAGTGTTTTGGCTGAATGTTGAAGCACCAGGAGGGAAGGAGATTAACAGTACCTGCTGCTGTGTGTGTGTGTGTGTGTGTGTGTGTGTGTGTGTGTGTGTGTGTGTAATTTATGTTTTAGCACTGGCAAACAATCAGGGCCTAAAGTGTGTCAGGAAACATGCAGCGTCACAGTTGTAAAGGTGGAGCCTGAAGATGGAGACATCTGTCTGTCTCGTTCCCAACATAAGGGTCGGGGACCCACCAAGGGGTCACAAGATCAGTCTGAAGGGTCACAGGAAACTCTGGGTTTTAGACTGTTAGTCAGACAAAACAAAAAGCAGTCAAATGTCCAAACATGTTCTCAAAAGTTGCTTTTGTCTGTTTTCTATCATTGCAAATTAAATTTCCTTTGGTTTTAGCCTGTTGACCCTCAGTTTGACAGATATACTTACTTACTCATATATTTTATAAGGACTTAAAAAAGCAACGACTCCCTGTTTGACTGTGTGGAGTTACTGCCTGGAAACTCGTTTTCAGTGTCGCCAGGTCAAATGAAAGGTTGTGATGCCACAGGAAAGATTAGAAGAACGTGATCAGTGTAGTCATATGTAGAGGTGACATCACCATCTTGAGGCTCCACCCCTTGCAGAGCAAACATTACCATCATGAGAGAGTTTCCAAACATGCCTTTGGCTCCGTTGGCTTGCAGTATTTTAAGTGTGTGTACGTTTGTATTAACAGTAAACCAGACTCTGACCCTGCTGTCAGTGTGTGTGTTTTTGTGTGTGTGTGTGTCAGTGTGTGTTGAGCACGCTGCGTGGCACCCAGCCCTCGGCGGCCGGCGAGTCGCTGTTGGCCGGCCGATAAACCAGACTCTGACCCTGCTGGTTGCACGCCAGAATCTGAACCTTCTCGCCCCGAAACACGGAGATCTCATCCTCCCGCACCGCCACGAAGTCCTGCAGCACCATAACCAGCTCCTGAGGGAGAGAAGGTCACATGATGTCATCACGTCTGACACGTTTGAAAATCAAACACAGGAAGGAGGTACGGAAATTCAAACCTGGTCGTCCTGCTCGCTGTCAGGTTGAGGCTGAGGTGCGTGCCCGTTGGGCGTAGGCGGGGTAGACGGTGGTCGCCCTGACGACAGTGGGCGGGTCACGGAGATCCCGCCCTCCTTCCTCTGGTACTCAATGGGAGACTGGAGAGCTGTAAACAGGATCGGATTAGATCCAGATTCAGCGAGACGAGACTCAAATCCAAATCAGACGTTTGTGAACGTCGGTGGATTAAGATGATTCAAAGCTGTTTCAGGGAGATTTAATTTCAAAAAATTTCCAAAAGATTGAAGGATGTTTCAGTTACTGTTGAGGCAGATAAAGGAACGATTCAGGGAGATCTAGTTTTATGGATCTGATGACCAGGGAGAAGGATGTTCCAGAGATTGAAGGATGTTCTTTGAGTGGGATTTGAGGATGTACTCACCAGACAGGAAGTTGTTCTGGGCGTCCAGCAGGGCGGCGATGGTCTCCACCCAGGTCATCTTGATGCTGGCGGAGGACGCCTGCAACGTGAAGCGCTCCGCCGAACCGCGAGACCACAACACGAACTTACAGGGATCACCGTCCACGCTGTCCTGCATCGCCAGGTAACTCACCTGATCACACATAAACATATTAATCCCAGTGTAAACCAGTCTAACCCTGATCCATGTCGTGACCCAGTATAAACCAGTATCCAACAGTCTTACCTTGATGCTGTTCTTGAACTGGTATCCAGGGTTGTTGGAGCCTTTACGCAGCAGTTCGCTGAAGATGATGATCTGCTCGAACAGGAAAACTCTGCGCTCTTTACTGCGAGACAAAACTCCTCCGTCCTGCTCCCACACACAGAAGGTCTCCTGCTGCAGCAGCTTCCCCTGAGACGTCAACTTCCCCTGGATGACGGACAGAAAGACAGGTGAGGACAGACAGGCGAGCGGAGAAGGCTTCATCACTTCATCATTGTGGCCACTTGGGGGCAGTGTCTGTGCCTCTGTATTATCCTCCCATCACTGCAGCTCTGACCACAGATACACAGGTAGACAGACAGACAGGTGTACCTCGTATCCCTGCAACCGTCCCAGGTTCATCATGTCGTTGCAGCGCTTTGGAACCAATGACATCAGCTCCACTGCTTTCTGTAAACACACACACACACACACACACACACACACACACACACACACACACACACACAAACACACACACTCGGCTGTTAGATATTACAGAAGCCTGTGCGTGTTTAAGGCGGTCTCCAGGGCGATGATTCAGCGTCCTGTGTAAATCATTTAACATCATCATCGTGACATCATGTGGTGTGAACTGAGGCGTAACACTCACCTCGATCTCCTCACAGTCCAGTCCTGCTTTGGACGTATACTTGAGAAAATCCTGAGAGACAGACAGACGTGCTTGAGTTTCTAATATAATAATGTATAATAATAAACTTTATTTAAATAGCACTTCTCTTAACAAAGTTACAACGTGCTTCACGGAAAGAAAAGGGGGAAATTAAAAACAAGAGAAAAACAAACGCATCATAAAACAGAATTAAGTTACAGGAAAATATAGATCGTCCGTCTCATGGGAAAATAAAACACAACAACATTTCAAACATTCATAAAAGCTTCCCGATAAAATAAGAGTTTTAACAGACGTATTCTGTCTGGTCTCGATTGGTCGACTGGCTCTGACAGCAAAGAACCGATCACCTTCAGTCACCAGCCGAGACCTTGGAAATATAATAATGACCTGCTGCAGTAAACTCTCTCAATGCATGAGAATATTTTAGAGCAGTGATTACGTTACTGGCTCCTGTAGATGTAAATGTAAAGAGCGCACATGTGTGCTGAAGCGTGTGGGACAGACCTTGAGCAGCAGCTGGTACTTGGTGATTCTCTGGATGGGTTTGATCAGATAATCACTGATCGACATCCTGCAGCTGATCTCATGCTGGATTTCCTGCAGACAGAGAGACGGGGTCGTTTTCTAACTGATAATAATCAGCTATTGTTTGTGTTCGCCTGAAAACTCGTCACTTCTGCTGCTGAACTGAAAACCTGCTGCTGCTGTTCAAACTGTTCAGTGAGGCCTGCAGGTACGTCACTGTTCCAGACTTTGTCTTGTTTCTCTTGTTATTTAACCAGGACGGCTTCAGCTTTCAGGACACGATACTGTAATTAGTCGATTAATCAATTAACTGACAGAAAATTTATCTGCAACTGTTTTGATAGTTGATTAATGGTTTCTGTCACTCTCTTGAGCAAAAACACAAACGTTCTCCGCTTCATGATCTCCTACTTTTGTCTTTTTTATATAATTTAAAACAGAATGTCTGTAGGTTTTGGAAAATTCTGGCACTTTACATTTGAAAGAATGAAACAAACAGTGAAGAAAATCAAACTCTCTTCAGAAACATAAAGATGTTGAATGTTTTACCTCGAAGAAGTTCTCGTACTCGATGACGATGAACTCTGACCTCGGCTTGTTCTGACAGTAAACCACGTACATGTGGAGACGACGCTCCTGCAACACACAAATAAATACTTACATTACTCTCACAATCAATCACAGATCAATAACATCCATGTGAACTCTCTTGCAGGAGCACGAATGATTGGCGGCTCCTGGTCCTGATGCAGTCGCCATGGTGACTCACGTGTCGGATGAAGAGGTCGGCCAGCAGGTCGTGATTCTGAACACAACGCTCCAACTCCACCAGGAAGAAACTGAAACAAGAAAACACACAGTGAGTCAGAGAGTGTGTGTGTGCGTGTGCGTGTGCGTGTGCGTGTGCGTGTGCGTGTGCGTGTGCGTGTGTGTGTGTGTGTGTATTTGTGTGCACGCACTCGCGGTGCCAGTCGTAGATCTGCTGGATGTTGCCGAAGACGATTTTGTCTTTCCCTCTCATGTCCTCGGGAATCCCTCTGACCTCCAGCCTGGACATGAAGCCCTGACAGACACATTTAATTTAACATCATTTACAACAATCTGTGCATTAACACAGTAGTGTTAATACAAGTAATGTTTGGTGGGTGGAGCTTCAGGACATCGGTATGACATCATTTGCCACTTCATGTCTCACCTCTACGATCACACCCAGGTCCTTCACATAGTCCTTCTCTGATTGGACCATCTCGTTAACCACAAACCTGCACGAACACATGGACACAAAGTTCACGTTTGTTTGTTTTTAAACAACAATTTATATATAAGTGTTATATATGTGTGTGTGAGTGTGAGTGTGTGTGTGTGTCTTACATGCGTCCTCTCAGTGCTTTGCTCCTGTGTTCGGTGTCTGATTCGTTGGAGCCCTGATCTGAGTCCAAAGCCTGAAGAGAGAGAAACAGAAGAAATAAAAAAAAAAAGAGAAAAACAAAGAGAAACAAAGTAAAAATCTCAAGAACAATCAACAATTAACTGGAACGTTCAAGCTGCTTTTAAACATTTTAAATCTAGTTAGAAAAAATGGCAGAAGACACTCAGTCCTGCAGTGACTTCTACTGTGTTGGCCAGTGTTAGTAGTATGTGTCCGTTTTATTCTGATGGTAATTGTTGCCCCCGCCCCCTCCCTCCCCTGTTACCTCGGGGTTGTTGGGGTCTTTGATGATCTGCATGGGAGGTGGTAGAGGGGTGTGGCTTTCTTCCTCTGGCTCCTCCTCCCCTCCACTCTGCCCGCCCTCCTCCTTCCTCGCCTTCTGTAGCAACAGAGAAACAACGACCGATGACATTACATTACACACACACACTTTCTTTGTGTGTCTTCAACCTGTGTGTTTATTTACCGTCTGAGCATTGCCGGTGAGGGGTGTGGTCAGCTCCGGCCTGTTGTCCCGCCTCCTGGTTCTGATTGGCGGTTTCTTCTGTCCGTCAGCTTTACCTTGACTCAGCCTCCGAACAGGACTCGTCAACCAACGCTGCAGATATTACATAATTATAAAACAATAACAAATGAAGTAACTTAACTTTATTACTACAAAAACATTTAACGTAAATATAACTAATCCCGCTGCCTCTGTTGGCTGCAGGACTGTGAAGATCAGCTGTTACCTTCAGGGTGTTTCCGGTTCCAGAGCCGCTGCGCTTGGGCCCCGGAGAGCCGACGGCGCCCCCTGGAGCTCCGCCTAACCCATACACTGTGGGGGAGGTGGCACCTGAGAGAGGGAGAACAAGGAGGAGGAGTCAGCGTCGTCATGATGAGTTCACTGTACGTCAGCGTTGTGAGTAAATTCGGAGATAATTAATGTCTCACTGGTCGTCTGAGTGTGAAGCCCCGAAGCTTCAGAGCCGTAGAGACTGGAGTCTGTGGAGACACAGAGAGACATGATGGAGTTAATGATGGTCCTAATGGAAAGTTTAACCTGAGCTTCAAGGAGACCACACACTTTAATCCACATCTTTTTATATTTTCTAAATTAAACATAAAAAGATCTGAGTGGAAATTCAGAAAAGAATTTGCAGGCTGAAGTTGAAAAGTCAATAAAGCAAAGATTTAGAATCATTACAGGCCTTCACTTCCCCAGAGAGAAACCTCACTGTCCCCAGTTTTTAAATTCTTACCTACAGCTTTATTAACATCGACACATTAACACTCAGTGCATGTGGATCTACTCTGCTGCTGCTGCTTTGTGCTGCGTATGTTTAAAGCAAAAATAATCACAAAATAATCAACAAGATGACGTGATACAAGTTAAAAAATACCAACAGAATAATAATGATAGTAAGAAGAGGAAAAGCAAAGAATAAAAATTAGGTGATTAGGTAAAAAAAAGGATATTAATTATGTTTTCCTTCAAAATAAAACCAAAGAATTAATAGTGAGATTTCCTTTTGTTCCTGGAGCTCTGTTAATGATGTAATCTGCTCAGGTCTTGATTATAGTCTCATAAAAGTAGGTAAAGGAAATTATTAATATTTCATGAATCATACTTGTTTTTTATTTTAACTCTTTGATGAAAACAAAACAATGGAGAGAGAGAGAGAGAGAGAGGGTCAAACACTGTTTACATTCACTTCAGAAATCAGGAGACCTGCACCTGTATTGATCTGAGTACCTGTGTAATCATGGATCAGTGATTTTAAATTCATACGTGACGATGCCGTAAGATTTTTGTTATTTAGTCTGTTTTTTAGTCAGTGGTGGAAACTCACTTATTTAGACTTCTAGAGGCGACTTTACTTTAAAGTTACCAGTTAAAGTTTAATCAGCAGTAATACTGATCAGTATTAGCAACAGGCGTCAAAGGTTAAAGTACGCGTTATTATTATATTAGATCATTGTTATTGCCATAGATGCAATAACATAATAAAAATGTTATTGTTGTCGCCAGCTGAAGCAAATATTAACTGCTTTATTCAGTGTTGGACAGTAAAACATCAAACCATGAATGATAATAATACGGTAAATATATAGTAACTATAGCAGCCTAAATAAAGGTGGATAAAGTACTGAAGTAAATACAAGTATCTCAGTTTGTCACAGCGACTCTGTCCCTGCCTGAAGTCTCTGTTCTGCTCACATGTGAAAACACGGTTCCATGTAAACACGACCGAGAGGAAACTGTCACACATACGAGGTTTCTAGATTACAGACTCAGCTGTCAGTAAGTCAACCATTAGAGACGCAGCACGCAGACGGTTCCTCCTGTCGCCCTGTTTCAGGTCACTGAGGGTCGACCTCCTGCAGACTGGACGGTCTCAACACAATGACGCTGTGTGTGTCGGGTGTGGTGTGTCATCGTTAAGTGTGATACAGAAAACCTGCGTGTCCTGTTCGACACAATCACACACATTGTCAACATTCTTCCTCAAGGCTCATGTGTTTCAAGAAATGGTAGAGAGACAATAAAACAGAGAGAGAGAGAGAGTCACCTTGTTCTGTCACTCATTAACCAACATCCTCTCTAACACTCCTCTCCGTCTCTCTTTCAGATTAAAACCCACCTCGATCGTCCTCTCCCTCTCCCACAATCCATCCCCAAACGGCAGAGCAGTCCCAGCATGCACCTCTGCCCCTCTGCATGCTTCAACATCAGTCCATTCAGAAAGTCAAAATAAAAACAAGAAGCTACAACGAGAGAGGCAGGTCGGTGTTTCTCTCCACAGAGCTGAATGAAACTACACAGCAGTCAGAAGTTTGCAGGGGCGGGGCTAAACCAAGAGGGGCGGGGTTACACGAAAGAGGGGTGGCTTATTGAGACTGACTAACAATTACATGAAACCAATTTACATCAGTGGAATCTAAAAAATGTCGTGAAGTAAAAAAATTAGATCAGAAAACCTAACCTAAAATAAAATAAACTTGACAAAAAATATAAATAATAATACTGAATAATAAAAACCAAAATGAAATAGAAAAATATAAATTACAAAAATAAAATAAAACATTTTACAAAACAAAATGAGTGAATTGTTAATAAAATTAAATATGATAAAACACAAAGAATAATGTCAAAGTAAAAAAAATATATAATATAAAAATAAAGCCCAAAATATATATATAAAATTATATATAAAATAAAACAATATTCAAAATAAACAGGAGAACTGACCTGAAAACAACTACTTTATTTTTAAACTAAAGCTCCCATTGTTTCTGACAGGGAAGACGACCCAGCAGGTAGCCACATTAACACACACACACACACACACACACACACACACACACACACACACACACACACACACACACACACACACACACACACACACCATCCATCAACATACAATCAGGATGTTAAACTGCAGATTCCTGTTGAGTCTGAAACTCCCTCAGGTCAATGTTTAACCCTGAAACTGTGTCTGACTCCTGGTGTGTTTGTGTGTGTTTGTATGTGTGTGTGTGTGTTTGTGTGTTTGTGTGCGTGTGTGTGTGTGTGTGTGTGTGTGTGTGTGTGTGTGTGTGTGTGTGTGTGTGTGTGTGTGTCTTGCCAAACCAGATTACAGATTAAGACTGGAACAAAGTTAGTTTATCAGACTGAGGCCACATTCACTCTCACTCTCTTAAATTTGAACTGTTTACTTTTCGACTTCTGTCAACAATGAAACAAGAAACACTAAAATCTGTTTCTGGTCTTTTAATTTACAGACACAAATGGTGTCTGTAGTGCATTAGTGCCTCCACCTGAATGTGTTTGGATGCTTTTTCTTATTTATTTAAACAAAACAAATACAGAATTACATCCGTAGAACAAAATGTGAGTTAATTTATATTATTGTATCATATATTATTATCATATTTTGAGTGATTAAAAATCAAAGATCTGTTCTAGAGCTGCAGCATTAAGAGGTTTTTATTCAGCCAGTTGGATAGAAATTAAAAACGTAGAGAAAAATATGGATTTCCAGACTGTCTCTGTAAAACGAACAATGTGAAACAGCAGATCCCGACAAACAAACAAAACAGGTTTAATTTTTCATGCTGAGCTGCACAACAAGCTCATGGGGGGACTCGAGCACGTTTACAGCTTTATAAACATGGTTTTAAATATTTAGGGGCCACAGTTGGAGAGATCGACAGGATGTGGGTCACACAGACATCACAGTGAGGGCTGAGGATGTTTAAAGTTCCCTCTGTTTAAACAGGAAGTGACATGGGGCAAACGGGACGTGCTGCAGCAGTGACAGGTGGTGGAAGGCCTTAAACTGTAATCTGCTCCAAATCAACAAACAAATCAAAAACAAAAACAGAAATTAAAATTGAATTATTGATGGTGATTTAAGAGAAAACAAAGCTTTCTACCAATCTGTGGTATCCAGAACTGGGCTGGGTTTGCTAATTTTAGCCCTGTTATTATTTACAAATGGTTCTCTGTTCTGACATGGTGCATGATGGGAAATAACAAACCACGATCACGTGTCTTTGTACAAAGTCTGGCCACGTTTTTCGGCCCAAATCTGAAACACAGCACATCGTGTCTTTCTGTCATTAGAGGGATGAACTCACCCTTCCCAGCGCACATGGTAGAGGAGGAGTTGGAGGCGTTGGAGGAGGTGGTGGTGGTGGAGGAGTTGCAGGAGGAAGAAGTGGTGGTGCAGGTAGACGAGGTGCTGGAGGAGGTGGATGCCGGGATGAGCCCCTCCATGTCGGCTGCACTGTGGGAGTGTGACAGACAGAGGGCGCTCATCGGCAGTAAACCCTCCTGCAGGGAAACAACGCCTGTTGTTAGCGATGTGCTAAATGCAAAAATGTACCTGTGAGGACGTTTAGTTCGTTACCTGTGAGGATGTTGATGTTTTGTTTTTTACCTGTTGGGGCGTTTGATCTGTCGTTCTGACCAGACACCACCCGGGTCTTTCGGCTGAGCGCTCCACCAGTTCCACGGTCTGACCACAGCGAACGCTGAGCTCTCCTGGTCCCCCAGAGGAGAAATCCAACAACACCACCACTAACTCGCAGCCTCCTGACAGCTGGACAGACAGACAGAGACACATGAGACAGACAGGTGAGACAGTTTATTTATCTCCAGCAGACTGAAGATGATCTGTGTGTTAAAATCAGCCCAACGACCTCCATTAACCCCTCACTGTTACTGTTGCATAGTGATAAACATTATTAATATGGATACTAGCAGCTTTTTCAGGAGTGGTAGTAGCATCATTAGCATCATTAGCATCAGTAGCATCACAGTTTCCAAAGGGGTGTGTCCTTCAGTCCCATGACCTCACCACTGCTACTGCTGTCTGGGTGTGTGCTTTAAAAAGAGGGAAAATGTCAAATGTGACAGCACAGTGTTATTTAATATTATGAAACATGCTACTGAAGGATTCTGCAGCATTAGAGGCATCATGGGAAATAATAACAAACCTGTGTTAATAGTATTTACATCACATTAACTTTCTTCCACCTAATAATAATATTCACAAAATAAAAACTTTGTGGCAAATGTTCAGTTAAAGTAATAAAATAACAATTATATGAAGCTGTAAACAACAGTCTAAATAACTGAAAAACCAACTAATGAACTTTATATCTAATCAATATCTGTTTCTCAGATTGACTGTAAATCATAAACCATGAAATTTACTGAGATCTCTTCCTTACTGGTTTTTTAAATGAACCATTATTATAACTATTATAACTCATGGTGGCGCTAGAGGGAAAGTGAAGGGCTCACCAAAGTCGTTAGGATTCATCATCTGGTTACCATGGAGATCTGAACCAAATTATATTTAGCAGATTTTGAGATATTTCACAGGATAAGGGGAAACTTTGATAAAAATCACACATAAAGTTACAGATAAAAAGCATAAAAAAGATCAATGAACCAGATAATCAACCTGCAGGGACTTTAAAACCTGTCACTGATTAAATATGTGATCAGATTAATTCAGAAGTGATTCTCCTCAGAGAACGGCAGGAAACACTGGAGGCTTTTTCTTCCAGGAATTCAGAGGAGACAAATAAACTCAACATGACGAATGACCAAAATATAAACAGTGAGACCGACATACATCATCCTAATAGATGTTCTGTACCCGTCCAATCACAGCAGGGCCCACTGAGCCCTGATTGGCTGAACAAGGAGTAGAAAACAAGACTCTGTGTGTGTGTGTGTGTGTGTGTGTGTGTGTGTGTGTGTGTGTGTGTGTGTGTGTGTGTGTGTGTGTGTATCCTTCCTCAGCTGGAGCCCATGTGCTCCAGTTAACTATAAGTCAATACACACACACGCGCACACAGACACACACACACACACACACACACACACACACACAAACACACACACACACACACACACACACACACACACACACACACACACAGTCTATAGGGAGTAGTGGGGTGTTCCCCGTCCAAATCGAACACAGCTGTGATCAGTCGTACAGCCCAGCCAGCGTCACACGCAGCACACATACACACGTGTGTACAGTGGTGGAAAGCACCTTCGTACATTTACACAAGTATAATTTAGAAGTAAAGTTAAATATTTTCTACTTCATTTCTTCTTTAGTGTGTTAAATATGAAGCTACAGTAAATTAGCTTTACTTCAAACTGCTGCAACATTAAAATAACACTTACATGTTAATGCATCAGTAAGAATAATACAAATATAACACTCACAGGCCTAAAGTACTTATTGTGTATATATTGTTCATTATACTGTTTCAGTTGTGAAGAAATCCTGTAGAATTCAAACTGGTCTACAGTATTATAATATGTTACACACTTAATTTAGGCAACTAACGATATTTTTTATCATCCATTAACGTGACAAACAGCTGTGGTTCAGTTCATGTGGTCCTGCTTTTTAGCTCCGCTCTGTTCTGTCTCCACGTCCTACGAAGTAAAACATCGGGTCATATGGACTGACGGGTCACTCACTGATTGGACAGGTTCATGTGATGTCATCCTTCATTATCAGAGCGACACACAGGAAAATCAAAATAACAAAGAGCTCGTCAGCAAATAGATGATAACGAGGATTATTAATCAAGACTGTAAATATTATCGTATTTATGTCCTGTAACAATACAGGGGAATAGTTAAAAATCACTTCCTTTTGCCTCTGCAATCACATGTGTGTTACCATGGTTACCAAGTGATCGTGAATACAGATATATAAGATCGGCAGATGGATTTAATAGGAATTAATCCCATGAATTTATCAAAACGATCACAGTAGGACTGCAAATCACAATTACTTTAATTGATCGATAAGTCAATTGTTAAAATGCTGAAAATGGCCCCTCACAACTTCCCAGAGCCCGAGGTGACCTCCGTACGTTTTGTTTTGTTCGTCTAAAGTTAACCATGAAATGTAACAAAGAAAAGCAGCAAATCTTCTCGTTTAAGAAGCTGAAACCAGAGAATGTTTCATTATTTCTGCCTGAAAATGACTGAAACAAATAACCAACTCTCAAGATATCTGCCAATTGTCTCTGTGTGTGATTGATTAATTGATTCAGTTGTACATCACACAGAGTTCACTTGGAAACAGACTGAGACCGCCTCAGTCCAGTTGTTGAATCGACACCTTTCAAACCAGTTTAAACAAAACAAATGCACCAGTGACTCTACACTCTGTCCTTCTTTAAGAATCTGAAGACCGTCTTCATGCAGGTCAGCTGGTGCGGTGCTAGAGTTAGTGCTAAACATTACCAACAGCCCACAGCTAGTGTAGTCTGAGTGTCAAAGGTCAGAGGTCACAGCATCCAACCACTCACCCCACCCACCCTCAGCAAAACTAAGAGCAGGTAAAATAAATCAAACATACCTCGTCCGAAGAGCAGAAAAGAAGCGAAAGTTTCTAAACAGAGTTTGATGACGAACAGAGGAAACTCCCTCTCACACACACACACACACACACACACACACACACACACACACACACACACACACACACACATACACACCCAGCCAGCTGCAGCAGTGGTGAGGTCATAAGACTGCTCAACACACCCCTCTGAATACACAGCATATGTATGAGTGTGTGTGTGTGTGTGTGTGTGTGTGTGTGTGTGTGTGTGTGTGTGTGTGTGTGTGTGTTACCTTGTCGCTGTCTGCGGTGTTTTGCGATGTTCTGGAGGCGATGGAGACGGTGTCGGGTTGACTGCTGGCATCACCCAGACTGTCTGCATCCTCGCTGGTCTCCCTGACATTTTCACAAAGGAAGAGAAACATGTTTTTAATGTGTTGGGTAAAGAAAGTCTGTTTGTACACACCCCGCGTACTTCTACTCTACTCCTGTTTCTCGGCCTCTTAATCTTAATCCTGCAGCGCACTAAGGCTGCAACTAACGATTGCATTTTCACGGTCCATTTAATAGGAAATAGTGAAAATTACATCTTTAAATGATTTTATCAAATCAACAGTTCAAAACTCAAAAATATTCATATACTTATAAAAAACACTTAAAGAACTAGAAAACTTTCACGTCAGAGGCGAGAACCAAAGAGTTTCAACATTCTTCCTTAAAAATCTAATCTTTGTATTTATTTTTTTTAAATAGCAGATTAATCAACATGTTTTTGAGATCACGTGTTCAACCATCAGATATACCTGGAATGTTCAATCGTCCACATAGAGTAATAATTGTCCACTTACACCACCCCTTTTGTAACTTTGGCGCCCCTCTGTGGTTATACCAACAACAAAACTTAAATATTATTTTAATAACAACAAAAAAATATTTAAAATACATTTTTATTCACAAACTTTTAAATATCAGAAACCCAGTTTGCTCTCGGGGCCTTCACTGTGCAAAGTTTTTGAAATTCTTCAAATATTTTGTGAAAACAAACCTTTACTGATTTGGATGAATTGTTTTGGTGCTTGAAATGTGTTTTACCAAAGTCTAAAGGTTCATAGAAATAGTGCAATATATGAGTAAAATAGTAGATCAATGGATAATAAATGCCTATAAGGAAATTGTGTAATATCCCTGAGTCGTAGTTGTTGTCAGTGATTCTGCTTGATGATGATGAAATAATATGTAAGGGACAGTAGAGAGTCGACAGATTCCAACAACATTTAAACCGTATTTCTACTCTGTGTTATCACAAAGATATTAATAGAAACATCTGTCAACCTCAGAGGGTTAAATAAAGTGATGAGCAGCTGATTTACCATAAAAACAGACAGTAATTGATCAGTAATTGATCAGTAATTGATCAGGCTGGTTGTGTGAGGTGTCAGTGTTCGGTGATGATGAGTGTTTCCTGAATGGAGTTTGGTGTAATGTGTTTTTTAAGGACAGAAAGTACTTGTGTCAGAACATTAACACGGTCAAAGGACAGTTTAACTTAGAAGAGCTGACGGGTCACATGGTGAGAGGCATCTGACATGGCTGTGTTAACTGTGTGTGTGTGTGTGTGTGTGTGTGTGTGTGTGTGTGTGTGTGTGTGTGTGTGTGTGTGTGTGTGCTGACCTGCGGGTGATGCTGCGCTGTCGACCCAGGGTGGGGTTGGGTGTCTTGGGGAGGGGGATGGGCTCCCTCAGTGCTCCCCGCAGGTGACCCCGCCTCTCCTGGATCACCTGACGAATACTGCGGACCCACTCCTGCTTCAGCTCCAACGACGAGGCCTGTGGAGAGAGAGAACGACATGGATACAGGTAAACCGTAAAGACAGAGGTTTGAACATCTGCATCATTACTGAAGTTCATCAGAGGGGAGTCAGCAGGAGAACGTACCTTCAGCACCGTCTTGTTGTCGGACGTCGGCGTTCGTCCGACCCACAGAGCAAACTTACAGGGATCCCCCTCGATGTGCTCTGTCACGCCGAGCTCTGAGGTCTGAGAGTGACAGGAAGACGAGTGAGACAGAGAGAGGAAGACCACAACCACAAAACACCACGTCTCACTACAGCACAGTGTCCCCATAAACCCATAAAAACTGTTTGATATTAATGTTGATCAATTAACATAATGTGTGTTACCCTCAGTCTGCTCTTGTAGAGGTATTTGGTTCGTCCGGACGAGTCTTTGATCTCCTTGCTGAAGATGAGTGACAGCTCGAACAGGAAGAGGTGTCTGTCCCGTCCCTTCCTGATCAGAGACTTTGGCTCCCAAACCAGGAAGGAGTCCTGGAGGAGGAGCTCGCCCTGGACCTCCAGACCCTCCTCCAGACCTGACGGGGACACCACAGCAAGTACAGGTTCAATGTCACATTTTAAGCTTCTCAGGAACTCAACAGCAAAACTACAGCGCCTTCACAATAAAAGCCCCCAGTCTTTTAGTAAAACACCAACAGCTGCTTCACAATAAAAATCCTCCTTCACAGTGACACAAAACTATTTCACAGTAAAAGCCCTTAAACTGCTTCAGAGTAAAAGGCCTCCTCCTCTTTCACAGTAAAAGCCCTCCAGCCACTGGGAGTTTAACGAATGTAAGTCTTTAAGAAAAGGCTTTTAATGTGAAGCATCAACAGGCACATGAGCACGTAAGGCCAACCAGTCTAATTGTGGCATTTTCTTTTAATCTTATCTAAAAAAAATTATATAATTGAAATAAATTAAACAATGAATAAGTGTTACCTTCCAACATGCTAACGTGCATAGCATCATTCGCTCTCTTTGGGACGCTCAGCATCACATCCAGGCCTTCTTTAATCTCACCTTTGCCCTCTTCACAGCAAGCCAACAACTCCTACAAACACACACACACACACACACACACACACACACACACACACACAGCAGAGACACAGGTATACTACTGTAAATGTGACATACACTCACAATAAATCATTGAGTAATTATTTGCTACCTATAAGAATATAATTAGAATATAAATTTTCATGTTGAAGATTGAAAGACCCAGAGTAAATACTGCACTGACTAATTTCTAATAATCTCTTTTGTCCACCATTTTCTATCTGCATTTTACCCAAAAGTACAAACCTATAGTTAATACAGCTCCGTTTCTTTGTGTCTAAGTATTAAATATTGAAGTATTTTCCATCGTGTATAGGTAACAAATATTACGACACATGAAACATCAGACTTTGATCCTTTAAGAAGTTTGAGAAACGGCTTTAATCTTTACTTTGAACAGATAAAATAGGAGACAACATAAAAGACACACCTGGTCTGAAGGGGCTACATGTATGACACCTTCAGGCTGCCGCTGCTGCCGAGCTCAGGTTACAACAAAGTTTTCAAACTGACATAAAATCTTTTTCATTTATTGTCCTGGGCACACAGACTGTATCCTCTGGGCTCCATATAAAGCGTTTTGGAGTTAAAGCTGCGCTCAGCTTCAGTGAAACCCTCTGAGGTGTTGTGTTTTCCAAACAGCCAGAAGGAAGAAACGCTTTGTTTCCTCTGGATTTAACATCCATTCAAACCAGTGCTGCTCTGCGCTCCGGCACTGGGACAAACTTCGCTCTCATGTGTTTTTCAAAGTGGCTGAAAACTGAAAATGTGTAAAACGACTTGCATTACCTTGAGCAGCAGCTGGTATTTGGTGATCCTCTGAACCGGTTTGATGAGAGCTGAGGAGATGGAGTTGGCTAGACCGTGTCTCCTCTGGACTTCCTGAGCACGAACACAAAACCAGAGAGAGAAACTCAATAACAAATTACAAGCCAAACTGTAGCTTTTCCCCCAGCGACAGTTCAAACCACAGGGCTGGAGGCTGATATCAGTCAGACTTTTACACCGTGACTGACACTAGATCACTGGTTGCTTTTGCCCCATTGATTCAAACTGATTTCTACAGCTACCCACCAAGACAAATTTAGCTTTTTGAATGTTCAGCTGACCTGCTGTGCTCCGACTACATTACTTTTTAGGTCAGTGGTTCCCAACCGGTCTCGCCTCAGGGTCTGGAAGTCACTGTCCAAACGTAAACCAACTAAACATCCATTCAGTTTTATCTCCATCCGTCCTCTGCACCAGTCACAAACCCTAAAACTGTCTTCATGTGCAAACCATCAAGCCAGCCCTCAGTTTTAATTCACAAAAATAAAAATAAATTAACTGGGGCAGAGAAGAAACTGAGGCTTTAAGAAGCATCACAGAAAGAGAGTGCAGTCGGGGTTTAAACCAACATTTGAATAACATTAAAAGCATCGTAATCGTAGTCACAGTTAGGTTTATTCAGACTTGTAGAACTGTTTTTATATCTGTGAGTCGAAGTCTGTCGCTGTTACTGTGCAGCATGAAACGGTTCTTCAAAATAAAAGCATTGTTATGGAAATTGAGCAGCTCTGGAATGATAAAACTAGAAATGTGCCAATTGAGCACTGCCATGTATTCCTGTCATTAGTACTAAATTACACTATCAAGCACATAAGGTTTTACTCAACTGAATTATTAGTTATTATTTAAATGTGACACAGATGTTTAAAAAAAGATTAAGGAAGCCTGACCTCAAAGAATCCCACGCCGTGTTGTTGGATCAGTAAACTGGAGTCTGGTTTATTTCTGCAGTAGGTCACATACATGTGAAACTTATCGGCCTGAAACAGAAAAATTAAAAATATTTATTCACTATTTGAATCTGTAATTATTTTTTTTAATTGATTTAACTTAAACCAAACCGGTTACCCAGGTAACAAAACAGTGTCCGACGTCTTCAGGAAGCTGTTCGTAGTTTTCCAGCTCCTTCAGGAAAATACTGCAGAACACAAAGTACATCAACACACAGAATACTGAGCAGAAGTATTAGAGTAGATATACATACATCAAATACTTTGAAGTACTGTAGTACATATCACAATATGTGGGCGTACCGTGGAATCGCTGATTTTTAGGATATATTGTAGTACCACAGTGTATATTGTAGTTCCAGTTATATGTAGTATATATGTGCAGTACATGTATTATATTGTATTATATTTTACAGGTGATCTTGTGGATGTTTCCTACTGTAGTACATGTATTGCAGTATATTTTGTAGTATAATTGACAGTACCTGTTGTGGAACTCGTAGATGTCCTGGATGTTCCCGAACACGATGTCGTCCTTGTTGGTGAGACCAGGAGGGACGTCCTCTGAGCCGCTCGTCATCTCCCACAGGTACGTCTGCACGGGGGTTACAGTATTACCATCAGGAAGTACTATCCAGTACGATATGATGGTATGTATGGTATAGTATGTAAGGTAAGGTATAGTATGATGTAGTACTACAACGTTTTATGTCATGTCAGTCTTCAGGGAGACCACACCTCCAAAAAAAGGGTCTGGGGTCTGAACTTTCTGGTTTATTTACTGAACTTTGAACCTGAACTGTAAAGCCAGTGAGAACAAAAAATCCTGACTGATTGTGATGACGAAGGGCAACCTCCATCTTCTGAGGAAGCTCATGTCTGAAAGGTCCAGAACATCTACTAATTCGATCTTGTGGTGAGTTTTCTCTATTACAGTTTAGTGTTTAGTGTCATTAAGTGTTGTCACGTGGCGTCATGTAACAGAACGTACTGCAGTATTATAAAGTATATGAAGTATAAGTACATGTTGTACTCTGTTGAACGTGGTACTTCAGTACTGTGATGTTTGACGTTTACCTCGATACACTCCTGCAGATCTCTGACGTAGACTCTCTCTGTTTGAAGCAGCTCAGCCATGATGTACCTGAACTCGCAAATACACACAGACAGAGGTGTTATCAGAGGAAATACATCAGTACTGCTACTAATACTAGTACTACTACTGATACTGATACCACTCACTCTTTCTTGCGGGCGGAGCGTCTCTTCTCGTCGCTGACCTGGTGGCTGGGGTCGGACAGGTTGACCTCAGGGTCGGAGTCAGACAGACTGTTGGGGATCAGCTCCAGCTCCAGGTCCTTGTTGTCCTGACGGGGACACCGTACATCACACTCGTTCAAGATGAGTCCACATACACATGCATTGTTTTTGCTATTTGCACGCTCCCTACCTGCGAGCATCCTCCCAGCGCCGTCTCCAGCAGGTGGCGGTACTGTCCCATCCTGACGGTGAAGTCGCGGTAACGTTTATCCACGGTGGAAACGCAACGGCGAAGCTCGGTGCGGTGGGCGTGGCCTTTAGCCAGCATGCTCTCAGCCAGCTGGATCAGCAGGTGAACCTTCTCTTGTGTATGCTGGGAGAAATTATTTAATGGTATTTAAATTTAATTCAGCTGAAGTTTTGCTCTGTGTCATGTCATCAACAAAACATACGTCTCCTGGTTTTAATCCTACTCATTTAAGGATTTTCTGACCGTCCATTATGATCCGATATTTACATGGTTTTATCATTTATTTCTTCTACGTTATAAGGGCTGCTTTGAAATTAGTGAAACAGTTTAGATGTTGAACTGTTGAGTAGCTTTGTATTATCAAATATAACCTCCATCAGATTTCCTTCTATAATATTTACTGAAGTAATAGTGGATTTATTGTGGTTGTGTTTTCTCACCTTGGCAGAAACACAGAACTCCCTGTGTTGGTTCAACAGCTCTTGAGTCTCGGCCATATTTGCCCCCGGTGATGTGTGCGTGGCCAGGTAGTGGTCACCTGACTGCTGCAGCCAATCCATAGCCTGCAATCAAAGAACACGTTACCATCACGCTGCCTTGTGCTTCTTCCATCACTTTCCAGCACAAGGACTGTGTTGTACCTGCTGGGCGTGGCTCTGGAACATCAGGTACTGCTGACACTGATCCAGTCGACGCTTCTTCAACGTCCAGAAATGAAGAACTCTGTTTTCTCTCTGGAGCAGCTCGCTGAGGATACCTGTGCACGCAAAGACACACCTGAATCAGTAAAATTAACCCTTTATTGTCCACATACATAAACTAATTACCCATGGCGTTCCTCAGGGCTCTGTCTTAGCTCCACTATACTTCTTTGAACGTGTATTTCTGTGTGTGTGTTCGTTCACCTTTGACTTGTTGCTCCGGGACCCTGGAGTGCCCGGTGACCTCGGTTACCCCGGAGACGGTGACGCTGTGGCCTGAGATGTTCGCCATGGTGACGCTGTTGCGATGGATGTACTTGAGGAAAACCTCTGCGTTTCGTCTGGCCAGAGTGCAGGCCTGTTGCCGTGGAAACAAGACTGTTAATGACCCTGGGATATTACATTAGCACAAGGACATTTATGAAATACACTAGAGTTTATTATAAGCACTGTTCAGGACTACCAAGGAAATTCAAGACATTTTCAAACATTATCCAACAATATTAGACTCTCAAATAATATTAAATAAGAGAAGCAAACAAACCAATTCTCTTACAACTACATTATAGTGTGTTAGAGACCATTTAGAAACCAGAGTCTGTCAGTTGCTCTTAAACAGATTATTTAAGATCATTTTTGCTCATCGAGTATTTAAGACTTTCCGATGCTCTCCCAGCCCTCCTCACCTTTAGAAACGCCTCCTTCTGCTCCATGTGTTTGTTGATGAGCGGCAGGAGCTGCTCCGGCTGTCTGTCTCCTCCGCCACACCAGTCCTCCTCCCTGCGGTACTCCTGCTCCAGACTCTCCAGGACCCCACACACCTGGAGAGGCAGACAGACGGGTAAGGAGATGTACAGACTTGAGGTAGTGCAGTACGACAGGTAGAGATAAACAGTCGGTGTCACCTGCTGGGACGTCCTGTAGAAGGCAGCAGAGGCGTTGACCAGTTTGAGTCGGTCCTCGATCCTCAGCATCAGCGTCTGCCAGTGGAGCGCCACCGTCTGGGCGCAAGACCTCACTGCGTCCGGATCATAGTGACCTGACCTGAGGGGGAGAGGTCAGAGGTCACATTGTTGGTATGGTGGACAAACAGTGGATGAGGATTGACCTGTTAGCTCTGGAGGTAACTCACCTGACCAGCAGCTCTGCTCTCTGCTGCAGAGCCAGCGCCACCTGATGAGTCCTCTGCAGGGAGTCAGCATGGAGGAGCGCCTGGAGAGACAGATTGTACAGGCAGCGGTGAACACAGGTATGTCCACTTCATTTCTATTAGTCCAAGAAATAGGTTTTTGTGCTGATTAGTGTCCCGTTGCCATGGTAACCTGTATATCTGTCTCCTGGGATGGACAGCAGACAGCCCTGCCCTCTGCATGAGGGTAGCGTTATTGATTCATCACTTATCAGAGATCCCTCTATGCACTATATATGAGTGTGTGTGTGTGTGTGTGTGTGTGTGTGTGTGTGTGTGTGTGTGCGCGCGCAGTAACCTCTATGGCCTGCTGGAGGCGCTCGTGCTCCCTCTGCAGTTGCTCTGCCTCAGATAAACAGCTTGAGTTCAACATGCAGGACGCCAACATGACCTCGCCCTCTGAGATCCAGCCCAGCACCTGAGACACAGACAGTTAGGGATCATCACTCACCTGCAGTGCCTGGATGTCACCTGAAACTGTGTGTGTGAATGAGTGTGTGTTACCTGTTTGACCTGGCTCTGCAGGTGTCTCAGCTGCAGGTTCTGCTCCAGGTGTGTGTGTGTGTGATCTGCAATCTGCTGCAGTTCCTTCTGTTTGTCCTGCAGGAGGCGCTGCAGCTCCTCCACCTGAGAGGACAGACCCCCATCTGCCTCTGACAGCTCAATACCTGAAACACACACACACACACACACAGACACACACACACACACACACACAGACAGACACACATTTTGGCTGTTAGGTCCTCACTAGTACAGCAGTACAACTGTACATATGTGTGTGTTCATCTCCATTAATGTGTGTATCCATGTATTTTCGTGTGTGTGTGTGTGTGTGTGTGTGTGTGTGTGTGTGTGTGTCTCCATGGCAAATTCAATACGTTGGTTTCCATGGGGACCAGCTGTGTGCTTCAGAGAGCAGTTTCCATGGCAACCCTATCCCCCTTTCCCCCTCCCCCCATTATCCTCTCTGCCCCCCTTTCCCCTAATATCATCAGTGCATTACTGAACTGGTCAGACTGTGGTATGAAATGTGCCGACTGCTTTCTGTTCTATTCTGTTCTATTAACAGTCGAGGTGAATATGATTTAATCATTATGGTTTTATATCGTGTCCTCTTCCAGAGTGTGAACTGGTTTTCTTTCCGCCTGTTTGACCTTTTGCTTGTTTATTGTTGGTTGGTGCCATCAAGGATCCCAATCCCCCCACCCCCCTCACATACCGCTCCAAGCCCAAAACCCATTCAGACTACTGGAGGCAAGCACTTTAAGGACCTCATAAACCCTTTAAGGTATCTCTACCTCCACACAAACTTGAAATCCTTGAGCCCCATTTTGGACTTCCAGAATCCCCTCAAGGAGCACTGGACCACTGTGAAGGACGTATGGAAATCCCCTCAAAAGCAACTGGAAACCTTCGAGGATGGACTAGAAACCACTGAAGGAGCACTGAAACCCACAAACACTCCTGGAAGTCCGTCAGTGTCCCTGTCAGTGACTCCTGGAAACCCCTATCTCTGGAAGCTCCTCAAGGACCATTCAATGCTCCCTGAGAGAGTAAAACAATAAACACTTTGCTTCCTTTTCAGGCATCTCCTTCAAGACTACAGGAGCACTAACAAAGATCTGTGGAACCTCCTCAAAGACCATCGAAAACCTCTTTAGGAAGGATTCAAATCCACTCAGAGATCTCTGGAACCGCCTTAGGACACATTAGAAACCATCCAAAAACCTCTGAAACCCTTGTAGGAAGAACTAGAACAACCCAAGAACTTCTGAACACCCAATATGGAGAACTAGAATCCAATTAAGGATCTCTGAAACCCACTTAAAGACTCCTTGAAGCCCCTCCAGTGACTCATGTGGTCACTTTCTCATTTCTTGTGGTGTAATCCTAGGTCGCCATTCTCTTCTGTGTTTATAAGCTGCCATTAAGTTCTGTCATTCAAAAAACATGGAATAAGTTTTGTCGATATGCAGATGACACTCGGTTTTATGTTTCTTCTCACCTCGTGACCTCAGCCCTGTTGACAGCCTTGTTAATTGCATTTCAGACCATAATTGAAAGTAATCAACGTAGTAATGATTGGCAGCACTAATCATGACAGTCGTAGTAATGGTAGCATTAAACACAGTGTTAGTACAAGCTAACAGCAACAGTTTGAGTCTGACCTGATGCTTGGACCTCGTTGATGTACTGCTGAAGGTCATGACCTTGCTGTATGACCTCATAGATCATGTTGTTCATAGCCAGCCTTCGCTCCATGTGCCTGCAGATCAAATAATCAGTCAATCAATCAACACCTGCCACGATCTTATATTGATGATTCGTTTTAATGCTGAGTTAGGACGATGTCATCAGCTTATTTACCTGTGGATGCGTTGCTGTGCTAGCGTTAGCGCCTCAGGGCTAGCCTCCACTAGTCGTGACTGGCCCAGTGCTAGCTTATCCTGGGCTAGCTTGTCCTGGTTTACGTCAGCTAGCCGCGGTGATGCTAGCTTCTCGGTGGAGAAGTCCTGGGACTGTTTCTGGAGGTCCTGCTTCCAGGCGTCCATTTCCCCCGTGACCTACAAAACACACACAGAGGGAGTTTAACCTTGATCCAGCTAATGCAACACAGATGAGGAAATTATTTTGTTAACATTCGTAATTAAAAAGCAGTGTACCTCCAGCGTGCACTGCTGCAGTATGCGGAGCTGCAGGTAAACATCCAGGCGGATCTTCCTCTGGTGGAAAAGTTCCTCCAGCTGAACATGAGACTCCTCCAGCTGCTGCAGCACCGACTCCACATGGGCCACCGAGCTGCCCTGGGGCCTGAAACAAACGCACCCACACGTTATACAAACCTGAAAACAAACCAACCCAAAAGGATGTAAAAGTTACAAAAGTAAAATGTACCCACCCACACAGACTATATTATCCTAAAAAAAAAGGGCTGAACACCATAAAACAAATGCATCCACACAAATTATACAAACTACATAAACCCCCCACGAAGGCTATGCAAACCTAAAAACAACAGCACCCACTATCATTACAAACTCCCAACTCCTCCACAGGCCTCTGAGCTGCCATGAGCAGTGAAACAAACGCACCCACGTAGGCTTTACAAAGCTAGAAACAAATGCACCTACACGCTTTATAAACCTGAAAACACATGCACTCACAACTATTACAGAAACTAACTCCACTCAGGCCAAACACCTACACAACAAACGTACCCACACAGGTTATACAAATCAGAAAACAAACACACCCATACAGGCTTTACACACTTGGAAAAACAGCACATTAATAAAGTCTTTACAAGCTAAAAAAACAGTAATGCACACAAACAAGTATCTCATTCACACATTCTACACAAACGAAAAAACAAGCGCACCCAAAATAGAAAATGCACTCTAAACCAGCACGGATCCATAAAAGCTTTTACTGTGTCTGACTTTAAAATAGAAAACAAACACCTGTAAAGGCAACACAAAACTAGAAATCAAACACACCCACACATTCAACATAAACATGAAAACAAACGCACCCACACTTTCTACATAATCTAGAAAACAAACGCGCCCACACAGAATTCATACACCAACATCACATGGGCCACAGAGCTGCCTTGAGATATAAAACGAACGCACCCACCCAAGTTTTGCCAATCTAAAGCAAACACGCATCATAATGACACACGCCGATTCAAAACAGGCCTTTGTGCTGTCCTGGCAGATGAAACAAATGCACCCACACAAGTTATAATCAGGCTGTCCGTGCAGTGGTGAGGTGTGAATCAAACACACCCACGCTCTCCGTGTGTACCTGAGTTGCAGGATGAGGTCTTCTCCTTCCCGGATGACACTCATCGCAGCCTCCTGTGGGTCAGGGTTAGAGTTAGGGTTAGTGTGGGGGTTAGAGGTGCAGGGTCAGAGGTCACTTGGATGTTAGGTTGTTATGATGGGGTCAGCTAAGACGGGCGGGGACAGAGGTCAGCAGGTACCTGTGTGTTGGCCTGCTGCTGTTGCTGCTGGCTGATGAGAGTCTGCAGAGCCTCCACAGTGTCGGGACAAACACAGAGATCTGAGGAGAGCTGCTTCTGGAGGCCCTCCATCCACACTGAGAGCTGAGGAGGAGGAGAGGAGGAGGAGGAGAGGAG